GTTGTTGATTCATGACAAAAAAATTAAATTTTTGTTTGAAGCCTGAAATGTGGCGAAATGTTGAAAGGTTCAAGGGGGCTGAATACTTTCGCAAGGCACTGTATCTCCCTAAATCACAGCAGTAGTGATCGCAGAGGGCAGATTAGAGAATCAAACTGTTCAAACACAATGATAAGAAACACACATTGGTCCACAGGGGGAAGAGGACCATAAAGGTTTCTTCACTCCTGACTGATCCTTGACCAAAGTGCAGTCGTAGCTCCAGACTTTATTATCCTGTGACTGTTCAATTATCTTAAATCATAGATCTTGTTTGATGTGTGCGAAACCTGAGTGCTCTTATTTCTTTTTCTAATCTGCTGTAATGTGCACAAACATTTCTCCACTGAGCCAAGAATGAGAATCAGAATTAATTGTTTGAGGCAAGAAGTCACAACCGGGGCTTTGCTTTGGCTTCAGGTGCAAACAAGCAATAAGTAAAAATAGATTCAAGGCACAGATGAGACAAATCTTCACAGAAAGTTTTAAAATGACTCTAAAGTATAAGTATTTGTTGTTATCACAGTGAGATTGTGTTAAAGTACTGGTTGTTTTATTCGTACAGCACAATCAAGCTAACCCTCTCATGAATGTGTTTAATTTCATTTTCAAAAAGATAAGATATCCTTTAGTCGTCCCACAGTGGGGAAATTTCTTTGTTGCAGCGCACAGACAGGACAGTAGAAAGAGCACACAGAATAAACAAAAAAATTAGTAGCTATTTTTCTTAGCCGTAAATGCTGTAAATGCTTCAATTCCAGTCTTTCAACAACAACAAAATGTAATGTGGAGTTATATACTGTACATCAGGGGTCTCCAGCCTTTTTCAATCCGGGAGCTACTTTTATGCAACAAAAGAGGCAGAGAGCTAGTCCTTTTTTGCAGTTGTAATTTAAAAAATCCATATAATTATTACCACATGACAGAGAACACAAAAATACATCATGACACTGTATAACCCTATATTTATATTTATGATAGATATGTTTAGACTCATAATGTATTCATTCACAATCAATGGTTAAAATCAAAATCGTTTGGGGAGCTACCTGAAAGGTTCTGGCGAGCTACTGGGAGCTCCTGAGTCACAGGTTGGAGGCCCCTGCTGTACATACAGGGCTGGGTAATACATATTTACAAAAGAGAGAAGAAGAAAACAGTTGCTTTTATTGATTTCATTTACAAATACAAAGGCGGACTCTAACGTTCTTCAACATTCATGGACACTGGTCTCTCCGTCTGGACCAACACCATGTGATCCATGTTCTTTGTGTTTGAAATGTTTGATTCTCTGATCTGTTGTTGGCGATTTCAACAGATTCGTTAAGTCGTCTGAGAAAGCTACTGCTGTGATTTAGGGCGATACAAGAATACATAGAGTTGAACTGAATTAAGAGGTGGAGGATTGTTTTACAGAAGGAGTTTGGGTTGGATCAGAAGCGTTCTTGTAAAATCACAACAGTAGTCATCTCAGAGGAGTTAACAAAACCAATGAAATCACCAACACAGGTCAGAGAATCAACAGTTAAGACACAAAAAGAATATCGAACACATGTTGATAAATGTCCATACATGTTGTAGAATGTTAAAGTGTCCTGGTCTTCTCCTTTCACAGTCCAACAGACAGACTCAGGACACCATACTTCTCCTGGCAGGGTTAAGTAGGGTCTGGTATGCGCCCGGAGGGGGAAAGCACGGCTGAACTTGACAACTATCGCACTTTCAGATAAGTCCAGAAACAGACACCGCCCAGGAACCCCCCGGGGGGCCTCAGACCTGCCCCTCCTTCCTCACCCCCCAGGTCGACTCCTGAGCAGAGGAATGGTCTTTACACAACTGCAGTAAGTGGAGGAGTGAGGTGTTCTGGTTTTTCATGTGAACAGAGCTGCGTGAAACCTGCAGGCAAACATTTACAAGATTCAAGATTCAAGATTTGCCATTTGCAGTAAAACCACATTGGAAAAACTGTGCAAGAGTGTCTAATTTTTCATGTTTGATTATGTTTTTTATTATTAGTTTCTGTAAATGTGCCAGTATTAGCTAACAGCTAGTTTCCAACTGTGGTCTTTAGGCAAGGTGTAAACTTCCATCAAAGCAAATATAAAAATAATTAGTTAAAACATTACCATTTAAAACAGTGTGGAAAATCAACCTCACAGAAACGGGATCGTTGCGCTTTCTGAGAAGTTTATTCTCAGTTTCTTTCAGGTTTCAGGTTTTTTCCAATTTTTCAGGCAGAACAAAGTCAGGACATGGTTTTTACAGTCATTGTTACGTCACACATGGAAAGGCAGACGTGTCGCATCAGCAGATAATCAGAACACATTAGAGTCATAACATGGACACACAATGGCCCCTTGTGACTGTGAGGGCCATGTATTTTGTCTTGTGTGTGTCCACCTGCGCAGGCCATAGTAACAGGTCATTTGATTACTGCCTTTGGTTGTCCACATGTGCATCGAAGTGTTCTGAAACATCCAAATCTGTGGCGGAGGGAGGAGCGTAGAGTCTGACCGGCTTACTTTCTGTATTACTGCTGAAACTGTTATCTGCAGAACTGAATGTATTGTATGAACCAGTCCATATCTGGAGCATGTGTTAATATCTCATGTGATAAAGTGTCTGTTCTGATTCATATTGATACAAATCCTGATAAAGATTTGTCTTTTGTGTTCGATCTGGAAGGACGTGATAATAAAGCAGGTTAATTTAAAGGTGCGATCGCTGCTGCCTCTGTCTTCATTTATCGACACAGAAAGTTTGTCAGACCGAAGCCAGAGTTGGACTGAATGAAAGTCAAGTTGAAGCGTTTTGAATCTCAGTCACATGTCAAGACTGTAATATCCCCACTTCATCCTACTCCTTTTTGAGCACTTTCAAGCACTCAGTACTGATTGATGTATGTGCTTATTCTTTAAATCATTATTCTGTTTATATGTATGTAACATGTTCATACTAAGATTGCTCAAATAAAAAAATAACTAACTAATATACAACTTTTTGCTGATGACACAGATTTTTTCCTCTAAATCTCTTCAACTCAGGCAACAATATAAAATAATGTTACTTGAAAGTCTATAGGAGGATTTTCTACTTCCGGGTGGATCATCCAGACTATTGGTCCTCCCAACTGTCAATCATTCTGGTGACACGTGCTCGTCCAATAAGAGCAGAGAGTTGTGGTCAAAAAGTGGAGAGAGCAGTATTTATTAATGTAAATAATAGTCCTAATTCCAGTAACTTATAACTATGTATTCACAACAGTCAATGTGTATGTGTGTGTGTGTGTGTGTGTGTGTGTGTGTGTGTCTTGTTCTTGTTATTATCAATTGTCTGTTTTACTGTATCGTGTCAAGTCATTTGTCTCTCGTAATAATAATAATGACAAAAATACAACATTGTACTTTTATAGCGCTTATTTGGACACTCAAAGAAACGAATGAAGAACCCACGAACAGACTCTGAAAAAGTACAGAGGGAAATTTATTGAATCAGGACAGGACCAGGTGGAGCTAGATAGGGCAGAGCCAGGGCAGGATGGAGCAGGATGAAGCAGGACGGAGCAGGACGGAGTGGAGCCAGGGCAGGATGAAGCAGGATGAAGCAGGACGGAGCAGGACGGAGCAGGACGGAGCAGGATGGAGCATTAATAGAAGGAAAGCGCTTTATCTCCGCCGTTCCAACTAATGTGCCACCACTTCTGCGGTCTATGGGCAGTTTCAAAATGGCCGCGAGTGTCTTCAAAAAATCACAGCGACTAAACTAGAGTGGTCCAAAAAAATCCACCCCCCTCAGCATTGACACACATGTGGAACGGAGCTTTGGGCCAAGAGCCAACTTTTGGTCCATCCTGTAAAGACGTTTTTGAGAGGTCTGCCAATGCTAATATGTTAGCATTGGCTAATTCTATTTCTGGGTCCACCCCCATCGGCCCCGGGTGGTATTGCAAGCATGTCAGCACACGCCATTTTGGCCACTTTTGAGGCGAGACCCGCCCCCACTGGTCCCAACCAACCCTCACGGTTCCACCATTTAGTTCTGACCAGTTAAGTTTCAACATCACAGTAATAAAAGCCTCAAAAAAAGTCTCCATCAGATAAGAAGATTAGAGATTCTTTATTCTTTCCACAGTGTTTCAGCGCACACTCAGGACAGGAGCACATCCAATATACAGGACAAGTAGCTGTAATTCTAATGTATATGTAGCTGTATATAGTGTAAATTATACACATATGGCAGGGAAAATCCATCCATCCATTTTCTTCCCCTTAAAGTAGATAAAATGACATTCAGCCCGGATCTAATCGCAAAGTGGGCCCTGGTCCACTTAAACCGGGCTTTAGGCTGTGCATGTGACCGCAGCCTAAATGACTTTGTTCCATTGGAGAATCTTGTTTCTACACTGTCAGAATGTGTCAGATTAAGATTTTAAAAAAAACACTTATTTGAGTTGAGTGCTTTTTTTATTTCGTGTTCAATGTATATCAAATCATCCATTTACAATTACTTATTACAATACTGACATCATTCAAACTCGAAAAAGAGTGGGAGGAGAAAAGATCTTATAAATACCCACCCCTGTGTCTTTCAAGCAATCACCTGTTCTTTTTGTTTCTTTTTCTTTTTTGCAGTGTGGAGATGCAGCACTAACATTTACCCCACTCTGGGATAAATAAATGCAGAATCTCATAATTAATCTCACGTTTTCTCTACAGCCTTCAGGGGCCAACTTCCCAGAGGTCCCCAGCTGACCCCCGCGTGGGACGGGGGGGGGGGGGGGGGGGGGGGGGGGGGGGGGGGGGGGGCGGGTCACGGGGCGTGTTTTTCTGCATAAGACAAGCCCACACTCTGTTCTCAGTTAGTTTCTTCGGTCAACCGTGCAGAACAAGGTTTAGTTTCTCCTGGTCTGCTCCCGGTCTGCTCCCGGTCTGCTCCTGGTGTCTTCCTTCTGCCGGTCCAGTATGGAGCTGTGCAGTTCCATCCTGGGTTCGATCCTGGGGCCGGCATCTCTGTGTTTGGATCAGATATGTATCGTTCTCTGGAGTCTGCCGTGGCCTCTGAACTATTTAGTCCTCCTGGTGATCCTGGTCCAAGTTTGCAGAATGGTGTACCTGCTGCTCAAATGGCTGTTCGAAAGGAAAAGGTGAGAGTCTGCATCTGTGCGTCTTAAAATAATAATAATTTAATCTCACATAAAAAGGGTTTGAATGTTCTAGACTCTCTCTAACTTTCAGGTCTCACGTCTTAAAAAGCGTTTGTGAGAAAAAAAGCGCTATACTAGTTTGATTTATTGTTTTGATTGTTATTGTTATTGCGCGTGTGATTGACATTAAAGTCGGAGTACGTAAAGCGGGGGTACGTAACTTTAAATCTGGGGTACGTAACTTTAAAGCTGGCGTAGTCACGTAACTTTAAAGCTGGGGCACGTCACTTAAAATCTAGCGTTCATGAATTCAGTTCTGTGGTACATATGTTTTAAACTGGAATACTGACATTAAAGTTAGAGTACATAACTTGGGTAAAGATGGGGTACGGAGCTTTAAAGCTGGGGTAGTAAACATTTGTTAACTTTCCTGCTGCTGTTAAGTCATGTATTTGAAGATAGTTTTGTTATTTTTTTATTGTGATGTTTCCCGTAAGAGTTTTAGTTTTGTGGTTAATGTTATTAACTGTGGAAACTGTTGTTTACAAACTCTCCCATCTGTCAGAGAGTCAGCTGTTTTGTAAAGAAGAACGGGCAAAATGCACTAAGCTTGTAGCGACTGGTCCGGTCTGAAAGAGTCCGGTGTCGATCCAGAAACTAGAGAATGAGGTTTGATTGGTTTAATCCAATCAAAAGGTGAAAAGGCCGGAGCCCTTGTGTCTGAGTGCATCAGTGCATCACAGATCAGACCAGCTGCTCCAGATCTGGTCCAGACCTAGTCCAACCTGGTCCAGACCTGGTCCTGACCTGGATGTCTGTCTGATCTGTGATAACATTCAAACCTTTGCACCTTTTTGATATAAGTATACCAATCAAAATGGCCTGGTCCTGGCCTGGTCCTGACCTGTCATAAGGGGACTGAAGGAGGAGCTACACAACTCCTCTCTGAATTGTTATTAAAGAGCCACGTGGGTCAGAGATGATCGAGTTATGTCTCCGTCAGAACCCGTTGTCATGGGAACAGATAATCCAGCAGTGTGGGCCTGGGGTTGGAGACAGGGCTGTCCTCTCGGTCCTCTCCTGTCTGCTCTCTCTCGTTTGTCCGTCAGTCTAACCCTCTCTGTCCTCTCTCTCCAGACTCGACAAGGAGCCTCCTCTCTTCAACGGTTTGCTGTGCATCGGAGAGGCCCGTCAGTTTGGGGAAAACTGCCCGAAGCTTTTGAACGACAAAAGAAAGTACTATGGGGATGTGTTCACCATCAAGATACTAGGTCAGAACCTCCATATGGTACTCAAACACTAGGGGTGGAAACCTAAGGGTACCTCACGATACGATACGCGATACAAGGTCACGATAACGATTATATCACGATAAAGATTATAATACGATATGATGATTATTGATATATTGTTACACTCCTATCAAACACCATATACAGATGTCTATGACACGGGCCTCACAGATATTTGTGTTTATGATTCACTATACAATTGATTTGTGCACAATTGATTTGTGCACAATTGTATAGTGTGCGCTGGAAAACGTGATGAAAAATAATAATATATTAATAATAATAATAATATAATCATATGATTATAATAATTTTGCTCCAATTCAGCAAAATGTATCTGTATTTGAGCACATACCTGCCTTAAAAAAACAATGGGACAAAGCAAAAATGATAAAAAGTTTGTCTTAAAATGAGGGACAAAAAAATCATCAGTTCTTGAAATAAAACAAAATGGCTTCGTCCCTTTGGAAAGTCTTGTTTTAACACAGTCTTGTTTTAACACAGTCTGAATGTGTTTGTCAAGAGTCAACAATCCATCAATTCAAGCGATTATTACCTCATATTTTTGTGTGCGCGTGTGTTTTAGATGTTTATCTTGTGTGTGGTATAGTTGTAAAGCTTGTGTGTGTTGTGTTGCAGGCAGGTACATGACCTTCGTAATGGACCCTCAAGACTTCCCGGCGGTCATCAAGAGCTCCTCGCGGCAGTTGGACTTCCATGCATTTTCTCGTAGGATCGCGTCGCACGCCTTTGGATACACAGTGCTGCCCGAGCAGGATATGGCCGTATTGGAGGGTTACTACACCCATCTCCAGGGCAACAAGCTCGACATCCTCCTGGAGAGCCTGCAGGAGAACCTGCAACTGGTGCTGAAAGAGGAGATCCCCGACTCAACAGGTCTGTAAGAGAGAGACCTCAGAGAGAGAGACCTCAGAGAGAGAGACCTCAGAGAGAGAGAACCCCAGAGAGAGAGACCTCAGAGAGAGAGACCTCAGAGAGAGAGACCTCAGAGAGAGAGACCTCAGAGAGAGAGACCTCAGAGAGAGAGAGACCCCAGAGAGAGAGACCTCAGAGAGAGAGACCTCAGAGAGAGAGACCTCAGAGAGAGAGACCTCAGAGAGAGAGACCTCAGAGAGAGAGACCTCAGAGAGAGAGACCTCAGAGAGAGAGAGACCCAGAGAGAGAGAGACCCCAGAGAGAGAGAGACCCCAGAGAGAGAGAGACCCCAGAGAGAGAGACCCCCAGAGAGAGAGACCTCAGAGAGAGAGACCCCAGAGAGGGAGAACCCAGAGAGAGGGAGAACCCAGAGAGAGGGACCCCAGAGAGAGAGACCCCAGAGAGGGAGACCCCAGAGAGGGAGACCCCAGAGAGGGAGACCCCAGAGAGAGACCCCAGAGAGGGAGACCCCAGAGAGGGAGACCCCAGAGAGGGAGACCCCAGAGAGGGAGACCCCAGAGAGAGCAAGGTCGCAGAGAGTTCTAGACTCTCTCGCAGCAGACAGAGGCCGGAGAGAGAGAGACTGAAGAGAGAGAGAGAGAGAGAGAGGCCGCAGGGGGAGAGAGACTGCAGAGAGAGAGAGACCACTCGCTTCCGTCATCACCGTGTGTGGAATGATTGGAACAATATCTAAACTTTGAACATTGTAAAGCGCTTTGGGTGTAAAATGCGCTATATAAATAAACATTACTTTCTACTCCCTAACAGTTGGGTTCATGTTTCAGAAGGGACCATAGTTGACGGTCTGAATAATCTGACGGAGCGTGTGGCCTTTGAGGCGATCTTTATGACGCTGTACGGTCGCTCGGCAACGAACCAACGCCACGCCTTCATCCCAAAGCTTCTGAAGGAATTCAAGGTGTACGACAGCTGGTTCCCCATTCTGGCCGCTCAGGTAACTACCATAACAGCCTCAGAGAGGGAGAGAGACCAGAGAGGGAGAGAGACCAGAGAGGGAGAGAGACCAGAGAGGGAGAGAGACCAGAGAGGGAGAGAGACCAGAGAGGGAGAGAGACCAGAGAGGGAGAGAGACCAGAGAGGGAGAGAGACCAGAGAGGGAGAGAGACCAGAGAGAGACCAGAGAGAGACCAGAGAGAGACCAGAGAGAGACCAGAGAGAGACCAGAGAGAGACCAGAGAGAGACCAGAGAGAGACCAGAGAGAGACCAGAGAGAGACCAGATCACGCTCTCGTCCTTTTTAATGCATCACGAAAATCAGGAGACTTGCACGAGATGCATCGCACCATCAACGCCGCACCATCAACACCACACAGACCCACAAACAAAGGCCTCGCACTGTTACAAATAAATACTAAATTTTCTAACTTTTATGGCAGATACCGATATGGTTCTGTTGCTCTCGTACCCGGACCAGTCTCCATGGTTACTTCAAGCCTGAGCTCATGAAGGAATGGGTCGGAGCGTCTTACTTTGTCCAACAGAGGAGCCGGCAGTTTGTGGAGCTTAGGCTGAGCGACAAGGAGACCTCAGGTGAGACCCAGACTGAGGCCCAGACTTATTTGATCTATCTATTATCTTTTAACCATCGTATCTTGCAAATAAGACTTTGTAATTTCCAGCCGGACGAATAAAGCTTTGTCATGCATGTTGGATTCGGCTCTGACCTCTGACCTCTCTCTCTCACACTCTCTCACTCTCTCTCACTCTCTCTCACTCTCTCTCACTCTCTCTCTCTCTCTTACTGCAGCTCACCACTTCGGGATCCTCTGGGCCGCGGTCGCCAACACGATGCCCATCATGTTCTGGACGCTGTACCATCTGATCCGGAACCCGGAGGCGATGGCCGCCGTGCGCCAAGAAATTCAGAGTGTGACGAGCGACAGCATTGATCTGACGAGAGAGACCCTCGACAAGATGTTAGTGCTCGGTGAGAAAACCTCACACTACTGCTGCCCTAGCCTGGCCTTAGCCATCCGTACACTCCGCTCAATCATCATTTCTCTGCATGTAACGTCTGGGTCTGGTCTCTGGGTTTAATTTCGACTGACCAACCAGCGAGTGTCGAAGGAGAGTGTTTTAGTTAATTGTGCGTAACGTCAAGAGTTTGCGTCGAACGGGAAGGTCGTAGTTTGGCAATGGTGAAGAGTGCGATAGTAAAGTAATCCGGTCTGGTTCTATCAAGAAATTGAAGCCGGAGCAAGAGGAATGTTTAGCAAATGTAATCGCTGGAAAAAACTGTGGCACTACTCCCCACAGGCTCCGTTAGCGGCAAAAGGGATGGCTAGGCTAAATGCTAACAACAGACTCGGGCGCATTACATACGTCACGGTATACTCAGATCCAATTGTTTCAATCTGCAAAAGGAGTTAACCCCTCCTACCTGTTCACGGAGCACAATGAAGCACCTCCAGACCTTAGTACGATATGTATTTTACTATGGTGTGGTACGACCAGGCTACTGCTGCTGTCATGTCTTCATGTCCTCATGTCCTCATGTCTTCATGTCTTCATGTCCTCATGTCCTCATGTCTTCATGTCTTCATGTCTTCATGTCCTCATGTCCTCATGTCTTCATGTCTTCATGTCCTCATGTCCTCATGTCTTCATGTCTTCATGTCTTCATGTCTTCATGTCCTCATGTCCTCATGTCCTCATGTCTTCATGTCTTCAGACTCGGTGGTGAAAGAAGCTCTTCGTCTCAGTACGATGTCCATGAACCTGCGCGAGGCGCAGGAGGACTTTGTCCTTGAGCTTCCGTCTGGAAAACAGCCGATACGTAAAGGAGACTTGGTCGTGATGTTCCCCATGACCGCCCACATGGACCCCGAGATCTACACAGAACCACAGGTAAGGACCAGGGCTGGACCTGACTAAGCCATTGGAAATCAAAGTTCTGTTCAGTCAATGGACCACACAGGGACAGTTTTTTTTCTAGCATGCTAAATAATAATAATAATACATCAAACTTGTATAGCGCTTTTTTGGACACTCAAAGACGCTTCACATGGGGAATAAAATAAAATAATACAAAATAAAACATGCTAACGTTGGACCAGGATGTGAATACAGGCGCTAGGATTCTATTCACAGTGAACTGTGAAACATGTGGAACTGTGTCTGTGGAATATACAGGTGTCTGTTGCACTGTACTTGAGGAAAAACAATGTACTGCTTCTGTTTTTAATGTTTTTATTATGCCCTGTCCTTGGGTGTTTTGAAAGGCGCTTTTAAATAAAATGTTTTATTATTATTATTATAAATGTAGGAAATCGTTATAAAGCGATAATACTAACCTGCTAGCTCAATGAAGGAAGTGCTCATGGAGAAGTTTTTCTCAAACTTGCTCTGGCTCCCATTGACTTATAATGAAACGTAAACTCCTCTTGCTCAGTGCCGTTGTGAGCTAAAACAATCTGTGGTTTAGTGTTCTCGCTGGTTCTGGTGTTGATTTTTTTTATATTGTTTGTGACAGATTTTCCAGTTCGACCGGTTTCTCTTGGATGGTAATCCGAGGTCGACCTTCCTGAGGAACGGGAAGCCCGTGCGCCAATACCACATGTCGTTTGGCTCTGGTCCCACTAGGTGCCCGGGCGAAAAGCTCGCCACGTCCGGTGTGAAGCACCTTGTGTGTCTGATGCTGATGTATCTGGACCTGGAGCTCTGCGACCCAAACGTGGAGGAGGTGACGTACGACGTGTCCCGAGCCGGGCTGGGAACCATGCCGCCCAAAGGAGACGTGAACATCCGCGTCAGTCTCAGAGTCTGAGGGCCGAGGGGGTCTTGACCCTGGTCTCGACCCTGGTCTCTTCTATGGTCTCGGCTCTGGTCCAGTTTTGCACAGCTCTGGTCCAGTTTATACATTGGATTTTAACATTTTAATTGTATAAAGTTTATTTTACGCAGGTAATGAGTCACTTTATTCTGAGCAGCTGAATGTAAAATGCCTTTTAAATCTTTGACTATGCAACAAAGCTTATGTTTTGAACATGCCCCCGCCCCATCTGTCCAAATGCTCTGTTTTTAAACATGATCCTCAGATTTTGACCATGTGCCTTGTGATGTCACACAAACACTTTTGAGCTTTTAGCATAATACATTTGTACAGTTTTCTTACAGTTTTTTATTTTGTATTTTGTATATTGTCACATTCTGGTGAACCTTCTAACACTGAGTTGGGGTCCAGTTTGAACTTTTATCTGATCAATTTCTTAAGTGTTTGATTGTTGGTTTTTTTGTGTTTAGAGACAGCTGTTGATTTTGAAAACTGAAAACACGCACAAGGTGATGATGTCATGATGATGTCATGATGTGGTAACAATGTCATGTCAGCGATGCTCCGATGCCAGCCTCAAAAGTCCACTGCTCCTGTCCAAACTGTGGCCCAGGGGCAGAACACGGACCCATGCTCGTTCTCTCCGGTCCTCCCCTCCATCCGCACCAACCTCCCCCTCCATCCACACCAACCTCACCCTCCATCCACACCAACCTCACCCCTCCATCCGCACCAACCTCCCCCTCCATCCACACCAACCTCCCCCTCCATCCGCACCAACCTCCCCCTCCATCCACACCAACCTCACCCCTCCATCCGCACCAACCTCCCCCTCCATCCGCACCAACCTCCCCCTCCATCCACACCAACCTCACCCCTCCATCCACACCAACCTCCTCCTCCATCCACACCAACCTCACCCCTCCATCCGCACCAACCTCACCCCTCCATCCGCACCAACCTCCCCCTCCATCCGCACCAACCTCCCCCTCCATCCACACCAACCTCACCCCTCCATCCGCACCAACCTCCCCCTCCATCCACACCAACCTCCCCCTCCATCCGCACCAACCTCCCCCTCCATCCACACCAACCTCACCCCTCCATCCGCACCAACCTCACCCCTCCATCCGCACCAACCTCCCCCTCCATCCACACCAACCTCCCCCTCCATCCGCACCAACCTCCCCCTCCATCCACACCAACCTCACCCCTCCATCCGCACCAACCTCCCCCTCCATCCGCACCAACCTCCCCCTCCATCCACACCAACCTCACCCCTCCATCCACACCAACCTCCTCCTCCATCCACACCAACCTCACCCCTCCATCCGCACCAACCTCACCCCTCCATCCGCACCAACCTCCCCCTCCATCCGCACCAACCTCCCCCTCCATCCACACCAACCTCACCCCTCCATCCGCACCAACCTCCCCCTCCATCCACACCAACCTCACCCCTCCATCCGCACCAACCTCACCCCTCCATCCGCACCAACCTCCCCCTCCATCCACACCAACCTCCTCCTCCATCCACACCAACCTCACCCCTCCATCCACACCAACCTCCCCCCTCCATCCACACCAACCTCCTCCTCCATCCACACCAACCTCACCCCTCCATCCGCACCAACCTCACCCCTCCATCCGCACCAACCTCCCCCTCCATCCGCACCAACCTCCCCCTCCATCCGCACCAACCTCACCCCTCCATCCGCACCAACCTCCCCCTCCATCCGCACCAACCTCACCCCTCCATCCGCACCAACCTCCCCCTCCATCCACACCAACCTCACCCCTCCATCCGCACCAACCTCCCCCTCCATCCGCACCAACCTCACCCCTCCATCCGCACCAACCTCCCCCTCCATCCGCACCAACCTCACCCCTCCATCCGCACCAACCTCCCCCCTCCATCCACACCAACCTCCCCCCTCCATCCACACCAACCTCACCCCTCCATCCGCACCAACCTCCCCCTCCATCCACACCAACCTCACCCCTCCATCCACACCAACCTCACCCCTCCATCCGCACCAACCTCACCCCTCCATCCACACCAACCTCACCCCTCCATCCGCACCATCCTCACCCCTCCATCCGCACCAACCTCACCCCTCCATCCGCACCATCCTCACCCCTCCATCCGCACCAACCTCACCCCTCCATCCGCACCAACCTCACCCCTCCATCCGCACCAACCTCACCCCTCCATCCGCACCAACCTCACCCCTCCATCCACACCAACCTCACCCTTCCAAAGTATTGAAATGGGACTTGGAAAACGAACCTGGATCGGTGCATCGCTGCATCATGTACCGATACCGTCTTAACTTTCAATGATTTTGGTCTCTGAGATGACTGCTGTTATATGACTGCGGCTAAACAAGAATAATCTGTACTGTATTGTATGATGTAATGTGAAACTGTACTGGTGATGATGTAATAAGGATGATGTAAATATGACTTTACCATTTTTGAGACGAATAAAAGTTTTGAATTGTCACAATGTTTGAATCCAGTCTCGTTTCATCAGATTAAAGCGGGGGTTCGTAACTTCTCTGACCACAACAATGGAACCCTTAGTGCAATCCATGTTACTAGTTCCTGGTTTGTGACACGCTGCTTTTATTTCATCATATTCCGTCATATTCTCGTTTCCCTTGCACTCGTGTGATAACGTTATCTGGACGCACACCCTTCCTGGGAGTGAGGAAAGTTTACGTCAGCCTCACGATGTCATAAGCGAGATTCTGACATACTCTTAAAAGCTTCATATAATTAATTGTCCTCTCACTTCCCCTCTCTTCTCCTAACCTAATTCACTTTAAATCTTTCTTGTACAGCCCTAAATCACACTAGTTATCTCAGAGGACTGAATTTGCCAATCACAGTACAGAGAATCAAACACAAATTCAAAGTCCAGGTCAAACCATGTTACTCATTGATTATAAATTCAGAGTGTCATTTCACAGTGCTGCCAGCAGAGGGAGTGTTGCTCATCCTGATCATCTCTTATCCAATAATATGATATATATATTTTCACCGTATATTTGTGTGTCCCAGAACTACAGTATGTGTTTCAGGGATGTTGTGACAGGGGGCGGGGACAGAGGGGGAAAGGGGCGGGGCTTAAGAGGGTCCGCTATAAATGAGCTGTGAACATGTGTGAGACACTTCAGGACCATGTGTGCGGCTCAGTCCAGGAGACCAAATCCAGTGTGGGGCCTGGGACTGATGGTCCTCCTGCTGCAGACCACAGAGTCCAGGGAGGACCGGGTGAGACCATCTGGAGCCAGACTGTTCGAATGTGGACCTGAATCCTGAGTGTTCTCTCTCTTTTTTTCTCCTCCTCTCTCTCTTCTCTCTCCCCGTTCTCCAATATCTTCTCTCTCTTCTTCTGTGTCCTCTCTCTCCTCTCTCCCTTCTCCTCAATCTCTTCTCTTTTTCCTCTCTTCACTCTCCCCTCCTCTCCATTCTTTCCCCTCTCTTCCCTCTCTCTTCTCTCCTTTCTCCTCGTTCTATAATCTACTCTCTCTCTTCTTTCGCCAATCTCCTCCCTCTCCTCATTCTCCAATCTCTCTTTCTCCTCTCTTCACTCTGCCCCATCCTCTCCTCCCACCGCTCTCTCTCCACTCCTTTCTCTTCTCCTCTCTCCCCTCTCCTTGTGTTCCGATCTCCTCTCTTCTCTCTCCCCTTCTCTTTCATCCTCTACTCTCTCTCTCCTATCCCCTTCTTTCTCCTCTCCTTCCTCTCTCTCTCCACTACCCTCTCTCCTTGTTCTCCCATCTCCTCTCTTCTCTCTCATCTCCCCTCTCCCTCCTTTTCCTCTCCTCTCTCTCTCCTCTCCTTCCTCCTCTCTCTCCTTCCTCCTCTCTCTTTTCTCCTCTCAGATTTCTCCTCAGACCTCGTGGGAAGTCTTCATCAGGAACAATGAGGAGAGCAGCCGTCCCGTCAGGGAGCACAGGAGGAGTTGCTCCAGGTCGCTGCGGGCCCAGGTCTGGTTTACGAGTCGGCTCTGGGCATCGACGTTGGTTCCACAGAGAAGTGTGGAGGAGCTGCTCTTCACTCAGGTCTGCAGCTGTAATCAGATTTACATCACAATCCAACACTGTAGCTGCTCCCACTGTCAGGGTCTTGGTCCATGTCTGGGTCTTGGTCTGGTCTTGTTCTGGGTTCGAGTCTTGGTCTGGTCTTGGTCTTGTTTCAGGTGAGAGTCTGGTCTTGATCTTGGTCTTGTTCCTGGTTCTGGTCTTGTGCTGGGTCTGCCTCTGGTCTGGGTCTTGGTCTTGTTCTAGGTGTGGTCTGGGTAAAGGTTTGGATATTCTGGGTTTTCTCTTATCTCTGTCTGGTCTTGGTATTAAGTCTGGTCTTGGAAATGTTATGTAACGTTTTGGGTCCGGGTCTCTAGGTCTGGTCTGGGTTCGGGTCTGAGTCCGGGTCTCGGTCAGGGTCTAGGTTGGGCTTGTTATAGTCTGGTCTTGGAATTGTTTTAGGTCTGGGTCTAGGTCTGGTCTGGTTTGGATTCGGGTCTGAGTGCGGGCCTCAGTCGGGGTCCAAGTTGGTCTTGTTACAGTCTGGTCTTGGAATTGTTCCGGGTCTGTTTTTTGTCTGGGTCTGGTCTGGTTCGGCTCCAGGTATGGGTTTGGGTCTGGGTCTTGTTCTGGGTCCAGGTCCAGGTCTGGTTGTGGGTCTGGTCTTGTCTGGTCTCACATGTGCATTCTACTGACTGTGTCTCAGGCCAGCAGCAAATCTCTGTCTTTGGGTCTGGATCGGGTCTTACTCTTGCTCTTGTTCTGGGTCATAGCCTGGTCTGGGTCTTGTTCTGGGTCGGAGATTAGGTCTGGGTCTTGTTCTCGGTCTTGGTCTTGATCTTGTTCTGGGTCTTGTCTTAGTCTGGTCAGGATTTTGGTCTGGTCCTGGTCTTGGTCTTGGTCTGGTCTCACATGCGCCCTCTGCTGGTTGTGTCTCAGGCCTACACCAGCTCTCTGTGTGGCTCCTCTCTCTCCTCTGGACGCTTCAGGGCTCCAATCTCGGGACTGTACCTCCTCAACGCAAACCTCCTCATAGGTGAGTTTGGTAACAGAGAGTTCAGACAGAAGGGTCGGGGGGTTGAAAACTTCTTTCCGTGGACCCCAGGTTGAGCACTAATCTGACCCAAACGTTTGAGTTCAGAGTCGGACGAGCGAGCGCCCATCCGAGCAGCGATCTGTGTCCAGGACCGGTGTGAGGGCAACATGTGAGTACCTAACCCCATCGCCAGTTTATTCATATAGCACATGTGATCTTGGGCCCTGTGTGTCCCAGTATTTAGAAATTAGAGGTGCAGGGGAAAGCAGGGGAGGGTCATAAGGGAGTTTGGAGGGAGGTGGTGGTAGAGGACGGGGGAAATATGAGGGAATTCTCTTCATCATCATCGTAGTTTCTCTCTGTGGTCTCTCTTTGGTCTCTCTGTGGTCTCTCTTTGGTTTCTCTCTGGTCTCTCTCTGGTCTCTCTGTGGTCTCTCTTTGGTTTCTCTCTGGTCTCTCCCGTGGTCTCTCTCAGGTCTCTCTTTGGTTTCTCTCTGGTCTCTCTGTTTTCTCTCTCGTCTATGTCTCTGGTCTCTTCAGTCTCTGATCTATCTCTGATTTTTGGTCTCTCTCTGTCTTTGGACTCTCTTTTATCTCTCTCTGGTTACTCTCTTCTTTTTATCTTGTGTCTGGTCTCTCTTCAGACTCTATCTGGTGTCTGATCTCTCTGGTCTCAGGTCTCTCTCTGGTCTCTCTTTGGACTCTCTCTGGTCTACTCAGGTCTCTTTCTGGTCCCTCTCAGGTCTCTCTCTGGTCTCAGGTCTCCTTCTCTTCTCTGATGTCTCTATTTTCCAGGTCTGTGACGTCTGTGATTTCGACATCAGGGCCGTCCACAGTGGTCCTCACAGGGACACTGTACCTGCAGGTGTGTGTCAGAACAGCTCCAGAGCGCCCCCTGTGGCCAGTGTTATACATACAGATGATCTAGCCTCCAGTCCCTCCGTATCGCTCTGAGCTCTGCCCCTTCACCCCATGTTACCATGTCACATCAAAGGCCCTGCAGGCTCCGTTCAGATCACAGAGCAAGTTAGCAATGAGCAGATATTATTTCCTTCGAGTAGTCTGCAGCCCTGGTCTATCCTCCGTGTCCATAACATGTGTTTGTCTTTCAGAGTGGACAGTACGTCTCTGTGCTGATGGACAACGGCTCCGAGACCAGACTCAGCGTCCAGGGTTCATCTGTGTTCTCTGGGGTCCTCCTGGGGGTCTGAGAAGGAGAGGGGGAGAGGAGGAGAGGAGGAGAGGAGGAGAGGGGCGGCGAAGGACGGGAGGGGAAAGAGGAGAGATTGGAGAGGAGAGAGAGGAGATAGGGGAGATGGGGGGAGAGAGGAGAGAGGAGAGGGGAGAGGAGGATAGAAAGTTACTACTTGATTCTTGCAGGAGAAATTCAGGTGTCCAGAAACAGATCATCCATAAAAACAGTATGGAGAGGGGAGAGAGGGGAGAGAGGAGGAGAGAGAGGAGAGAGGGGAGAGAGTAGGAGAGAGAGGACAGAGGAGAGAGAGGAGGCGAGAAGGAGGGAGGGGAGAGAGGAGATGGAAGAGGACAGGGGGGTGTAAAGGGGACAAGAGAGGAGAGAGGGCAGACCAGAGGCAGCAAAGAGGAGAGGGAGAGAGGAGAAAGGAGGAGAGAATAAAAGTGTGTAATTAAGCTTTATTTATTTATCATATTTCTTAAAATAAAACGCCTTTGTTTCTAACTGTCTGTTTTATTCAATAAACACTTTTGTCTAAACACGTGGCAAGTTTATTTGTATGGCACATAACAGACAAGAGCCTTTGTGGAACTCTCATTTCATTCAAATACAAACACTTCTTTGACGATACACCCGTCCAGGTGGAAAATAGGGATTTCCCATTGAACTGAGTGAGCACAGCAGTAAATGAAGCCTGACACTGCAGCAGGAAAGGTGGGCGTGTTGTTTGGACCCATCTAAAGTCATGGTAGAGGTACCAGGACCCGAGCCAGGGGGCGGGGCCTGTTGTCGTGGTGACAGATGATGTGTGAAAGCAGAGACTCACCTGAGAGAAACTTGAGACCTGAACCAGAGACCAGTTCAAAGTTTAATGAGGGAAAGATCCAAGTCTCAGACCAGAGACTGGACTAGGACCGAACCAGGTCTGAAGGAAGACTACGGCAAAGTCTCAGATCAGAGCATAGATCAAAACAGAGACCGGGCCAGAGACCAAACCCAGTACAGAACCGGGTCTGAAGTAGGACTGAAGCAGGTTTGAAGTGGGACTACACTAGGTCTGGACCAGAGTCTGAAGCAAGACCAAAGCGGAGTCTGATCCAGGACTGGAGTAGGACTAGGGCCAAGTCTAAGTCCAGGTCTACACCAGGAACTCGGACCAAAGCAGGAGCCAGGATCACAGGACCTCCACAGGTGAGAGTCATCTATAGCCTGATGTACAGTATACTGATGTAGACTAGTCTCTCAGCTGTTCCAGACCCAGATCCAGGTCCAGACCCAGGTCCAGGTCTGGCCCTCTGTGTCATGTTGTGTGGCTCTCTACATTTGAAAAAAAAAATAGGAACAAAATGTGAATAATTTCCTCCACCTGATTGTAGTGAGCCCAAATGTTTTAACCCAGGGGACTGAGCTTGTATCTCTGCTCGGTATGTGTGTGTCTGTGTGTGTGTTGTGTGTATCTGTTGTGTGTTGTGTGTGTGTGTGTGTTCCTGTATGGCAGGTAAAACATGGCGGACGCACGGCAGCGCTCTCTGTCAACTTCTGGGGAGTCCCTGTACGCGGTGCTCGGGCTGGAGCGAGGGAGCAGCCGTGAGGAGGTGAAGAAGGCTTATCGGTGAGTGCCACTGATAATGAGAGGCCCAAACTACAGCGCCTCAGGTCTCCATAAATCCTCTGCCTGCCCCAACCGCAACCAGATTGTGACTCCTGAATGCCAAATTAAAGAAATGTATAGTAAAAAAATGGGAATATTTATGTAGTCCAATATTCACAGTGTTTTAACCCAGGGGACTGAGATTTCAGCTCGTATCTCTCATGGGACTGTGCTGGTGTTGTGTGAGCTAGCTGACCCAGGGGACTGAGATTTCAGTTATAAGAACAGGATCAGGACCCAGAGACCAGGGCCAGGACTGGAGTGGAGACTAGAGAACAGGACCAGGACCCAGAGACCAGGGCCAGGACTGAAGTGGAGACTAGAGAACAGGACCAGGACCCAGAGACCAGGGCCAGGACTGAAGCGGAGACCAGAGAACAGGACCAGGACCCAGAGACCAGGGACGGTCACAGGGTTGAAGCAGAAAACAAGAGACCAGGACTTGGGCCAGAGACCAGGACTGAACCAGGACTGAACCAGGACTGAACCAGGACTGAACCAGGACTGAACCAGAACTGAATCAAGACTGATCCAGAACTGAACCAGGACCAAACCAGGACTGGGGGCTGTATGTGGCCCAGCAGTATGGACACCCCCCACCCACCACTAGTTGATCCTGGGGGACTGAGATTTCAGCTCGTATCTCTGATGTGACTGTGTGCTGTGGACAGGAAGCTGGCGCTGCGGTTTCACCCCGATAAAAACCCTGATGATCCGGCGGCGGCCGACCGCTTCAAAGAACTGAACAACGCTCACGCCGTTCTGTCGGACGCCACGAAGAGGAACATCTACGACTCGTACGGGAGTCTGGGGCTCTACGTCGCTCAGCAGTTTGGAGAAGAGAATGTCAACACTTACTTCATGCTGTCCACCTGGTGGGCCAAGGTGAGGACCAGGACCAGGGACCAGGACCAGGGACCAGGACCAGAGACGGAGACCAAATACAGAGGCCAGGACCAGAGACTGAGACCAGAGGCTGAGACCAGCACCAGAGACTGAGACCAGAGACCAGGACCAGAGACCAGGACCAGGGACCAGGACCCAGGACCAGGACCAGAGACTGAAACCAGAGACAGAGACCAGAGACAGAGACAGAGACCAGAGACTGAGACCAGAGACTGAGACCAGGATCAGAGACTGAGACCAGAGACTGAGACCAGAGACTGAGACCAGAGACTGAGGCCAGGGCCAGGGTCGGAGACCAGAGACTGAGACCAGGACCAGAGGCTGAGACCAGGACCAGAGAATGAGACCAGAGACTGAGACCAGGGCCAGGGACGGAGACCAGAGACCAGTATCAGAGACTAAGACCAGGACCAAGGCCAGAGACGCTCTCCAGGATCAAGACTGAAGCAGAGACCAGGGCCAAGAACAGGGCCAGAGACCAGGATCAGGACCGGGACAGAAGGAGAGACCAGAGAACAGGACCCAGAGACAGGGGAGCAGGACTGACCCATGGCCTGTACGTGTCTGTGAATCTTCGCTTCCTCTCTTCTGTTTCTCACAGGGGATCTTCGCGCTGTGCGGCCTGCTCACTGGATTCTACTGCTGCTGTTGTCTTTGCTGCTGCTGTAACTGCTGCTGTGGGAAGCTCCGCCCACCCGCAGAGGGGGCGGAGCCTGAATACGTGTCACCTGACGACCTGGAGGCGGAGCTACGCAGCGAGCACGACACAGGTAAGCTACACACAAACCACGCCCCTGTCACATGAAAGTAGATAGAAGTGCAGACATTTTGGCTCGCTTGTATTGCAGACGTGCCGGTGACGCAGCCGCCCAGTGCAAGTGAAAAAACGCAGTTGATCGGAGATGGAGCACGTCGCTATGGAGACACGTACACATGATGTGGACGGCCAATCGAGGCTGACCCCACCCACTCTGCTTTGACACGCCCACAAAGCCTTATGAGGAGAAGGGGCGGGGTCTGTGAACACTTTCAGCAAAGACACCCTTCTGATTTGAATCATTTATGTTTATTATTATTTATATTATTGTTTGACTTTTGTTCACAAAATGGCGTCACAGCAACAGATCCCGTGCTCTCTCGGAAACACTAAACATGTTTTCTTTTTGATATTGTCTTTGTAAATGAAGACATGAGCACTCCTTCACAGTACGTACTTTAAAGGACAACTCACCCTCAAATCCACTTTTTTTTGCTGATAAACGGTATAAATGAGTGTCCAATAGTGTTGTCTACATATCCTGGTCATAATCTTGTCACTTTGGTGCAAATTAGTTGAAAGTTAGACTTTCTGCCTAAAACCGTCTGTGAGGCGCCATCTGCTGGCGACCTGTATTACTACATTTGAATTTTGAATCTGGCACCAACACTGGCACAGAAGTTGGACCTGACGTCAGCAGCCCCCCGCCCAGAGCAATGTACACGGCCCAGTCTCGTTCACGCCCCCTTCAGTCCTCCAGGCTACGCCCATTTAGAGGAAGATTTGAACAGGAACCACTTTAAAGAGCGACTAAACACCAAATCAAATTTTTTCAACTCATAAACTGCATAAATATGTTTATTGTAGTGCTCTCTACATATCCTGGTCATTTTTTTGACATTTTAGTTCAAATTAGATAAAATATCACTTTTGAGCCAAAAAACGTCTGTGTGGCGCCCTCTCAACCTTTTTGGTGGTACTACATTTGAATTTGGTTCTGGCCTGTCCATTGACTCTCAAGTTCTCTATGACATCAGTTGTTTTGTGTGACGTCAGTCTGTCTGTGCCAGTGATATAAACCCATCCAACTCTCACACACGCCCCAGCTGCAGTTTGGAGTATTCTGGCGCCATCTAGTGGATTCAAATTAAATTACATGAGTCATTCTGAGATTATTGAGTGTGATTAGGTTCAGGTGTGTAGCTTTACAATTATCTTAGTGTATAATCAAGGGTAGAATGAGACTTTCTGGTCCGTAAACTATTGTTTTAAGCAGCAATGTTTTTTTTAGTGAGACAAGTGAGCTGTCAATCACAGCCCAGACCACGCCCAGCTCTAACCCCCCTTATTGTCCCTTGGTCCTCCAGGCAACGCCCTTTTAAAAGAACATTTTCAAATGTTCATGTGGGCGGAGTAAGGCTGGGCACAGGTGTTTAGTCGCTCTTTAACATGATACAGTCAGGTCCATAAGTGTGAACAGTAGGCCTCATACATACACTGTACATGGACGGACAACGCTAACACGCTAGCTTAATGAAGTATAGGAAGTATACACAGTGAAGTTTTGCTCCAACAAAGTTTTTTGTCTTGGTTCCAATCAAAAATAAAACACCTCTTGTTCAGAAACTGTTTGAGTCACACACAAAAATCTATGGTTAACGCTCTCTCTCGTCCTGGTGTTTTATTGTGATATTGTATTTGTAAATCCAGATCTTCGCCATAAGGATTGACCAATCAGATGCCTACAATTGCGGGGGAAACTCCAGCTTACCTTAGCAACACAGATCTACCCCTAGCGTCACCTATATATGGAAATTGGCTCCAGCTAGCTTTTTTCTAAAATGGCTTCCTCTGCATTTGGCTAACACTAGGATGACATCAGCCCTCGGTCAGTCCAACGCTACTCAACTCAAATCAAATCCAAAACTTTATCGTCCCAAAGGGGAAAAATGATTTGCATGTGATGGAGCAGTAAAATAAATAGTAATAACAATACAACACAATAACCACAATGATCACAGTGAGTTTGTGCATATCACAGCTTAAGCTTAATGAAGAGGAAACAAGTCCAGCCGCAGAGACCACATATGAACATTTAAAACCATGTGTTCTAACCCATTATTATAGATCTATGGTTCTAACCCTGGAGAACAGATCTCTTCTCCGAGAGGGGAGCAGTTCAAACTCCAACCTAAAAGTGGGGGGGACCTGTCTTTCGTAAAAAAAAATGTGTCTGCTCAATATTCAGACTTTGCTAATTATCACCCGTGTCATCAGGAACCAGGAGTTGATTTTAGGAGAGGTGTGATTTATGATTGTCAATTATTGCAATAACAAATGTGACAGAAACAGGACGAGAAGAGAAGAGGAATGAGTCAGAAACACGAGAATTGTGTTACAAATTTGAAAGACCTGTCCGGTCACATGGTCCGGTCACATGGTCTATGTAAAACTGTAAATAACTTTGTCTGAAGTGAAAATGGAAATAAATGTCATAAAATGAAACAGTCTTTAATCAAACACAATTTACACAGATTTGAACACAACTCAAACAGGACCACTGACATCTTCAGCTCCTCCCCTTCTCTCCCCTTTTCTCCTCTTCAGGTCCTCTCCTCTTCTCTCCTCTCCTCTCTTCCTCTCCTCTCTCCTTCTCTTCAGCTCCTCTCTTCCTCTCCTCTCTCCTTCTCTTCAGCTCCTCTCTTCCTCTCCTCTCTCTTCCTCTTCAGCTCCTCCAGTCCCGCCTGGACCTGCTCCACAGTCTCGGTGTCTTCTTGTCTCTTTGCTTCCGCCAGCGCCTCCTTGTAACACCTGTGCGCCTCCTCCAGAGCTCCTGAAACACAAAAGACATCGCTCTGTTACAGTAACAAGTTAGATCACGGCCGCAAGAGGGTACTCAATGGTCAAAGTGGACAGTAGTAAACAAGGTGTGAGCGTTTCTGACAAATACTATGAGCATGAGGCAGTTTTAAGACATTTCCAACATGAGAAACACGACACAGAAAATACTGAACAGTCTTAACGGTGGCCTCTAAAGTCTGACCTGAGTGCATCAGGATGCTCGCCATGTTGGACAGCAGAACGTGAAGATCCGGGTGTTTGTGAGTCCGACCCAAGTCCACAGCTCTCCGAACCAAGACCAGAGCTTCATCATGTCTCCCCTGGAGGTCCAGCACTGAGGCCAGGTCACTAAGGAGGACCAAAGTCTGAAAGCAGAAACCAGAGATCTAAGACTGAGGAGGACCAGGGTCTGAGACCAGAGAAGATCTAAGACTGAGGAGGACCAGGGTCTGAGACCAGAGAAGATCTAAGACTGAGGAGGACCAGGGTCTGAGACCAGAGAAGATCTAAGACTGAGGAGGACCAGGGTCTGAGACCAGAGAGGAAGGTGGGTCACCTGTGGATGCTCCTCCCCCTGCTCCTCTCCGCTGATCTTCAGGCTCCTCCTATAGTCCTTCTCTGCTCGGTCCAGGTCTGAGGTCTGAGTCCAGAACCGGGCTCTGGAGTCTAGGGCCAGGCCAAGGAGGAGGCGTGTGTCCAGCAGGAGGCGCTGCTGCTCCTCTGTGGACAAGAGAAAAACAGGATCGAGAGACAGGTAGAAGGAGCACTGATTTTCTGATGCATTCAGGGGTCATTGCTCTAACTATCCCCATTTCCCTTCTATCGATGTGGATGGAGCAAAACACAACTGCAGGTCTGGTTTTGTGAGGAACAATGTGGGACCTGGACACAAGAGCTGTGCTAAGGTTTGATAAGGTTGAGTTAAAGTTGTTTTTTGTCAGAGTGCACTCAAAAATATTCCAAACACTGCAATAGAATGATTTATATAATAATAATAATAATAATAATAATAATATATAATCATATTCTATAATTGCAGCCACTAAAATAGCAATCTCCACCTATTTCATTGCTGGGTTCCATCTGCGTTGTCTCCTGGTCCTCCTTCTCCTGGTTCTCCTTCTCCAGTTTCTCCTCTAAGGTCTCCACACAGAATCTGAAGCCGTGCGCTGCCAGCTCCAGCCTCCAGACAAAGGACAAACAGAAATGAGCCCAGACGCCCCTCTAGTGGTGGGAGTGTGTAAGTGTAGGTCCAACATGGCGCAGTCTCAGACCTCCTGCCGCTGCGGGCTCACCTTTTCTGCTGGCTGTAGATCATGGCCAGCTTCAACGAGATCTCCACCACCGCGTTGTCGCTTTCTGGAGTTCCACGAGACAGAATCAGACTGAGAGACGCTTTGAAGAGTTTCTCCGCCTCCAGAAAGACACACAAACTAACAAGTTACACACACATATTTACTACATACACACACACACACGTATAATGAGAGTAAAAAACACACCTGGTCCAGGTTTCCGCGCACAAACGAGAGGTTGGCCATCTGCATAAGACACACACGTTAAGGAGCGAGAGATTTTAAGTCACACACCGCCAGTCGAACCGTAAGCTCCGCCCACATGTCGTAGCAGTAGTAATAGCAGTAACAGTAGCAGTAGCTTACCAGGCTGTAGCAGTACACCAGGGCATCCTGATGCTGGAGTTGTTGGGCCAAAGCAACAGCCTGATGAAGGAAACTGGAGGCGGAGTTTAGCTGATCTCTGTGGATACACAACTGTACACACACATACACACACACACGTAATGAGTTCATAAAAATGATTATTACTACATACAAGTTGTACTATAATCCGTCATTTTAAAAACTTGAGCTCATTGATTCAGTTGTGAATGAATTCAGGCCGTAAAAAGTGCTGAGTAGAGACTTGGTGTGACGCTAGCTCTCCTCCACTCACAGAACGCAAACCTTGCAGAAACGGGTATAGCTCCTTTAACTACTATTGTACATGTTTTTAGTGGTTCACGTGGATGAAAGACACAGGGAGAACATGCAAACTCCACACAGAAAGGTCTGGGGGAGGAATTGGACCCAGGACCTTCTTGCTGTGAAGCCCAAACGCTAACCACTGAGCCACGCGAGATAGCATTGTCTATCTGTACTCCTATGGTCTGTGTTAGTTCAGTCCTTGACAGTTCCGGTTCACTCCCGGTTCAATGCTGATTCGGTCCCGGTTCAGTTCCGGTTCACTCCTGGTTCAGTCCAGGTTCAGTCCCGGTTCAGTCCTGGTTCAGACCCGGTTCAGTCCTGGTTCAGACCTTGGCCTTCTTCAGCAGCAGGATCATGTCGTCTTCTTTCTTCTTAGCTTCATAGCGTTTTTCTTCTTCAGTTTTTCCGAAGAGAGAGAACGCTGTCACAAAACATCAGAACATGATTCACAGGCTCTTGTCTCCACAGCGCCCCCTGTGGCCAGTGTTATATATACAACTCCACAGCGCCCCCTGTGGCCAGTGTTATATATAAAACTCCACAGCGCCCCCTGTGGCCAGTGTTATATATACAACTCCACAGCGCCCCCTGTGGCCAGTGTTATATCTACAACTCCACAGCGCCCCCTGTGGCCAGTGTTATATCTACAAAACATTGTAAATCTCATTTTAAAACACAAAAATATCATGCAAGGCTTCACTTCTGCCCTCAATCCTTCCGCATCTCTCTGAGCTCTGCCCATTCCGTGGAACATTAAAGACCCTGCAGGCTCCGCTCAGACTGCAATTGAACTTATGCCTGGGGGTTGTCATAGCAATGGTTCTTACCCAGAGTGCACCACAGCACTGCTCCTGCCCCATCTCTGGCCCCGCCACCATACTCAGGGCTCACAGCTGATTGGACAAGGCTGAAACAGAGAAACCAATGATCTTTCAGTTCACACACTCCTCTCTCTTCTAACTTTTCTCCTCACGCCTCTCTTTTTCTCTCATTTTCCTCCTCTCCTCTCCTCTCTCGCTCCTCTCTCTCTCCTTTTCCTCCTCTCCTCCTTCATTTTTAGAACGTGAGCACATATGTAAAGCAGAAAGGGAACATCAGGATGAGCAGCACTCCCCTCCGGTGGTGGGAGATGGATCCTACACTCTGCTGTTATAACAGTTTTATATCATGGTCTGCTTGTAGTCACAGCTTTACAGTGAGTCACTTTTATTTATGTAGCGCTTTCCCGTCCAGAGCAGGTGTACACAGACCCTACTGCACCGTCCTCCACTCACACATTCCATTTCATACTTTGTTTTTATGGCACTCCACAGTAAACTCAGGTGTGCCTCAAGGGTCGCTGCTCGGACCAATTGTCTGCTCCATCAGGAAACATCACAATCAGACAGTTCCTCTGATGATGACACAGTTTACTGATGGAAGAGAATCACAGCAGGTGTAAGGACCATGAAGATCCCGCTCCCTCTGCACCTTCTGCTGCTCGTTTTATTATTATTCACTAATTGACACTTTTGTAAAGTCCTTCAAGACGACTGCTGTCGAACCGAAACGAACCAGGTCTGAACCAGGACAGAACCAGGACTAAACAAGGTCTGAAATAGGACTGGACTGAACAAGGGCAATGTTTACACCAGGACTGAACAAGGACCAGGTCTGTACCTGGGTCGTGACACCTGCTGTGCGCGTGCATGTGCACTCACCTGCGGGTGACAGAGCGGTGTGCGTGCGTGTGGGAGTGTCGGGAGCGCGCGGACTTCACGGTGACCGAGATCGCGCGACTCACCGCGCGACAGACGCGCGCGGCCATTTTGAAACGAGCGGCGGAAGTGCATCACGAGGGGCGGGGCATTGTGTAACAAGCGCTCAAAAATAACATTACAAATTAATACAATAATATATTCATTAAATATATTTGTATGATTGTGTTTGGGTTAGGGAACCTGTCAAACACACTTCCTTCCTACTGCTGTCAGACTGTACAACGAGTACTATTGAGCCTGTACATGTGATCTATCGTACATTTCTCCAGTTTGAGATAAAAAAAGTATCTTATCTTTTCTTAAATGCTAAATACTGCAATTTCAGAATATCCACTCAGTGTCACTATTTTGTTATCCTGTCAGATTATATATATATATTTTTTTTGTGTGTGCTCTTACTATTGTCCTGAATGTGTGCTGCAAAAATCCAAACTGTGGGACAATTAAAGCTCATCTAGAACACATCATCGGCAAATCTGTCGACTAAACAGTTTTGCTGCACCACAAACAGAAGTGTGGTGCAGCATGTTTTGTTAGGAATAAAAATTCCCAAAAATTATCAAAACTCACGTTAGAGTTTGGTACATATAAAAGGTAAGGTATATACGCATAAAGGTTCATAATGTAGAGAAATAAAAGTATTTTTTCCAAACTTTCCAGTAAGAAAACTTTTATAGTTTTGGCCCCCAATTAAAATCAGTCTGACACCTCTGGGTTATGGAGTTCTGTGACGTTACCAACTAATGAGTAAAACACACATCTTTTGAGTAAGGAACAGCAATTTAACTCTGAGCTGAGAGCTGATTGGCCGAGTGAGGGTGGTCCTTTCACTTTTCTGTCTGAAAAATATGATCTAAAAGATGTGACAGAGAACAGAAACAGACAAAAGTGAAAACTAGTGTTAGAACTGTTTTAAATCCAAGACCGAGTGACATGGAATTTATCACAGTTCTAATGTTGGCCTCTAAAAGTCATGTACCTCAGCTTTAAATGCAGTAGACAGTTTCATGTGACAGTAAACTCCAGACGTGTGAGAAAAGTGCATTTATTTCAGCTGTGCTTTTTTTACCAACGGCAACAACTGATGACAACTTCCTGTTCACTGTACAAACCCCGCCCTCTGTCAATCAAAACGCCAAATAAACACGATAAAACTCAAACGGTCCAATCAGAGCGCAGTAAAACTAAAATGTCTAATCAGAAATCAGTCCGACTCTGATTGGCTGGACTCTTCATCGCTGGACTCTTCATCGTCGTCGTCTTCCTCATCTTCATCGTCCTCGTTCTGAAACAGGAAATAAACATGTCAATCACGCACATGTGACCACAGCTTTTGGACCAATCAGAGCAGAGAGAAGCAGTGACCTCATCGTCGCTGTCGCTGCTCGTTGCATCAGAGTCCGTGTCTGAGGAATCGCTGCGATCGGAGTCCGAGTCCGAGAGGTCCTGCTGAGAACCAGAGAGTCAAAACAGCTCTCCTTTTGGCTTCATTCAGTACCCAGACCTGGTCCAGGCCCGGTCTCACCTTGGCTCTGTAGTCCATGCTCCTCTTGTGGTCTGCAGCGGAGCTCTTGGACCCTGCAGTTTTGGTTTTTGCCAAAACTCGAACTTTGGCTACAGGCGAACGAACTTTAGTGGAACTGCGGCGTTTCTGGAATGACACATGGTCAGAGGTCACATGGTCAGGTCACATGGTCTGAGGTCACATGGTCTGAGGTCCAGTGTTGGGTAGAATAATTTGAAAATTTATTTTGTTCCAGAATACAGAACACATGACCTAAAATGTATTTTGTACAGTATTCTGTTACTTTGGAAAAGTAGTAACTTTATTCCGAATACTTTTATTTATACTTTCATTTTTTATTTAATTATTTATATTTGTTGTAAATTACTGTTTATTTACAAAACTTAAAAGTACATTTCAAAATATTTAAAATATTTATTGATGTAAAACAAGTCAAAGTGGTTCAACAGCTGTCATTTAACAACCATAAAAACACTTAAATATGCAACGTTTTCTTTCCTTTTTTCAACCTTAAAAACATAATGTGAAAAAGTATGTATTCGTGATTTTCAGAAAGTAACTGTATTTTAAATACTCAACTATAAAGTAGAAACTGTAAAGGAATAGTTACCCAGAAAAGGCATCCTGAAAACGTAATGGTGTTACATGTACTGTATTTCGTTACTTCACAACACTGCTGAGGTCACATGGTCACTTACTGTGGACGCGTTGTAGACGGCCCGCTCCTGCGGCGACAGTGTCTACAACAAACACAGGTATTAGAGCTAATTTACACAGGCCCCGGGAGGATTAGAGCTAGCCCTGGGTACCTGCTTCCAGAGCTCCAGACGGGCTCGGTACTGGGCCTGGTTCTCCTCCACGCTCCGCTTGTAGTCCTCCTTCACGGCCACACTGAGGCGCTGCCACCGTTTGCCAATCTCCACCATGCGCTCCTTCAGACTGAAGTGGTTCAGTTCTCCGTTTGTGAGCAGCTCCTGAGAAAACATCTGGTACCCAGACCTGGACCAGAGCAGAGGGACCATCAAGCAGAGGGACTATAGAAATCATAGAGGAAGACAGAAGTCGACCACAGAACATGTCGGGTCAGGAGGCACTGGCTTTTTTACACTCAGCCACATTAGAAACACTGTAAACAATCGTGTTGCAATAGTTTCACTGTTGGACCGTCTGTCTCCTCAATCTGGTCCATCAGGACCTTCTTCCGGTTCAAAGCTGTACTTTCAGATTTGGAGGTGCAGAGTTTCCTCCAATCACTTCATGCTGTTTGTCAGACCAGGTTAGATGAACCAAACTCCCTCTGGCCCCTGTGGTCCCAAAAACTAAAGGGTAGCCCTGCGAGAGGCCAACACTGGGAACAGTTCTGACTTACTGCCCCCAATGCCAACACAGCTCTGACATAGACCTGATCTCAGCAAAGGACTCCATACTCTCCTCTTTATCCACTAGAGGGAGCTGTGTTCCTCCCAGTGGGGGTGGTCCCGGCTCAAAAGTGGCCAAAATGACGTGCGCTGACATGCTTGCAATACCACCCCGGGCCAATGGGGGTGGACCCGGAATAAGAATTAGCCAATGCTAACATATAGCATCTTCTTACTTCTGGAAAACGTCTTTACAGGATGGTCCAAAAGTCGGCTCTTGGCCCAAAGCTCCGTTCCACATGTGTGTCAATGCGGAGGGGAGTGTTTTGGACTGGTCGAGTTTAGCCGCTGTGAATTTTTGAAGGCACTCGTTAAATGAATGGGGCTTGTGCCGGCTGATGCATGAGCAGATGCGTTTTTTCACATCTTCCAGCCCCCTCAGCCATTTTGAAACTGCCCATAGACCGCAGAAGTTGTGGCACATTAGTTAGAACGGCGGAGATAGGCGTGACTACGTCCGTTAATATTTACAGTCTATGGTTCCCCCACTAGAGGGAGCCGTGTTCCTCCACTTGAGCAGTGGTTCTCAAACTTTTTACTCCAAGTACCCCCTCAGAAAATACTTGCCACTCCAAGTACCACCACAAATGACCAACACTACACAGTAGCGTAGTAAGCCTAAATATTCATCAAAAACAAGGCAGAGGTTTCATTCCTAAAGAAGTATATTTAATATTGTCAGCCATTGTAACATTTTACACAGTTCCAACAGTAAGTAGGAAAAAAACTAAAAACTGTACTTAAATAATGATTCAATTAAAATGTTAAATTCATTACGAACTGCCAAGCCTTGACTCACTGTGAATGATATTCTGGAGTGGGATCTTTGTCCAGCAGAAGGTTTGGACACTGGTGCACTTTAGTTTCTAAGGCTTGGTCTGCTGCCCTCTTACATCTGTCGTTTACTCAGAGACATGTTCATACGGTTTGGATCAAATCATCTTTTGTTGCTCTCTGTTCCTTTTGCACAGAACTGGGAAAAAAAGCTTTTGTATTTGCTGCTCCTTCTACATGGAACGTGTTGCAAAAAGACTGGAAATTATTTGAACTTATTTCATTGAATGCCATAGTTTTATGAAATTGTACGTGACTGTTTTTATAATCTGTAATTGTATGTAACTTTTGTCCAGGACTCCCTTGAAAAAGAGGTTAACCTCAATGGGACTTTCCTGGTTAAATAAAGGTTAAATTAAAAAACAAATATATTTCAGTGATTCTTTGGCGTACCACTAGAGGGAGCCCCGTGTACCACACTTTGGGAATCACAGCACTAGAGGGAGTCGTGTAGAGGGTGCTGTCACTCACACTGGAGGTTTCTTGGGTTCTCCATCGAATTTGGGCTTCCTCTGCGTCTGTCCTGGTGTCGCCACAGCAACAGAGGACCCCCGCAGCTCCAACAGTTCCCTCTGCAGGAGATGCATTGGTTACTACAACTCTCAGAGACCAGACCAGACCAAGACCCACACCCAGACCCAGACCTGAACCTAAACCTAAGCCCAGACCAAAACGCAGACCTAAACCCAGGCCAGTAGAGAATACTTTCAGACATAAGAATAATATGGCGGCTTTGCGCACGTGCAAATAACGTCTTCTTGAGTTGTTTTGGCCCCTGCTGAAATACAAATCTACAATATAAATTATAACTTCTGCATTGTACAATGTTCTATCCCAATAATTCTAACCCGAACACTGAATAAATGAATGAATGCCTTTATTAGTCACAGAGTGGAGAAATTACTGAATCCTGTCTGAAGCGAGAATGAAGACGTACCTCGTATCTCTTCTGATCCTCCGCTGCCTTTTTGATCCATGGGATTTTCTCCTTTTTGTCCATCAACTTCCAGCACGTTTCCATGGCAACCTGCGCCTTTCTGCGGTCGCTCTGAGAACAAACACAGCTGTTTTTACAAATTGTTTAAAAATGTCCTGCTCTAGTTCATCAGAGGACACTCACCCGGTACTTGGCGAGGTAGTCTCCCATCACGCTGCTCTGCCACAGGTCCTCCGCTGTGCGAGGAGTCTCAGGGAGTTTGTTTGACTTCCTGCCGTCTCGACGTTCTTTGGGCGACCAGTCTGTGTCTGTGTCCCGCCGCCGATCCTGTGTCAAAAACTTAACATTACACCTGTGTCAAAGACCTCACATTACACCTTTGTCAAAGACCTCACATTACACCTGTGTCAAAGACCTCACATTACACCTGTGTCAAAGACCTCACATTACACCTGTGTCAAAGACCTCACATTACACCTGTGTCAAAGACCTCACATTACACCTGTGTCAAAGACCTCACATTACACCTGTGTCAAAGACCTCACATTACACCTGTGTTAAGGACCTCACATTATACCTGTGTTTCAGACCTCACATTACACCTGTGTTACAGACCTCATAATAAAAAGGTTTGGGTAACAGGATGATGCTTTAGAAAAAATGGATGAGGTTTTGGAGAAAGGGGCGGAGCTTAACACACCTTTGCTGCAGGTGAGGCCCCGCCCATGTTGAATTTGCCTCCGCCCAGTTTCTCTTCTGACATCACGCGGTCACGCTCCTCGTCCGGCAGAGACTGAGGACAGACCAGAGTAAAGGTTCTCAAACTGTATATTTAGACATATCAGCTTCACCTCGAAGCACTGGGGATTCTTTACACTCCAAAACAAGCCGTGAAAGGTTTTTAAAACTGACGCAGGAATAAAATACCTCACAGACCACAAGAACCGGAGCAGAAACGACCGTAAAATAAACAAATGGGTTTGGCGTAATGAGTTTCGCTTAAGCGAGTGGTCCTACTCTGCGGTGGAGACACGGCCGCTGAGAGGACCGAGGGAGAGGAAGGTTCCTGTAAAAGTTCCACCACAATCCTTTTACCAGGAACTCCAGCGGTGGAAACGCGGCTTGTATTGAATTTCAACTGTGGCACCTGACTTAAATTTAAATCAGCTTCTGCGTGTGAATTGGGGGAATAACCATGTGGCGTATTCAAAACAATGAATGAGTCTCAAAGTGTGGTCCCCTCTGTTGTAAACCTCATGAACCTGACCCAAAGCAAAAGACAGAATTACCTCCAGGAAGCGCTGAATATCCACATCGTACTGTTTCTTCCTCTGGAAACAAACACACACAGACGTCAGAGGAGTGTGTCAGGAGTTACAGTAGTAGTAGCAGTAGTAGTTGCAGCAGCAGTAATAGTAGCAGGAATAGCAGCAGTAACAGTAGTAGGACTAGTATGAGCACCTGTTCACATCTCCTCTGGAACAGGTCCTTCTCTGGCTGCGTCATCAGTTTCCACTGTTTGCTGCACAGGACCATCCTCTCTGTGCTCGGGACGTCACGCATGTTCACCATCAGCTCCGCACAGTACAGAGAGTAACCATTGCTGCAACAGAGAGGACTGTTACACACATTCACAGATACACACACCCGCCCCCACACACGCCAAGAGACACGGACACAGAGAAGGCAGAGGCACACATGGTTACTAAGAGAGACACAAACAGCGGTCAAGGCGGTCTGGGTCATGTGACAGGGCCAGGTGACTCACGGCGGCGGTCTGGTGGGGCGTCCATCAAACTTGTCCTTCAGTTGTCGTTCTGCTTTGGTCAGAACAGAACGCACATGTTCATCTGCGCTCAGGTCGGGGTGTGCCTCATGGTACACACGCATACTACCCTGAAACACACACACGTGATTATAGACACGCACAAGCGTCTGCGTGGGTCCGGGTCTCTGGGTCCGGGTCTCTGGGTCCGGGTCTCTGGGTCCGGGTCTCTGGGTCCGGGTCTCTGGGTCCGGGTCTCTGGGTCCGGGTCTCTGGGTCCGGGTCTCTGGGTCCGGGTCTCTGGGTCCGGGTCTCTGGGTCCGGGTCTCTGGGTCCGGGTCTCTGGGTCCGGGTCTCTGGGTCCGGGTCTCTGGGTCCGGGTCTCTGGGTCCGGGTCTCTGGGTCCGGGTCTCTGGGTCCGGGTCTCTGGGTCCGGGTCTCACCTCATAGTCCTTCTGCAGCTCCAGGGCTTTGCTGATCCACTTTAGTCTGCGTTTGTCCGAGAGCTGAGACCACTGCCTCCGGAGAACGTCCTTCAGCTCCTTCTGACTGACCTGAAGAGGAGACGCGAACCCTGACAGTCACATGACCCTCACAAAGGAATTTTCCAAAGCACTAGCAAAACCGGATCGCTCCCCTTTCAATTTAATCATATAGAAGAGTCCCATGTAAACTTGTGCTGTGATTGAGGTGTGAAACTGGAACCTTTTTCTCCTGCTGGATACTACTAAGACACAGCCAGCAGATGCATTTAAAGAGCGACTAAACACCTGTGCCCAGCCTTACTCCGCCCACATGAACATTTGAAAATGTTCTTTTAAAAGGGCGTTGCCTGGAGGACCAAGGGACAATAAGGGGGGCTTAGAGCTGGGCGTGGTCTGGGCTGTGATTGACAGCTCACTTGTCTCACTAAAAAAAACATTGCTGCTTAAAACAATAGTTTACGGACCAGAAAGTCTCATTCTACCCTTGATTATACACTAAGATAATTGTAAAGCTACACACCTGAACCTAATCACACTCAATAATCTCAGAATTACTCATGTAATTTAATTTGAATCCACTAGATGGCGCCAGAATACTCCAAACTGCAGCTGGGGCGTGTGTGAGAGTTGGATGGGTTTATATCACTGGCACAGACAGACTGACGTCACACAAAACAACTGATGTCATAGAGAACTTGAGAGTCAATGGACAGGCCAGAACCAAATTCAAATGTAGTACCACCAAAAAGGTTGAGAGGGCGCCACACAGACGTTTTTTGGCTCAAAAGTGATATTTTATCTAATTTGAACTAAAATGTCAAAAAAATGACCAGGATATGTAGAGAGCACTACAATAAACATATTTATGCAGTTTATGAGTTGAAAAAATTTGATTTGGTGTTTAGTCGCTCTTTAACATTGACTGCCATTGACGTGTTAACACGTCAAACTAAATAGTAACGTTGTCTGCCAATGACGTGTTAACACGTCAATTGCGTTTCCCGCTATTTTTACGTTCCCAGCTGTCCATTGAATCTAATATGTGGAGATTGGCTTGAGGCAATACTTTATGGAGCCAGCAGATGGCAGCATTGCGCTATGAATGGTTTGAACACAGCTAGATGCACTGTTTGTGGCCCTTTTTTCTCAGCTTTCTGGTGATTTCAATAAAACTTCCCTCTACTCAACTGGGGATTACAGAAGAACTAAACAAGATAGAAACAAAATTCTTTTTGCTGGTGAGAGTAGACAGCCCATTCTTTCAGAATCTAGTTTTAGATTTCAGATAGTCAAAGTACACAATATTCTGTGGGTCTTGAAAAATCAGTAAAAACCACCAGAAACGGCTGGCAATATGGGAGTACCTGTTTTGAAATGGGCTGGCAGTCAATGAGTTAAGAGCACAGTGAAAAGCCATGCTGAAGTTAAATTAGAGCATATAGGCCACACCCTCACATTGATCACATGACGTAAAAAGCAGGAAACATGGTACTATTTGTGTTGTAAATTAAATGACTTGTAATGCTGCCCCCACATTGATCAAACCCGAGCTAACCCAAGCTAACCCCACATTACCCTCTGGGCCGGGCCTCTCACCTGTGGGTGCAGCTTGGTGTAGCCCTTCTTCTCGTGGTTGTACCAAAGCTGCTGTGGAGTTTTGGGTTTCTCTGGGAGCTCGGACTTCTTCCTCTCCTCCATCAGGTCTGGGTGGTCCTCCCTCAAAACAGGAAACAACATTTTTACTACTGAGCACTGCTACTAAATGTTGGTCTCATCCCTCCATCACTCGTCTGTTTGACTGTCGGACGAGAACTCACTTGAAGCGGGCCATGTTCTTCTCAAACGCCTCCTTCTCCCTCTGGAACTCGGTGATGTACTTTTGCTGCAAACCAAACATATTAAAGTCAAACACTCATGAACACTGTGACTTATGAACCAAAGACAGACCTTCTTTTTCTCTGGCAGCTCCTTGTACTTCTTGGACAGGATCTTTGTCAGGTCCAGGTTGCTCATCTCGGGGTGGATCTTGGCGTATTTGGCTCGTTTCTCCATGAAGAAGCGAAAGTACGGCGTCAGCGGCTTCTTGGGGAAGTCTGGGTGAGTCTGCAACAAGAGACCAGGTTCAGACCCCAGTGGGCCTAAGCACATGATCAAGACTACACTGGGCCTGGCCTAAGAGCAGGAACAGGACTGCACAAGTCTCTCCATGGCCTTGAACCAAAGTACATAAGTTAGTCCCATATGAAACAACTGAGACTGAGGAGCACAGGGACTGGACTCCTACTGGTCCCAATGTCAGGACTAAACATGGGGAGGTTGAATTTCAGATTCACACAGCCAGAATCTGGAACGGTCTTCCTGAAAATGTGAAACAGGCCTCTTCCCTGACAATGTTTAAATGCAAGTTAAAAACAGTTCTGTTTAGCTGTGTATACAACTGAGGGATTTTATATTTGTATCTTTATTTTTAATGATGATGAGTGATTAGTACCTTGTGTGATCATTGGGTTAAGTGTAAACATTAAATACCTTTAGTTTCTTTCCTTTGTACGGATTCTTCACAAACTCCACGGCATCGATCAGCAGCTCCGTCATCGTCCGGTACTTACGAACCTGAACACAAACACAACGTTTGTGTCTGTATGGTTCTCATGTGGTTGGGTCTTTATGGTCCTTGTGTGGTTCCGTCTTTATGGTCATTGAACTACAGTCTAGAACTTAAACGCGGCCTGTACAGAACCTGCCAACTTTTTCCAAGTCCGAACCTATCAGACAGAATCCACCAACCTTCAGCTCTACTGCAGAGGAAGTATGTACATCAGGGAAGTCACACTAGTACCAGGACCAGGCTCAAAGTTTTGATTCTAACCAGTCTCTACCCATTTCCTCAAGTGAGTCCAGTCTGAATCTGAAGCCTTGAGGAAAGGGCTCTGTGAGGAAATGAGTCTGTTGTGCTCCTTGGTGAAAATGGTTCCCAGAAAGAGGGTCACTTTAAATAACCAGAGGCCAACAACTTGGATGAAATTCTGAGGCTGTTCGGAGCAGTCCATATTGATTCACAAATGACAGAACTGAAGTTTACCAAAAGATCTGGCTCTATTAATATACAATAGTATAATAATAATAATAATAATATACCTGGAATACACAATGTTCTGTGCTTTATAGCGAGGTATAACAGGCATCTGCCATATGCTTGTGTGTGGCTCTCATGTGGTCAACTCCATATAGTCCACATAAGGTTATTGCATCCTTGTCTCCATATGGCTCTCATACCTCTGTGGACACCTTGCTCCACTTGTCCTTGCACATGGTGGCGCTGTAGCGGCCAAAGCTCATGCGGGTCCAGTCGAAGTGAGACTCTGTGGTTTTGTACTTCATGGTGTCTCCATCTGGGATCTGAGTCCGGATCCGGTCCAGGAGCTCCAGGACATCCTCTTGGGACCAGTCCTCTGTTGTTCACAATGGATGAACATGAACAAACGCTTAGGTTTCCTTTAATTCAAAAGAGGATCTGCAGATCACCCTGATTCCCTCCCTCACCTGTGCTGCCAGTTGCAGAGACGCTGCTGCTGCCGTTCATGGTCACTTGACGCAGGCTCCGCCCACTTCAGCAGGCCACGCCCACTTCACCTGGAGCAGGTTCCACCTGCTTCACCTGAAACAGGCTCCGCCCTCTTGACCTGCAGCAGGCTCTGCCTCCTTCACGTGGACAGAAGCTCTGCCCACTTCACCTGGATCAGGCTCCGCCCACTTCACCTGGATCAGGCTCCGCCCCCTTCACCAGCAGAGGGGATCTCCTTGCCTCATTATCAGTGTTTGTCCTTTAAAACAAATGTATTAATGTTTACTTTAGCATGTCATGTTTAGAATGTGTAATGTTTACTTAAATATACGCATGAATGGAATAGAGATGGTCAGGATGACCCACACCATCCAGTCGGAGATACATTGTTGTAATAATTCCCTTCAAAGCTAACTGAGCACAGTCATGTGACCGTGGAAACTCACTTAAAAACTATGTCCATGACGTCACACTCTGCGGATTTATCATGGTGTAACGAATTTGAAAACAGAGCATTGATACAGAAGGGGCGGGGGGACTTCACTCTCAACAGAACCATAAGTTTACAACTAACAAATATGACCAAATATGTTTCTGAGGCCAAATATGTGTAATGAGTAAGGCACACATTATATTGCTATAAAAAATATTTAGAAATATATGTGTTGTAAATATATGGCAAAAGGCCCCAGTTTGGTGGAACGGCCCTCTCCCGTCTGTGTGTGTCACTGTGGCCTCCTGCACAGCAGCTAAGCTAGCTCCAGCCTCAAACTGTCAAACTCACACAAAACACGGCTTCTGCGTCTGTCACGATCCATCTGCATCATTACTGATGATAATGTGTGTGTTTAAGGCAAGTTATGGGACAATTTCACTTGTGACGGGACTCAGCGGCCCTTCACTCTGACGCTACCCGAGAATCAGTCACCACGAAGCGGCCATGAAAGCTGCGAGGCCCGGGGGACAAGCTCCGAAAAGCTCACAAAATGTCGGACATCCACCGCTCTGTACTCACCCGAGTGTCTGGAAAGAGGTGCCCAAACAACGGGGAAGAGGCGAGCAGAGCAACGCGGCCTGGTTCTCTCCCGGGGAACAGCACCAGATCAGCGGGAGTCAGCTCCAACCGCAGCCGACACAAGGAGCGCCTAGGCCGGGGTGAAACTCCGCCCAGCGCCGCAGGGGGAGGACCTCCGCGGGAAAACATGAGCTCAGGCGGAGGAGGGAAGCAGAAACACCGGCCAAGAGAGGAGGCGAGACCCGCTGATGTGGAGGGCTGTGGGGGGTGAGAGGAGAGGCAATAAAGGGGAGGAAGAGGCGATCTGTCCGGGAACGAAGGAACCAGAGACACCGGCCACGAGAGGAGGCAACAACCGCTGATGTGGGGAGGCAACTCAGGGGATGAAGAGGCGATCTGTCCGGGGAAGAGGGAACCAGAGACACCGGCTTCGACAGGAGGCGCAACCGCTGATGTGGAGAGCTGTGAAGGGCGGAGGAGAGGCAGTAAAGGGGAGGAAGAGGCCATCTGTGCCGGGCGGAAAGAGCAGAGACAGCGGACATGAGAGCACACCGGAGCCGCTGGTGTGAACTGTGGAACCCGGGGAAGGAGATGATGTCCCCGGGAGGAGGGCCACACGCTGCGGACTCAGGTCTACTCTGTGCGGGAGTGCAAGTCCGTGTCCACGGGGATAGTGGAACACAGCCGCGGAGACAAGTTTCAGAAAAGTGTCAAAATAATGAGGAAAAGTGACTGCCTCCACCCGTGACGTCATCAAGCACACCTGTGATGTCACTAAATGGTTAATGTGAAGGCATTTTCATAACAAAGTTTATCCTTATATATTACTATAAATGTAACGTCTAACGAAACTCATAATTCAAGCTGGGATCATGACGTCACGTTGATGGCAAAACGCCACATCCTACTACAGGTATTTTTCAGTTCAATTCAATTTATTTGTGCATAGCCTTAAATCAAACAGCAGTTGTCTCGGAGGACTTTACAAACTTGCCTATTCACTAACAGAAGATCAGAAAACTAAATACAGTAAATATAATAATATCATAGTCCATGGTCCATAGCAGGATGACAGAGTCTAGAAATGTTTATAAATATTAATTCATTTCCAAAATCATCAATGTCCTTAGACCCTCCTGCTTCAGCAAGCGACATGATAGTTTTTGATAGAATCACATATTTTTCATCTAAAATGGACATGGAAATAGTCTGACCCTGTTGCTGTAAAGTTAAAGTGATAGTCTGGAGTTTGATGGGAAAAAGAGAGAGGTACATGATTTGAAAAAAACCGACCCAAGCTCCTCCCCCTTCCTTTCTGATTGGTCTTGAAGCCACGCATCCTTTTCCGTGCATGCGCCAGGTCGACGTGAGGTGGAGAGATTTAAATATTTAATCATAATTTATTACACAGCTCCTCACAGCAGCAGCATTTTCAAAACGTTCTACCGATCATTATTTCTTGACAACAGACTCTCAAACGAATAATGGCCGCTGCCCTTTAGCAACACACTCTGTGCTTGTACTTCAGGTGTGTAAAATACTAAGATTACTCTGACAGTAGTTCGTACACTTCGTCACAACATGCTTTCAGCGCCTGTCACTTTTATTACTTCTATCGTGTGAGAGAAGCTATCGGAGCTAGCCACGCTCAGTAACTTAAATACCAATCAATCAACACATTTGAATGTTAATTGGAGACTATACATATATATTCTAGATACACATGCACAGAGGTTTTCAGGATTATCTGTTCACGTTTTCATGACAAAAATACTGTTTAAATGAGTCAAAAAGCGATGGCGGTAAACCTGGAAGTAACAATTAACATTAGTAGAACATTTTAGGACACATTTGCCGAGGATCTGATTATGGATTTAGGTTAAGTTTATATTTGTGTCACTCACCGCTGATGTTCAAAATTCTTTGTTCACTTTTCATGTAGTTTCAGAGAGTTGTAGTTAGTTAGCTAACCTAGCTGTTACCCGCCTGGGCACGTCACGGCGAAACCTTTGGGAACTAACTATTTTTACCATTTAAAAAATATATAATGCCCATTGCAGCTTTGAATATTAAGGCCTGTCTAATATTCGTTCTAATATATTTATATATATATAATTTAATATTCGAATTATATACAAGCATGGTTAAACTGGACGACATTGTGGAAATTGAACTATAGTTAAGATAAGGGAAGGCTGGACTTAATTCATTTAGAATTCCAGACCATCAATTTAACAAAATGCCCATATAAGGAAATTGAGAAGTGTGTGTATGAGGAAAGTGAAGTTCAACTTGCGATTTATCAACGTCAGCGGTTGGTCCCTTCAGATCCCGCGGGAGGTCTGGAGCTTTCGGACTCTGATTTCAAACAAGCAACAGACACAGACTGAAAAAGGAGTCTACATGAGAATAATGGTCTCTCCAACATGCGGCCCGTGAAAAGGTATTTTGAGGCCCCCTAGTGGACATCAAAGTTTAATGCCAATGCCGCCCCCACTGAAGTATAAAAACCACCATTTCTTTTACCATAAAGAACACACCCTGAACGCGATAAGCAAGAATTCAAATATTAAGATTACGATTAAGAGATCCTTTATTTGTCCCACAGTGGGGACATTTCGGTGTTGCATCACAGGTTATAGAACAGTAGGAAAGGGGAGCACACGACACACGTTGAGTGAACAAAAGCTATACTAATCAAAATAAAATCAATCTAACTCTAGCATCAATAATAAGTATAAAATCTCTCTTGAAAATATAATAGATGTAAAAAATGTACATTGACAAAATGAGAGGCAAGTATAAAGTATTGTGTTATCTAGTGCAACTAAAGTGTAGTTATATGTTAGCATCTGTACATCAGCGGCAGTATGTTTACATCTGTACATTAGCAGCAGTATGTTTACATCTGTACATTAGCAGCAGTATTTTTACATCTGTACATTAGCAGCAGTATTTTTACATCTGTACATTAGCAGCAGTATTTTTACATCTGTACATTAGCAGCAGTATGTTTACATCTGTACATTAGCAGCAGTATGTTTACATCTGTACATTAGCAGCAGTATTTTTACATCTGTACATTAGCAGCAGTATTTTTACATCTGTACATTAGCAGCAGTATATTTACATCTGTACATTAGCAGCTGTATATTGCACATTCTGGTATAAGATAAGGATATCGCAACGATGCGAGAATGACACTGGGATCAAGTTGGCAGTGTTCATTAGTCCTTATTGTTTGTTGTACAGTCTGACAGCAGCAGGAAGGAAAGACCTGAGGAACTCCTTCACACAGCGGGGGTGGACCAGTCTGTCACTGAAGCTACTCTCCAGAGTGGACAGAGTGTCCTGCAGGGGGTGACAGTCATGGTCCAGCATAGATGTTAGTTTGTCCAGGACCCTCCTGTCCCCCACCTGCTGCACTGTGTCCAGGGAACAGCCCAGCTGCTCCAGCTTCTTCCCTCTCAGTGATGCTGCTGCTCCAGCAGACCACACCGTACAAGATGGCTGATGCCACCTGCACACCAAAAGACCTGAGCCTCCTCAGCAGGTAGAGCCGGCTCTGGCCCTTCTTGAAGAGGGCGTTTGTGTGTATTCAAAAACTAATCATTTTTTAATACAAAGCGTCATTGTTTTGGTCCAGTTTTGTTTCAATCCAAGCAGCTGAACTCATTTTGTTCATAAAAATATACAATATTTAGAAACTAATATTCAATCAAAGTAATTATTTGGTCAAAGTATTGTCATTATTATAAGAAGTCACCGATACCAATTAGTTTTCCTATTTTTGTCTGTTTCGAGCTCAACCGTTCACTTTCTCTGCTGTTATTGTTAAAGAAAGAGAAGATGCACTGTTTAAAATGTACTTATGTGCAATATTTAACCAGGAGCTAAACGGCATGTGCAAAAAGTTGCATGTGTAATTTCAGTGGCTTGATTCTATCTCTGCACGTGCACTGATCTGTTTGCTCCAGTGTTGATATATTTTGAATACACAGAAACACGTGATAAAAATGCATCCCAGTTTCACCCAGACTCGACCTCATGCGACAGATACATTGAGTTTGAGACCCCTGCTCTAGTCCTTTAGCCAAGTGTGTTTGAATAAAGACACATTTTTTGTATGTGAAGTAGGCACGTTTCACCACATGTTGTTAAATGTGGCCCAATGGTTCCAGCTAGTTTATTTTCAAAAATGGTTCTTCCGCTTTCAGTCCAGTCCTTATATAAAGTCTATGGTTAAAACACCCCGTCAGTAAATCCTGTTGTGTCCAGTTAAAATCAGCTTTGTTTTGCTCCATGAGCTGTTGGTAAAGTGCCACAACACAAAAACCTACGGCTTATATTCAGGTGGGGCCTATATGGGGCGGTTTATATACAGGTGCACTTATAGTCAAGGAAGTACTGTATGTGTGTTTATGTATGTGAAATTTAAAAGAAAACATTACTCGACTGCTATGGTAACTGCTAATGTCACACCTACAGCTGGGACCCATAATAAAACAGTTTGGACAGTAGTAACCAGCAGGAGGCCTCAGTGTGTCCGCAACCTTGAGCTTACTGTGAGTATTTATGCTTCTTCAATGACACGTGACATTATCTCTGTGTTGTGGATATATCTGTGAAACACTGCAGCAAATGATGATTGTTGTCACGCGCCATGGCAATAAATAAATATAATTTTGAGCCCAGCTGGTGTCCATCACATCAAATACCATCGTAAAACAATAACTGGAGTCTTTGTGGGGGCCCTGTAGTTTGGGCCTCTCATTATAAGTGACCTGCTATTTGTGTGGTAACTTTGTTATAGCTGCTGTCTGTGGAATGAACACTTTCACATTCACAGCTGATTCAGGTGCTGTAATAGAGCACACAGCTCCTGGTTCTTCTACAGCATAGGTGTCAAAGTCCAGGCCCGGGGGCCAGATCCGGCCCGCGAGACCATTTCCAGTGGCCCCTGAGAAGATTTTAAATTATCATATTAAATAGCAGCATTGATGGTGATTGGCGACAATGGCATGTTATCTATAACTAATTTTCTCAACTCAAGAAAACAACCATAACATTTAATTGAAATTAATTAAAAGAAATGTGAAGCCAACATGTAATTAGAAGTTAGAATTGTTATGTTTTTTTTTTTTTCACGAGTTCAATTACATTTCTTCTCAAAGGTATGAAGGAGGATTTCCCAATTTTCATATGAAAGAACCTCCCTCTCCACTTTTTGAACAAAACTGGTCTTATTTGACAAGCACGAATCACCAGAATGATTGACAATTGGGAGGACCAACAGTCTTGATGGTCCACCCGGAAGTAGAAAATCATCCTATATACCTTCAATATTTGGTATAGATTGGATATACTTTTCTAATCAGAAAGTCATTTATAAAAAATAATAAATGAAACCCACTTATTCTTTCGGCCCCTGACCAGCCCTTTCATTTTTCATTCGCCCGCAACCAAAATGAGTTTGACACCCCTGTTCTACAGAGTCTGATTTTAATGGAATATGATGGGTTCAGTTTTAGTCTGAACTTTCACTTTGAGATATGTATTCATAAAATCGAATAGTTTTAATAATTGAGAAGTGTTTACTCCACCCCATCCTCTAGGTGGCACTGTCCGCTCACGTCCACCCACGGTCGAGGAGCCCAGTGTTTGTGTTAGCCTTAGCCTGTTAGCTTCTGTTAGCCACTTTAGCTTCTGTTAGCTCTGGTTCTCCCTGGTCCTCCCCGGTTCTCCTGCTGCTCTCCAGGGCTCTGATGAGGACCGTGGCCGCAGAAGGGTGAGTGTTCCTCGGGGGCAGCTGTGGCCTCTGTCCCGGGAGCTTCCGTGGACTTTAAACCCCCACAAACTGGAGCTAAAGCCGCGTTAGCTCCCATGCTTCGTCGCACTTGCTCAGTCTGTGTATAAGTCTTTTAAGTTTATTCATCTAAGTATTTAGCCCATGTGAATGTGTTGTGCCCGTGCGGGAAAGGCCTCCTGCTGAGCGGCTGCTGCGGGGGCACAAGGAACACTACATGAAGCTGTTTTCTTCAGGACATAAAGTTGACTTCAGTTTTCTCTTCCGCGTTAAATGCACTGTGACAGTACTGTGTGGACAACACCTTCAGATCCAGGAGCTATCTGCTATGTTAACAAAGTTTCTGCCTTATGTTTTGTTTCATGGTTTTGTTTCGGAAGTTTCCTCACCCAGTGTCCCAGCTGGAGGCCAATCCCTGTACAGAGACCTGAGACGACTTCAGGACAGAGACCTGAGACCAGGACTAATGTGTGAGGACTTCAGAGTTATAAGAGAATATTGTCAACCTGTGACCTCTGACCTTTGCACCCTGTGACCTCTGCACTCCTATAATATTTACAATGCATTTTTATCTTCATCTGACAAACCTCAAAACCGTTGAGTTAGAGTTAGGGTCTCAGAGGTCTCTTTGACCGATCCGTTTAAACACCAGTAACATTATGATCCAGAATCACACACAAAAAACCTCACAAAAGCAGCATAGTTATTCTTGTAGTAATAAAATTCTTCTTTATTGTGGGGACTCAAATATCATGTTCAAGTTCTGCTCACCTGATGTCAAGCTGCGACTTCTTGTCTTATTGTGGACTATGGCCCACTTGTACATGGCCCAGTTTTTGTCAGCTGTACATGGCCCAGTTTTGGACATTACCAGCTGTGTGATGAGGACATAAGATAAGATAAGATTTGCTTTATTTATCTCACAGAGGAGAAATTTACATGTCACATTTGGCATGGATAGAGACACTCAGATTGTGCAAAGGGAGGAAATGTGCAAACATGTTACATGCAGGATATATGTACAATAAAGTGACAAGTGTCAATTGGAAACAGTGTCAATAGTAGTGCAGGTTTTCACACAGTGATCATTTAAAGTGACTTATTGTACAGTCTGACAGCGGTGGGGATAAAGGCCCTGCGGTAGCGCTCCTTCCTACACTGAGGGTGTCTCAGTCTTCCACTGAAGGAGCTCCTCAGCTCCTCCACAGTCCTGTGCAGTGGGTGGGAGGTATTGTTCATGATGGAGGTGGCTTTGGCTAGCACCCTCCTGTCCCTCACCTCCACAGAGTCCAGGGAGCAGCCCAGAGTGGAGCTGGCCCTCCTGACCAGCTTGTATGTATCAACAAGTCAGAAAATGAAATAATATCAGCGCTGACAAACAGGATCAGTGCCACTCGATTTCAGTCCAAGATGTGGAGACTCTTTTAGTCATAATTGTTAATTAAATTAGGTCCTGTCTGTCTGTAAGTTTTGAAAGTTGTCTGTAATGAAGTTGAATTGAATATCGCTCGACTGTTGTGTTGCAGGAGCCTCAGTTTCGCCCGTGCCGCCCGTGCCGCTCGCAGCTCATGGCGTTGATTGAAGGAGTGGGGGATGAGGTCACTCTGCTCCTCGGGGGGTTGCTGGTGCTGCTGCTGATCCTGCTGGCCTGGTGGTCGACCAGGACTGAGGAGGACGAGAGGGCGGAGGAGAGGAGGCCCCAGGATCAGGTCCAACAGGTGTGCAAACACTTTTGTGACTGCACATGAACATGCAAATATCAAAATATGGGGCAAAAACAATATAAAAGAGTGTATCATAGAACATTCATCAAGTAAGTGTTCAATACTACTAAACTTGTGACTTCACTTCCTGATGCGCAGGAGGACACGACCACACCACCCGACTCCGCCCCCTCTGAAGCGTTGCCGGGGGCGACAGGGGCAGAGGGACATAGCGATGATGGGCGGGACGACAGCCTGGTCCTGAGACTCAAGTTTCTGAACGACACAGAACGACTCGCAACGGTGCGGACGCGGGACACTGTCGGAGACATCAAGAGGTCTGTTCATCTGAGCCAAAATGTCCTTATTTTCTGTCTGTGTTCTATTGAATGAAATGTATTTTTAATCAAGGCTACAATCCAGAGAGGTGTGTTCGTCACCAGACACTGCCACAACCAAAATAAACAATGAAGTTTAGCTCTAACTCACAACAGCAGTCAGACTGCAGAGGACAATGTTATCAATTCCCCAACAAAAGATCAGAGAATCAAACAGTTCAAACTGAGAAAATGCAATAATTACCGGACAATAAAATGCACCTGACAAAATTCATTTTTTTATTTAGCAGATAGACTACTGTTTTAACTGTCACAACATGATTTAATGACTAGGTGTTAAAACAGCATATTCTTTAGCTTCCTTGTCTCATTCACCTTCATCCCTGAATTTGTCCTGCGGGGATCAATAATAATCTATATTTTTTGCTTATTACTACAAACAAGTTGTATTATAAGCCGTAATTTAATTGAAAACTTGAGCTCATTGATTCAGCTTGTGTATGAATTCAGACCGTAAAAAGTGCTGAGTAGAAACCGCTCTCCTCCAATCACAGAACGAGTCTGCGTCCTCTAGCGTCTACAGCGCTGCTAAACACAGCATGTTAGCAGAATTGGCTGTTACTGCAGACACAGCAAAACAGCCCAAACGACACAACAGTGAGGAAGAGAAGAGGGAACTAAAGCAAAAAAAATGATCAAAGAAGAAATCAAGCCTGGGTGAACATAGCAAGCTTACATCGTTTCCTCTGGAGAGACTTGTCTATGGGAGAGATCACTGCACAAACACATAGAGAGTGGAATCACCACTGTCCAGAAATGTGAATATATGTCCCAGATCATCACTGTCCTTAGAGCCTCCAGGATCGACAAAGAACGACAGGAAAAAGGTTGTTTCTAGCTCCATGTTCTAGTTCATCAGAGCCAAAATGTCTTGTGTCCCTCAGGAGCCACTTCCTGGAGGAGGAGGAGCCTCGAGTCCGGCTGATCTTCCGTGGTCAGCTGCTTCAGGACGATGTCACCGTGGCGTCCTTAAACCTTCACCACCACAGTGTACTTCACTGCCACATCTCTCCTCAACCCATCCCGAGGCAGACGCGGCCAGACGGGGGGGCGGAGCCTGAGGTGGGCGTGGCCTTGAATGTGGGCGGGCTCATGGTGCCGCTGCTAATGCTGATGCTGCTGCTGCTGTGGTTCTGTCAGCTCCAGTATCGCCACCTGTTTACAGCTACGGCTACCACCTCGCTAACCATGCTAACGGTGGTACTGAGCGGGGTCGCCTTCCGTATGTACCGCCGCTGAGCTAAAGTTAGCCTCCAGGATGTTCTGCTGCTAAGCTAACAATAGCCTCAGGATGTGCCGTTGCTCAGCTAAGGTTAGCCTCAGGATGCTAACTAAACTTAAAGCCCACGAACTCTAAGATTTCCTTTTAACTGAAGAAACTCCATTTTCACCTGCGTCCCTGCAGCGTCTGCTCAGACCCCGCCTCCTTCTAATTGGGCCACATTACTGTCTCTGTTCCTGATTTTTAGAGAGAATAATACAAACATAAGATTGAGATTTTCAGCACTTCCCCCACACAGGTGAAGCTCAGCACCACTAGCATGCTAACAGTGCGCTTTACTTTAGTTTTAGACACTGTTTGTTCATTTGGCCACATTTTATTTCTAAGACATCATCCTAGTTGTTGCAAACTTTACCGCAGTGGGTTTGCACAGCTGTGGCCCCTCTGTTTTCATTCACACAGTGCCCTCTGCTGGGAATGAAGGCAAATGTTCACGTGAAGATGGAGGCGTCTGATTGGCCTAGAGTCTGCCCGACGTTAAACCATGGACCAATCATGTCGAAGGACTTTGGACGAATGTGTTTTAGAGAAATTATAATTAAAGTTTATTTATCAGTTTGTCTCCTGCATTTGCATTTATGTCCTTTTTAAAGTTTAAATAACTTTCAGACCACAACAACAGAACTCTAATAAAACCAAAGTCAAGGATGAGGAGGGATTTGAAAGTCTCACCAGTAGAATAAACACATGAAGGAGTGCAAGGAAACTCAAAGGTCACTATGGTTTAGTCCTCATGTTTATTATAGTATTAAACCATAAAGATTTTAAAATGCATGTCCGATCTACTGGCCAACATTGTGCATAAGTTTTTGAAAATTGTCACCACTTCTTAAGGGGAGAGAGGGGGACCAGAGAGAGACGGAGAGCAGAGCAGAGAGGCCGTAGTTGATACATGCTCACAAAGAAGATGGGGCACTTTTATCTTACCACACAATTTCTTACATGTAGGGAATTAATGATTGACCGGAGTTTACGGATGGCTAAGGCCAGGATGGAACTCTGACTTTTTGTTTTATGTTGATTGAGAGAAAGTAGCTTTAAACGGCGTCGAGAATCTAACTTTTAACACTTACCACATTGACCAGGACAGATGTCTCAGCTTTACTCCACCACAATATGAAACTGTAGGCTCTTTGCAACGTGTGATGTCACATGAACGCAAACTTTCGAATGGTCCATGGATCCTGGTTGTATGATGTATTTGTATATCATAAAGATTTATATTGAATAATAGTCTAAATCAGAAAATGTGGAGGAAATTAACGTGAACAATTCTGATGCAATCCTGGAATCTTCATTTAAGTAATATTTAAATAGCGCATTTCACACAAGTCCATATTTTGACAGAGCTGAAATAATTACCTAATTTTGTGACTCAAAAATAAATGTCAGTATACAGTGGTCCCTTGCTATATCGAGGTATGTACGTGTAGTGAGGGGTTTTACATAGAGCTACTACTGAGATGATTAACTTTTTTGAAGGCTATTTTTGGCATGTAAGCTTTTCGATAAAAGGCTAAAGCAATTGCTGAATTCCAGAGGTTCTAAGCTTTACAACAAAGTATATTAGAGTATGTTGGCAGGGCTTACATTGGTTGGATAACTGGTGTTTCTGATCTCACCTTAGGTTAGCAAGGGCAGGGGGGGCCCTTAAGGTGAGCAACATGACAGAGGGCCGCAATTGACCCGTGGACCTTAGTTTGGACCAAGATTTGACTTGAGCCAGCAGTGCCGCCCACGTGTCAATCATCTCTATCCTCCTCCTCTGTGGGCGGGACTTCTTCACGATCCCCTTTACCCCGTTTATATACAGTCTATGGTTTGGACACATTTGTGGAGAATATCTGCAGCGAGAAAGAGACCACACGGGACCAGAGGACACAGGGGACAGAGGACAGTTGTACCCAGGTGCAGACGGGCCATGGCAGGACGGGACCGGATCGTGCAACTCTTGCGGCAGTTGGAGCGTGTGGCGTGAGTAGCACAAACGGACCGCACCGAGACACGCGTTTGTTTTTACGTCCTCGCGCTCAGACCGACGCTGCGGGAAAGCATCACTACGGAACATTCCACTGTCATGACGCTAGAGGGCGCTGTGCAGCACTCGGCTCGACAGTTTGGTCTCACTGACGTCGTGTGAATCTTTATTATTATGTTAGCCGCCCCATGTTGGTTTTAACACTCTACAGGTCTCCCAGGAATCTGAAAATACTAGAACACTCAGAGCTGTCATTTTGAATTCTGAGAAATTCCTCCGAAAAGATTTAGTTTTTCACCACTTTTTACATTGTAAGTAAGTAAGTAGTATTACTTGCCATGACATTTACTGCTCTCAGAGTGCGACTGTACTTATAACGTTGCAAAACTTCCCATCAGACTGACTTTCACCTGCAAGCCTTACTGTACATTATAGGACAAGGTCGAGTCGAGTAGAGTCGGGCCCGGCCCGTGGAAACGGCCCTTAAGTCATAAGCACAACTTTTCCCTACACAAAGAAAGGATATGAAATAATAGAATAAAAATCTGATTTTTTTATATTGTTTTTGTAGGTAAATGGAAATCATGAACCAGCAAAACAAAGGACATGATTTATAAGACGTTCCTCTTTGTTCATTCTGCACAAATGTAATAGATTTTTCTCTTGGATTTATTTATTTCCATATATCTAGAACTCATACATTTTAACAAATCAGTTGGAAACAAACGTGGAGTATTTTTTTATCATGTTCAAGATCCAATCAAAACTCTTACTCAACACACATCCTTGTAATCTCTACATTTTCAGATAGTGGCCACTTTTGTGTCTTTTATGGTCCTGTCCTTGCAATCAGCACATCTTCTGGTCCTGCCCCCCACCCAAAACTAAACGTATTCTTCATAGACTTGCATGTGTTTATTTAAAAATCATTTCAAAAAGAACAACAAAATATACAGTACAATTACAAAACATTAACATTGACTTGCTGCGTATAACTGCACTGTACTCTCTCATGATATAGACATGTATTGGTTTTACTATTGGTCTGTGCGATGGCCAAACAAAGTCTGGTCCAGATGAGTCCTAGTTCAGTCCTGGTCCAGGTCTGGTCTGATCCAGTCCAGGTCACGGCTCAGGGACAGGGCCGTGACCTGGACTGGCTCAGCCACCGTGCTGAGTGGATAGCACTCTCGCCTCTCAGCAAGAAGGTCCTGGGTTCGAATCCCGGTCGGAACAGAGCCTTTCTGAGTGGAGTTTGCATGTTTCCCCTCATGTCTGCGTAGGTTTCCTCCAGGTGCTCTGGTTTCCCCTACCACAAAAAACATGCACAATAGGTGTGAATGTAAATGAGAGAGTGAATGGATGGTGTTGGAGCTGATGGTCCAGTGTGTTCTGGACTCACTTCCGTCATCACCGTGTGTGGGAGGATTGGAACAATATCTGACTCTGAACATTGTAAAGTCCTTTGGGTGACCTTGGTCTGTAAAATGCACTATGTAAATAAACATTACTTACTTACTAGGGAGATAAACGCAGATAATATAGATTGATCAGACATTTTTCTAAATGGTCCTCATCATCACAGACCTGCAGCTGTGTTTAGTTCCATCCACACTTACATCAGCGTCCTCCTGACCGTTCTGTCTAAATCTGCTGCTTTCAAACTTCAAACCAACTCTCAAATCAAAACTCATGTTGTATTTTGTTGATAAATTCACAAGATTTAACAAATTTGCTTCCATGAAACAGATGCAGATGTCCAGCCCACTCCAACGCCTTCCACCAAGGTACTGCTGCTACTCCTACTACTATTACTGCTAATACTATGTTGATATTGTTACTTCCGCTTCTATTCCTCCACATATTTTGTTGATGTTTTCTCTAGGTGCTGCTGAACCCTGCACAGTGAGGAAGACAGACTACGCTTTTGAGGTAATGGTCTGGACTGTGAGACCAGTCCTTCTGAAGTCCTCAGGGTCCAAAGTCCTGAGGACTTCAGAAGGACTGGTGTAAGAGCCAAACATGTACAATCATGTGCCTGTGTGTTAGGTCTGTGGGGGGTAGGTCTAGCATAAATAGGCTCTCTCTGATGAGCCATGCAGGTGTGGGTAGGGGCCAATGGGTTTTGACCGCTACTTTTATGGAGTTTTGTTGTCTTGATTTACGCATAAATAAACATTGATTTTTCTCATACAATGAACATCTGTGGACTTATGCACGATACGGTTAAAGCTGACATGGTAGCCATCTGAAGCGCGTCAGCCATATAGCGACCGGTGTTTGGGCACATCTCGGTGGCACAGGTCAGGTTGGCCATTACAACTGGTCTAAGACTGTGGACCCTCAGGACTTAAGAAGGACTGGTTAAAGACTTTGTGGAACCGTAAACAATCCATGTTCTTATGGTCTGTTGCAGATGGCCAGCTCCAACATCAGATATGGTCCTGGGGTCACCAGAGAAGTTGGAATGGTCAGAAGTGTGTGTGTGTGTGCGAGCGCAGCGTGCATGTCTTTCTCTGGTGTCTCTTTCTGATCTCTCTCTAGTCTTGCTCCTTTGTCTCTCTCTGGTCTCACATAGTTTCTGGTCTCACATGGTCCAGGACGTAGCTGCCCTTGGAGCTCGCCGCGTGTGTGTGATGACGGATCAAAATTTGGCCTCATTGGCTCCGGTGAAGACGGTCCTCGAGTCTTTGGTCCAGAACCGCGTGGACTTCAGCGTGTATGACCAGGTCCGGGTGGAGCCGACCGATGCCAGGTGAGACCCAGAGCAAGACCCAGACCCGGGTCTCTTCTCACTGTTGGCCGTGGTAACTTTGTCTCTCTCTCTGCCGTCATTGTAACCCTGTTTTTCTGTGGTTTCCCTCTTTTACCATCATTACCTGGTCTTCCTCAGTCTCTGTGGTAACTCTATCTCCCTTTGTCGTCATGGTAACCCTGTCTTTCTCTATCTCTGTCCTTCTCTGTCGCTGGGGTAACAGCTTTGCGGCGGCCATCTCCTTCGCGAAGGCGGGGCTCTTTGACGCGTATGTGGCGGTGGGCGGGGGATCTGTGATTGACACCTGCAAAGCGGCCAATCTCTACGCTTCTCACCCCGACAATGACTTCCTGGACTTCGTCAACGCACCAATTGGGAAAGGGCTTCCGGTCAAGGGGAAGGTCCCCCCTCTCATTGCCGTGCCAACCACAGCAGGCACAGGCAGCGAGACAACAGGAGTAGCCATCTTTGACTACGAGCCAATGAGAGCAAAGACAGGTGAGAGACAGCGAATGAGGGCACAGAGGTGGACATGTCATTGTGGAGTACAGAGTTGAGACCAATCATTGTAGTTGATCGGTTCATCTGTGAATGTAAATGTTACTAGTTGATACAGGAGCATTTAGTATTTAGAGGCAGAGACAGAAGGGACAGGATGATGAGTTTATGACGGAGGAGAAACAATGTTTAACACTTTTAAACCTCTTTTTCTCTTGCGCTCTCTCCTCTCCTCTCCCTCTTCTCTCTGATTGGCTCGCAGGCATTGCGAGTCGGGAGATCCGCCCCCTCCTCGGGATCGTGGACCCGCTGCACACACTGAGCATGCCCAGTAGAGTGGCGGCTAACAGTGGCTTTGACGTGCTCTGGTGAGACCTCAAAAAATACTCAAGACAGAAATTGGCCTCTTCTAACCTTTATCCCCCTCCCCCCACAGCCATGCTCTGGAGTCCTACACTGCTCTGCCCTACCACCAGAGGGCGCCCTGTCCCCCAAGCCCTCAGCTGAGACCGGCCTATCAGGGCTCCAACCCAATCAGCGACGTGTGGGCGGAGCATGCACTCAGGGTGGTGTCCAAGTACTTTAAACGGTAAAACTACTACTACTACTGCTAAAAATGTAATTATTGCTACTGCCCGCTCGGCGATGCATCTGGCCAGCGTGTTTGCCGGTATTGGCTTTGGGAATGCCGGCGTGCACCTGTGGTCAGGACATGCTAATGAGTGTAACATGCTAATGAGACGTCGCATGCTAATGATAAGCTAATGAGATGTGTTGTCTGCAGTCACGGCATGTCTTACCCCATCGCTGGGAACGTGAAGACTCATCGTGCTCAAGGATACAGCGTGGACCACCCCCTAGTGGTGAGAAAGTCATGCAAACACACACACACACACCAGAGTCATACTAATGTGGGTGAAGTGTCTTGACTCAGGACACAGGAACAGTTCAGCATTTAACAGCTGCAGTCATTTATTCATTAGTAAATGTGCACATATACGAGGAATAACAGAACCGATACCAATACCACCTGGCAGCCGTCTGAAACCTGGCGTCAACGAACAGTCCCATGGTCTGGAGGGGCTCCGCTGTGGTTGGATCCAGCGGAGCAGAAGTTTGACACCAGGTGTTACAGAGGTCTCCCATCACAGCACTAACCAGACCCTAAACCCTAACCCTGCTGAGCTTTCTGATGCTGGTGTGTTTGTGTTCCAGCCTCACGGCCTATCCGTCGTCCTCACGTCTCCTGCAGTGTTCACGTTCACCTCCACAGTGTGCCCAGAGCGCCACCTGCAGGCAGCTCAGATACTGGGTGAGACTCATGGATCTATTATAATATCTGGATAGGGCCTTACAGCTTGGAGCTGAAGGACCCATGTGCTTGGGGGATTCTCGCAGTGCTGCAGAATAAACAAGACTAAATTCACTTGGGCTACAAAGACATTCTCCCCACAGAACTCAATGTAAACTAAAACAGCTCGACCTCAGCTGACAGAGAACCTACAGCTTTCATAAAGGTCGGACTTTGTGTGGATTTTAGTGTCCCTTATCATCCTGAACTTTTATTCGTCTAAATCATTCGGTTTTCTTTAAATCCTCAATAGTCTTCCGCTCTGATCGGCAACTCTCATTGGTCAGAGCGCGGCCGAGCCCCTGCATGAGCATGAGAGCCACACACACGTATTTGGCCCAAAACATCATGGGAGATTGTTCACTGCGCAGAAACGGAAGGACCAAGACTGCACCACCCATGACACTCCATCTAACTCTAGGCCTAACCCTGGTCTTGGTCTGGGTCTAACCCCAGTCTAAACCCTTGTCTAAACCCTTGTCTCGGTCTAAGCCAGACCTGGGTAATTTGCGGTCTGGGGGCCCACATCCGGCCAGATTCACATGTTTATGCGGCCCCCAGACCCTTCCCAGCCGTTAACCTCATACTAGATGTTTATTTAAATGAATCAGGAGTTGATACCCGATGAAGGCATGTAACGTAATATGTGCAACAATGGCATGTTATACATTTATTCTGGATATCTTCATGTTTGTAAAGTTTCACATTTAAATACAGAAGTAGTTTTTTGTAGAAATAAATTTAAAATGAACCCTTCACAAAAGTGGCCCCCTGAAGAAAATAATTTCCCACTCCTGGTCTAACCCCTGGTTTTGGTCTCTCAGGTGCAGACGTCAGCTCAGTGAAGCTTGCGGACTCTGGTCTGGTTCTCGCGGATACCCTAAGGTCCCTGCTGTGGGACCTACAGGTGGAGGACGGGCTCCAGGCACTCGGGTACCAATCTGAAGACGTGCCCGCCCTGGTTCAGGGGACCATCCCACAGGTACCGACCCTGAGACCAGGACCGGCTCTACAGTGGGGAGAATAACTATTAGGCAGTTGTTGATTGTTTATTCCATGTAATTGCTCAGCTTTAGATCCTGATCTCAAACACAGGTTTAGATCCTGATCCCAAACACAGGTTTAGATCCTGATCCCAAACACAGGTTTAGATCCTGATCCCAAACACAGGTTTAGAGCCTGATCCCAAACACAGGTTTAGAGCCTGATCCCAAACACAGCTTTAGAGCCTGATCCCAAACACAGGTTTAGAGCCTGATCCCAAACACAGGTTTAGAGCCTGATCCCAAACACAGCTTTAGAGCCTGATCCCAAACACAGCTTTAGAGCCTGATCCCAAACACAGCTTTAGAGCCTGATCCCAAACACAGCTTTAGAGCCTGATCCCAAACACAGCTTTAGAGCCTGATCCCAAACACAGCTTTAGAGCCTGATCCCAAACACAGCTTTAGATCCTGATCCCAAACACAGCTTTAGAGCCTGATCCCAAACACAGCTTTAGAGCCTGATCCCAAACACAGCTTTAGAGCCTGATCCCAAACACAGCTTTAGAGCCTGATCCCAAACACAGCTTTAGAGCCTGATCCCAAACACAGCTTTAGAGCCTGATCCCAAACACAGCTTTAGAGCCCGCTCCAGCAGCACAGACTGACGGTTCCTCTGGTTCTCATTTCAGGAGCGTGTGACAAAGCTCTCTCCCAGAAGCCACACCCACGACGATCTGGAGGAGCTGTTCCAACAATCCTTGAAGCTGTACTGACCACCAGGCCCCGCCCACAAAGCCATATATGTTGATCATGTGACCAGAGCCAAACAATAACTTCAAGTTAAAGAAAATTGTCCAAACAGCTGCAGTTGAATGTGAAGGAGCTGTCTTTCCATTTAAAATTTGTTTTTGTCTCTTAGACGACATGGAACAGAACTGTTTATGATGTTTCAGAAATAATGAAAATAGAACATATAAATGGTACGTGCTCCATCTCCACTGCCTCATAATGTAGATTTGTTTATTCGATAAACCATTAAATAAATAAATATGATTTTACATGACTTGTTGTGACTTCCATTTAATCATCTTCAGGGTCAAACGTGGAATAGTTTAAAAGTGTATTTACAGTTTCAACAAAAATACAATTCAGGCAATACATATAAGTTAAAAATCTATTTAAAAACATTAAAATCGTAAAAATAAAGAGTTTGGGGGCGCTCATAAGCTTTTGCGTCAGCCCACTCCTTTTGAGCAAAATTGAATAAAGTTAAAACAAATAAATAAATAAATAATTCATATTAAAACATTAAAATTATTTAAAATTTGATATTAATTAATTAATGTCTTTAGAACAAGTGTAAGTTCTGTCTGGGGTCTACTCTGGTCTCTTCCTGGTCTCTGTCTGGGGTCTACTCTGGTCTCTTCCTGGTCTCTCTCTGGTACTTCTCGGGTCTCTCTCTGGTTCCTCTCTGATCTCTTCCTGGTCTCTCTGGTCTCAGGTCTGCACGTAGAGCCTGGCCTGCTCAGTGAGGGACATCTGGTCGTCTGTCTGTCCGACTAACACGACCTGCAGTTCCCCGCTCAGCTACAAAAACACAGATCAGTGTGTGTGTGTGTGTGTGATATAATCCATTCTCATGGACAGGGATCATCAGCGGACCTGACTATTCTATTGTCGGGTTAATGATAAATAGTTCTGTTTGAAAATATGTCCTCCAGCTGCATGAGATTTACATTTAAAATCACATATCTGCGTTTTGAACGACTAATTGATTAATTGAAAGAACAATTCATAGATGAATCAATTATCAAAATGGACTAATCTAATGAAATGTGCCATTTAACCACAGTCACACACAATAAATAATGATATTTTCAAATACGATGAAGGAGGAATACTGTTTTTTCAAAACTAGACTCTTTCTGTTGGACAAACACGCGTTATCTATGAGATTAAAGTTACGCACCTGAGCTTTAAGGCTCTTACCTCAAAGTGGCTGGTGTGGGCGTGGCACACAGGTGAGTGCAGGTAGCCCCCCTCACACCACCACACCTCCACCTGTCCCCCCACATCCCCCTCCAGAGGGAAACAGCCGAGCTCCTCACACAGAGGGTGTAACCAGGGGGTGGGGCCAGAGGCAGAGGGGACGGAGCTTAACTTCAGCTGCACTGAGCCTAGCAGACTGAGACCCACCACCTGAGGAAAAAGACCGTTATTCTTTTCTTTCACTGTTGATCGACACAAAAAAGTTTAATATGATTTTTGTGACGTTACAAGCTCTGACCTCAGAGCTGCTGCTAGGCAACACTGGACTGGTCTGGTCTGTGCGAGGCTCGACCTATAAATGAACACACAGATGAACACCATAGCCTGTACACAGATGGACAATGCAAACCCGCTAGCTCAATGGAGCACAATAGGGAAGTGCTCATGGTTAAGTTTTGCACCAACTTGGCTCTGGCTTCTATATACTTACAGTGAAAAGTAAATTCCTCAAGATCAGTAACCGTTTTTGTCACACCACCATTTTGGACCTAAAGCTGTGGTTTAGCGCTCTCTATGATCCTAGTGTTATAGAATATTATTAATTCTTGGGAGAAACCCCATATCCGGAATCTACCTCATTCGACAAACACTACCTGGGCAAGGGGCCGGTGTCAAGATATACTGGCTCAGCTGTTTATGATGTAATGCAAACCTATGCATGCGCTTTTAACGGCAGCCGAAGCAAACCAAGATGGCGGACATAAAGTCTGAATTGCTTAAAAAGTTTAAATACTAACAAATTAAGACACAAATGTCACTTTTAATGCAATTTGAGGCGAGATGTTGATGGTTCCATGTTGTGATATGTGGGTTTTAAGAGTCAACGTTTGGTTTAAGTAGTAACTTCTGTTGAACCACACTGCTACTGTGTGATAGCGGTCCTTTCGTTTCGAGTTGAACTGCCACATACGTCATTTTCAGCCACAAGACGCCTCATCGGCCTACGTCAGTAAAATGACGTATGTGGCAGTTCAACTCGACTAGAAAGGACCGCTATCACGCAGCAGCAGTGTGGTTCGACCCTAACCCTAACCCTTACTACTTAAAGCAAACTTTACACAACACGTTGACTCTTAAAACCCACATATTACAACATGGAACCATCAACATCTCGCCTTCAAACAAGGCAGTGCAAACCGACGTGACACTGGGGCGGGGCTTACCTGGGCAAGGGGCCCTGTCCTCAGCGGGGTGGGGGTCAGAGGTGCAGACATCAACAGAGTTCTGATCTCTCTCAGCTCTAAAGGCGTCCTGCTCCAAGGTGCAAGAACAGAGGCATCAGGAGCTACACGATTGTCTCTATAGAACTGTCATCAGGAGCTACACTATTGTCTCTATAGAGCTGTCATCAGGAGCTACACTAGCATCTCTGTAGAGCTGTCATCAGGAGCTACACTAGCATCTCTATAGAGCTGTCATCAGGAGCTACACTAGCATCTCTGTAGAGCTGTCATCAGGAGCTACACTAGTGTCTCTGTAGAGCTGTCATCAGAGCTACACTAGCATCTCTATAGAGCTGTCATCAGGAGCTACACTAGCATCTCTAAAGAGCTGTCATCAGGAGCTACACTAGCATCTCTATAGAGCTGTCATCAGGAGCTACACTAGCATCTCTGTAGAGCTGTCATCAGGAGCTACACTAGCATCTCTGTAGAGCTGTCATCAGGAGCTACACTAGTGTCTCTGTAGAGCTGTCATCAGGAGCTGTCATCAGGAGCTACACTAGTGTCTCTGTAGAGCTGTCATCAAGAGCTACACTAGTATCATCAGGAGCTAGACTAGTATCTCTATAGAGCTGTCATTAGGAGCTACACTAGTGTCTCTAGAGATGTCATCAGGAGCTACACTAGTGTCTCTGTAGAGATGTCATCAGGAGCTACACTAGTGTCTCTGTAGAGATGTCATCAGGAGCTACACTAGTGTCTCTGTAGAGCTGTCATCAGAAGCTACACTAGTGTCTCTGTAGAGATGTCATCAGGAGCTACACTAGTGTCTCTGTAGAGCTGTCATCAGAAGCTACACTAGTGTCTCTGTAGAGATGTCATCAGGAGCTACACTAGTGTCTCTGTAGAGCTGTCATCAGGAGCTACACTAGTGTCTCTATAGAGCTGCCATCAGGAGCTACACTAGTGTTTGTGTAGAGAAGTCATCAGGAGCTACACTAGTGTCTCTGTAGAGATGTCATCAGGAGCTACACTAGTGTCATCAGGAGCGGTCTCACCCCGCAGTCTCTGGTCTCTCCGGGGGAACAGGACCTTTCAGAGGAGTTGAGGTGAGAGGAGGACAGAGGACCAGCTCCTCCACTGAGCACAGCCACTGGAACATATTCACATGACTAACAAAAAAAGGACAGTGCGTAACCATAGTAACACAGTCTGTATACTGGTGATGGACAGTGTGTAACCATAGTAACACAGTCTGTATAATGGTGATGGACAGTGTAACCATAGTAACACAGTCTGTATAACAGTGATGGACAGTGTAACCATAGTAACAGTCTGACAAACAGTGATAGACAGTGTAACCATAGTAACACAGTCTGTATAACAGTTATGGACAGTGTGTAACTATAGTAACACAGTGTGTATAATGGTGATGGACAGTGTGATCATAGTAACAAAGTCTGTATAAAGGTGTTGACAGTGTAACCATAGTAACACAGTCTGTATAACAGTGATGGACAGTGTAACCATAGTAACACAGTCTGTATAACAGTGATGGACAGTGTAACCATAGTAACACAGCCTGTATAATGGTGATGGACATTGTAACCATAGTAACACAGCCTGTATAACAGTGATGGACAGTGTAACCATAGTAACACATCCTGTATATGTACAGTACTATGTGTACAGTACATAACTCTGCACTACTACATGTATATATTTTTTGACTGGTATTGAAGCATTTTCAGCATCTACAGCCAGTTAGGCTAGTTAAAGATGCAGTAAGCGATTTTGTTCGCTTAGCCGTAGCACCAACTGGAAACTACTCCCCCCCTCCTCTCGCCTCTCCACCAAATCAAAACAACTGGCTCGCGCGTATGTTAGCAGAGTATTTGCGGCGTTCACGGGTGGTCCGTACAAACAGAATTGTTTAAACATTACAGAAAGTACGGGCCAGAGAACTGTAGAGCAGTAAAATCCATGTGTTTAGTGTTTGTCCTCATGGTCCCTGTGGCTGCTGTGGTCAGACGCCAGTCTTAATGAACTGCGTGAAGCAGAGAGACCCCTATTATAGGTCCATGAGAGACCCGCGCACGTGCGGCCGTTATGTGAGATGTCAGTGAAAATTACAGACATTTCTTATCCCGTGTGAATGCAAGGGATAATTATCACAAATTAACAGGGGTTAACAGGTAGGAAAACAGAATTTTTTCAGTCATGTGCACGCACTCGCAAAAAACAGGAAGAGGGTGAAGGGGGTAAATGCATCCCATTGGTTCGTCGGGGATGAACGAATCCCATTGGTTCATTTTTATCGGTCCACTCCAAAACATTTTTGTTTATAGAGATTATAGGCATCTGGTTAATTCCATTACTTTTTGAAAACACATGATAACTTGACTACTTTTAGGGTTTATGGACGTTTTCCTACAATATTTTAGAAAATGCGTCTGGAATAAATCACTGACAGCATCTCTAAGAAACATAGCTACTACTCATTTTGTATATGTTGTGTGCTCCCTGTGTGCTCTTACTACTGTCCTGTATGTGCGCTGCAACATCGAACATCGTTTCCACTGTGGAACGAATAAAGGAACTCTTATCTTATCTTAGTCCTCTGAGGTGACTACTCTTGTGATTTAAGGCTATACAAGAATACACTGAATTGAATTGTGTAGAGGTACATGTGCTTCATGTACCTCAGAAGGAGAGAACCCCATCAGGTTTCCATCGTTAGACTGAATCTGCTCTTGGATCCCGATGATCTGCAGAAAAACAGATATCACATAAAACTTTACAGTGGTCCCTCAATATAGCGTGGTTAACTTTACACGGACTTGCTGTGTTCGCAAACTCTTTTGTGTGTTTTTTACAGTGTGCTTCTCATGCACTGTTTACTCCAACAACATTACATAACCACTAGTGTAACATGACAGTGACCTTTATTTAAAGGTCCCATATTTCGCTCTTATTCATTTTTCGCAGTCCATCCTAAGCACATGTGTGATGTGAATTTGGGTGATATACCGTACATACCACACTGGCAACATGGGTGATGTCACCTCAAATGAAAGGGCTGGATCTCGGTCCCTTCCCCTTCTCCTTAGAATAAACTTTTTCCAGCAATGGGAATCCGTCTTGTAGAGCCCTATGTCCTCGATCCAGAATTGGACCTTAATTATTGAGTTAAAAGTAGTATATGGCGAGTTAGTAGAACTGTACTTAGATGTACTATAGATCTAGGCTCCTCGTTAGCTTCTGTTATTGTGCAAATAAAACCAGGTTTCAAGATCAGCTTTTGAGTAAATCCATCCTTCCATCCATCCATTTTCTTCCCCTTAGTCAATTTCTGGGTCGGGGGGTGGCAGTCAGAGCTGCACCCAGTACAAATAGCACCTGCCCCTAAGATGGAACCAGTATAGGTGGCTTACGCATCTGTTACGGATGCCTCCTGAACACCTCCCTGGGGAAGTGCACATTCCACCGGGAGGAGACCCCAGGGACACAGGAGGGACTGTGTCTCTCAGCTGCCCTGGGAACGCCTTGGTTGCGCCCGGTTGAGCTGGAGGAAGTTTGTTGGATAGGGAAGTCTGGCCATCTCTGCTTAGACTTCTGCCCCCACGACCAGGCAATGGCTGAAGCGGAAGAAAATGGATGGATGCATGGATGTTTTGCTAAACCTGAAGGCTTAAGGTGCTAGTGCCGTGGGAGCTGCACACGACCCCAGACCCCTGCGTAATTTTCTTCAGGTACTCACATAAACGTATTTCCATATTGTACTCATGACTTCACAGTGAGTTTTTCTTACGTAGCTGTTGCTCCAGTCTTTGATGGAGTTTTCAGTGTCCTCCTTCCTGATTGGTTGCTTCCCTGGTGAAGGCAGGCCATTGGGTGAGCTCTCAGTGTCCTCACTCCTGATTGGCGGCTTCTCTGGGGATAGCAGATCACTGGGGGTGTGGCTCCAGTCAGCGGTTTGCTGTAGGTGATGAAATAATGAAATATAAGTGATGTCATAATATTATATTACTATTGTCCTGTTGGCCTCTCTTTAGAAGCAGAAGAGATGTTAGAACTTAGTTAAAATAGCATATAACATTTAGCTGTTTTGGTCTAATTAGAGATTAGCATTTAGTTTGTGTCCTCACCACATCCATCAGATCTATGTCCAGCTCACAGCTGAGAGAGGAGTCCAGGTCTGAGGGCGAGGAGCAGGAGGGCGAACACACAGCAGCGCGGCTGAAGGACGCCGTGTGGGTGAAGGAGGAGGTGCACGTGGACATGTCTCCCTCATTTGACACTGTTTCGATCTGAAAAACATGTGAGCTGAGGTTAAGGAAGCTGTGTCCTGATGTCTGCTTTACAGTGTCCCAGAGAGCAGTGCGTTTTAGTGCCACGGTCTAAATCAGCGGACTGCATAGTGATGGAATATTTATGATCACAAATGTATCTACATATATTGACGATGCGATTTGTCCAAAGACAGAATGAGAATAATGAGTGACATAAACAGCAAAATGAGGGAGTTGGAGATAGCACTAGAAGAAACATATTCATGCAGTTTATGAGGCGTTTAGTTGTCCTTTAAGACTTTCACGCTCTTTCCCTGTGTGGCGCCTCGACCTGCAGTGTTTATCAATTTAGAGGCCATTGTGCATAATTGTTTTTTTTCGGCAAAATCTAGAGTGAAAATAACGGATGTTTGCAAGCGCCCAAAGTAAACCCGGTAACCTCTGCTCCGTGTAGCCCCAACCCCTGACCCGGTAACCTCTGCTCCGTGTAGCCCCGCCCCCTGACTCAGTAACCTCTGCACCGTGTAGCCCCGCCCCCTGACTCGGTAACCTCTGCACCGTGTAGCCCCGCCCCCTGACTCGGTAACCTCTGCTCTGTGTAGCCCGCCTCCTGACGCAGTGATCTCTGCTCCCTGTAGCCCCGCCCCCTGACCTGGTGACCTCTGCTCTGTGTAGCCCCGTCCCTGATGCGATGACCTCTGCTCAGTGTAGCCCCGCCCCTGATGCGGTGACCTCAGCTCTGTGTAGCCCCGCCCCTGATGCGGTGACCTCAGCTCTGTGTAGCCCCGCCCCCTGACCTGGTGATCTCTGCTCCGTGTAAACACAGACGACACTGATGACACAGACGAGCTGAGGGAGTAGTCGGGCTGAGTGCGCAGAAACCCCTCTCTGTCCACCTTCCTCTTTAGAGTCGAGTTCCAGTGGTTCTTAATGGAGTTATCAGTGCTGCAAGAGGCGCTAATGTTACACACTGTGGTACACACGCACACACACACACAGACAGGCAGACAGAGTCACACACACACATATATGTACACACTCAGAGACACACACACACACACACACATATATGTACACACACACACAGACAGAGACACACCCTCACCGTCCAGGTAGCAGCGTAGACATCTGGGCCCAGCGGTTGCCCAGGACTCGGTGGGCTTTGCAGATGATCAGGTCTTCGTGCTGAGTCCAGCGGCTCTTGTTCACCGAAGGGTTCAGGTGGTTGTGCCAGCGCTCGCGGCACTGCTTCCCGTTTCGACTGCGCAGGTGTTTGGCAATGATGGACCAGTGCTTCACACCGAACCTTCTCACCAGCTCCACAACCTGCAGCGGTAGACCAGGGTTACACACTATCATTTGAGACTTCACCTGTTGACAAAGCTCTAAATCCAGAGCTCTGACTTCAGACGTTTGTTGAAACAATAAGACAATCATCTGCAAACAGGAGAGAGGAAATCCTGGGGTCTCCAAACCGACCCCTCCAGGGAGCTCAAGTTAGCCATCGTTACCTTCAGGTCCTCCTCTGGGGTCCAGGGGCCCTTCACCAGCTCTGGGTTCTTCATGTGGTTCCATCGGCGCTGACAGTCCAGTTCCGAGCGTAGGTCCTGCACCAGTCACATGTAAAGATACATCTTTAACACCTTGAACTCGCCTTGCGACTCTGTCACCCCGACCAAATACTGGTGTAATTTAGACACGATAAAGGAAAAGTCTTTTTTAGGTTATATAACTCTGTGAGTAAGTGAAGCTCTTATTGTCAGAGTTTGGGCTCTTTCCTTCATAAAGATATCCTTGTAAAAATATGTTTGAAAGTGTTTTTTTTTTTGCTCCGTGTGGATGAGTCCATTATCATGTGATTCCCTCTGGTCTCCCTCTGATCCTGGGTATTTGCACAGAGACTTAAAGACTTTGTGACTTTTGTTTTGACCCTTTTAATTTAGCAGACTATTGGCATGTCTTCAGTGTGTCATCAGCATGTATTAGCATGTTTACTTTAGAATGTGCTGGAAACGGCACCAAGTCCTAAGTAGCTCTGAAACATTTGTTTTGTGCTTACAATTTTTTTCTTTATTCTTTTTTGTTTTGTTTTTTGGGGGGATGGATGTGTTATTGCTGCTACTGGACACCTACAGGGATCAATATATTTCTATCTTCTATCTATCTATCTTTCTGTCTTTCTATCTATCTATGTCTTCAGTGTGTCAGCATGTTGTTAGCACGTCGTTAGCATGTGATCAGTGTAATTAGCATGTTGGACCTTAAATTGCAGACACACCAGGCTCCAGCAGTTGGTCCCCAGCTCCTTCACCAAACGCTGCAGCTTCTCATCCTGAACCAGAGTTCACTGTAACTGCACAGTCTCTCTGGTCTCAGGTCCAGTCTCTCTGTTCTCAGGTCTGGTCTCTGGTCCAGTCTATGGTCCAGTCTTTAGTCCGGTTTCTGGTCTGGTCTCAAACCTCATGTTTGGTCCATGCAGGCTTCTGTAGTTTCTCTGTAGAAAACGGTCTCCTGAAGCTTTTCCAGTCAAAGCAGCGGTTCTTCACACTGTCACAGTAAAGGTACAAAGGGAAGACCCAATCAGAGTGTGAGGGTTTTGGATTCTGTGTGAAGGACACCAGGATCTAAAGAGTGTGAAGACCTGAGTGTGTGCAGTGTTCACTGCGGTCACTCACCAGTTTCTCCTGCGTCTACTGCTCATCCTGAAGACCTGCTGAAAACAGAATCTACAACACAGAGTTTACAAGAGTGACACTATGAATTATAATTATATAAATATAATTATAGACACACTATAGTAGTTCTACTTGAAAGAGAGAATAAAGAGATTGTAACAGCAACATCAACTGTAGTCTCTTTGGAGCATGTCACATGAACACAGCTTATTTCCCATAAAAACTCTTTTTTTGTTATTTATCAAAAGTCAAATTCTAATCTTAGTTTTGTGCTAATTTCTCTATAATTCCTGAAACGATCCAAATGATCAATCTTTGTTAGCACATATCAAGGGTCTTATTTTCTCTTGAAATTACTAGATGTGGTGTCATAAATATATATGCATGATGAAAGGACTTAAATTAATAAATAAAAATGTTATGGCAAATGTGTAAATCTAATCACTGTCAAATAAGGATGTAGGAAAACAACATATATTTTACATAATGTCTTTCCCATAAAGACCAGTTGTTATACAATTAAACAACATTCATAAGAAACAATACATTTATCTATCTATGAAGTGCTTCCAGGCTCATCATAATGAGTTAACTGACATTAACAGGGGAATCCTTTTCAAGTTGAAACAGATCAGATTACTGTTGGAGCGGTTGGAAACCGGCTAGCGGTTAGCAGCTAACGGCTAAGCAAACGTCTAACCTTCACAACAGCAGACTGGACCTTAAAACAACTGTCAAGGCTCCAAACAGGGTCCCAGTTCAGGTTCGGGTCTGGATCTGGGTCTGGATCTAGGTCCGGGTTTGGATCTGCGCATTCTTAACCTGAAAAGGTTAAGTTTAACAGACTTACCGTTACCCCGGAACTGGGGCGCGAGCGGCTCCCAGATTGGCAAGGCTCTGCTGACGTCACATGTGGTTCACTCGGAAATCCACGTGGGTTTGTTTTTCTTTTGAAATCAATATACAAATAAAGAATAAAAATAAAAACCGTTTCAAATTAAAATGTTGACATTGAGGAATAGGGTTGTGTTTTGTCCAAAATAACAAATAATGATTTTTAATAAAATGGTAAATAGTAGTAATAATATCGTAAATAGTAGTAATAATAGAGACCTCTATTATATTTACCCTTTCAATAAAAAGTCCATACATCCATTTTCTACCGCTTCATCCATTGCCGGGTCGCGGGGGCAGCACTTCCCTATCCACACCAGCTGGGGGGACCCCAAGGCGTTCCCAGGCCAGCTGAGAAACAGTCCCTCCAGCGTGTCCTGGGTCTTTCCCGGGGTCTCCTCCTGGTGGGACGTGCCCGGAACTCCCAAGGGAAGTGTCCAGGAGGCCTCCAGAACAGATGCCCGAGCCACCTCAACTGGTTCCTCTCAACGTGGAGAAGCAGCGGCTCTACTCCGAGCTCCTCCCGTGTGACTGAGCTGCTCACCCTTTCTCTAAGGGAGCGCCCAGCCACCTGTGGAAGAAGCTCATTCTGACCGCTTGTATTCACGATCTTGTCCTTCCGGTCATTACCCAAAGCTCATGGCCATAGGTGAGGGAGGGAACAAAGATTGACCGGTAAATCGAGAGCTTTGCCTTTCGGCTCAGCTACCGCTTCACCACAACGGTCCAATACAACGACCGTATCACTGCACTGATCCGCCTGTCAATCTCACGCTCCATCCTTCCCTCACTCGTGAACAAGACCCCGAGATACTTGCACTCCTCCAATTGAGGAAGGACCTCTCCGGCCCTTGGCTGTGCCTACAAATTTTGTTCATAAAGACAGTGAACCGAATCGGTGACCAAGGGCAGCCTTGGCGGAGGCCGACATGCACCGGGAACAGGTTTGACTTACTGCTGACAATGCCCCAAGGCAGTGCAACCCGATGTTACTCTCGGAAGTGTGAGTTGAAAATCCGTCTGACAAGGGGCAGAGCAAGACGTTCCCAGCAGACCCTCACTTCACGCTCGGGTCTGCCCGGGCTGACCAGCTTCCTCTCCCGCCAGCGGATCCAACTCACGACCTGGTGATTGGTTGACAGTGAATCCAAAAGCTGAGAACCGGGCAGCCCACCAAACAAAACGTGTGTGGACTGTATAGATTGTGGTCAAAAAAGGTTATGCAAATGTAGATGTAACTAATGACAAAGGGACAATCTAACAAACTTTTAACATTAGAACTCCAATTTGAACATAAATTAGCTGAATTTTTTATAGCGCCATTTATTTCCGATTAACTAACTAATTTAGTTAGTTAGTTTGTTAGTTGCTAAGGCTAACTGGAGTTTCCCCTACAAATTAAGGGATCTCACTTGTCAATTCTTGTTCTAAAATCTGGATTTACAAAGACAACATCAAAATAAAAAACCCCAGACCATAGAGAGAACGAAGTCGTGAATATGACAAAAGCCCCTGTGATCCAAGATGGCGCTGTATTCAAATGAATGGCTTGTGCTCAGTAGCGCATGATTAGCGGAACTTGCCTATTTGGGCATCATCTGGTCCTCCTAGTTCTGTGCAGTGGACGAGCTCCCATGATGCGTTCCGCCAAATATGCGTTTGTGGCTCTCATGCACACGCACAGAGGGGCTCGGCCGCGGTTTGACCAATCAGAGCTGATCATCAGCGCAGCGGTAGAGCGAAGTCAGAGCGGGAAGAAAACAAGCAGAGTTTGTCGCAGTAAAGTGTGGATTTAAAGAAAACCAAAGGATTTATGACGAAAAAAAGTTCAGGGCCTCTGTGCACGTGCGTGAGACCCACACACGCGTATTTGGCGCAACGCATCATGGGAGATAGCGCAGATAGCGGAGTTTCCCATGGATCTTTGCGAGTTTCCCATGGATCTTTGCGAGTTTCAGGCGACTTCCGCAAATTTTTTTGGCACCCATGCCGGCACAAAGCGCCACTGAGCACAACCATTCATTTGAATACGGCGCCATCTTAGATCGCCAGGGCTTGCCAAAATGACGTGCGCTGACCATAGACTGTATATATTAAAGTGATTGTCTGGAGTTTGTCAGAAAGAGAGACAGAGAGGTACTTGATTTGAAAAAAACAACGCAAGCTCCCTCCCCTTCCTTTCTGATTGGTCTACACCTACGTTTCCGTAACACTTTGAAATGTTAATCAGAGAACACATTATACATATACATTATTAATACACATGCACGGAGGTTTTCAGAATCGCGGCAAACCAGGAAGTGCTATTATTATGAATTGCACATTATAGGACACATCTGCAGAGGATCTGATTATGGATATAGGTTCAGTATATAAATAATTATGGATATAGGTTCAGTATATAAATGAGTAACTCAGCGCGGATGTTCAGAATTCTTTGTTCAGTTTTCATGTAGTTCCAGAGCCTAATAGAGGCTTGATTCGGAGGCTCCGCGAAAACAAACAACTGAGCATGCGCGCAGCTGCGAGCATCAGCGCCGATGATTGACAGCCCTTGGCATGACTCGATTGGTTAACCTCGGCGGCACCGTGGATTCTGAGCTATAGCTAAGAGCAGGGAAGGCGGGACTTGCCCGTAATATTAGAATTAATAAAATGACTTATTTTATATCAACATTTAAGGCCAGGAGGTCAATTTAACACATTTCCTAAAATTTGTAATTCATTTAGAGTTACAGACTATCACTTTAACGGACAGAGTCACGCCTATCTCCGCCGTTCTAACTAATGGGCCAAACAAATTTCTCTACTGGAGCTATCCAAAATGGCCGCGAGTGGTCCCGCTCACAAGAAAATTGTGAAAAAACGCATCTGCGCATGCGTCAACCGGCGCAGCTCCGTTCATTTGAACGAGAGACTTCAAAAATTCACAGCAAGTAAACTAGAGTGGACCAAAAAAATTCACCCCCCTCAGCATTGACACACATGTGGAACGGAGCTTTGGGCCAAGAGCCAACTTTTGGTCCATCCTGTAAAGACGTTGCTATATGCTATGTTAGCATTGGCTAATTCTTCTTCTGGGTCCAGGTCCACCCCCATCGGCCCGGGGTGGTATTGCAAGCATGTCAGCGCACTTCATTTTGGCCCCCACTGGCGCTGACATGCTTGTGTGGCAAGCTGGACTTGGCCACTATATTTCTCTCGATATCGCTCTTTGAGATGCAGGACATCTCGTTACGCTAATAGTTTTTATCCACAAGCTGTCATCAGTTTGAACAGAGCACTTTAATGATTTTATTTAAGTGCTCTATTTTATTTGTTTTATTTCTGTCTTTTAATGTTATGTCTGTATTTGTCTGTGCACACTGGAGACTTTTTGCTAATGTATTCCAATGTGGTGTTTTTACTGCAAATGGCAAATAAACTGAATCTTTCTGTCCAGTAGAGTACTGACAGTATAAATAGCCTCGAGTCGCCTCTTTGTTTACCTCTGCACTTCCGTCTCCTGTGTGTCATCGCGCCTGCCTCCTCCTGCTCCAGGTCGTAGAGTTTTAGCGTAATCCTAATATTTGTACGTTTCAGCCACTAACATTAATGTTGCTTCAGTGCCGCGGTGAGGCCCAGTTGCCCCGCGAGTCCTGCTTATGTAGCCATGCTGTCCTGTCGCTTTGGCGTCTGGTCGCCCTCGTTGCTGGGGTCCGAGCGTGTCATAGCCGGCCGTGGGTTTGGGTCAGACAGTCACCCGTCAAGGGTCAGCGCTCATCATTCGCTCTAAAGTAGGTGTTATCTGAAAGTGCGGCGGCTCCCCATGTATGCAGCGTGTGTGCGTCCTGCGGGCTGCTCCACTCGTTCATGACAGAAGGGGAGGGTGTTATCGGGGCCGTGCCAGGATGCCTGGTCTTGACCGGCCTAGAGCCGTGGAGGGGTCCAGTTGGTTGGAACGGCAGGGATAGAGTGGGGATTGCCAGGCCTGTTGCCGCGCTCGCCTCTCCTCTCCGTGGACATCTGCTGTGGAAGCATCTTAATCTGCATCTCTCCAGCTCTGCCCGCTCAGCCTGCTTCCTTCTCGCACACACGCTCTCTTAATTGCCCTCGCTGTTTGCTCCTGATTGCAGTCCTTAATTTTCAGTTCCCAGAGCGGCGCTGTAGACTGTAGCTGCTGTACATTACACAGTTCACACAACAGACATGGGAGGGAGAGATTGGTGGAATGTTATTAGTGCATAAGGCCATTTTTAACAATGTCCCTGAATAGCCCGTTTGCTTCGGCCCTTGCTGACCAAGAAACTTTACACCTCAATGAATTACCTTTTTAAAAGTGCTCCTTGATGGTTAAGGTAGCCGAAATTGGCCTTGGTGAGTTCATTTCTGCCTCTGACCAGTGTGGTGAATGTCGAGCCGTCTTGGCACTTTTTGGTTGAGCTGCTATCGATACGTACATCGCTCCTTTCTTTTGATACAGGAATAAATGGTAAAACCTTTGATCTATCAATGTTTCTTTTAATTTAAAGCTGGGTACCCTAACATGGTTTTTGTTTAATACATACATTGTTTTGTGACCCAACAAAAAGAGTCTGAAAAAAGTGGATATGCTGTGAAAAAAACAAGACCTCAAGTATTACCGGACTTATTAATACCGAGCGGCTGAGGTCTGTACGGAGAAAATATCAGACCGCCGCCTTTAACGTACCGTGCCGTGGCGTGTTCTGTGCAAAAAGGCCAAGGTCTGATATTTTTCATGCACAGATCCGAGTCAAGCGAGGTTATATAAATGGTTTTATTATATGGACTTCGTCCTGGGTTCTTTCCTCAATGCTTTTGAGATATTGTGAAGTATGTTCATGTCCCGACTTGGTTTTCCTTATCGTGTTTTTAGTGTTGTACGTGCTGCATGACCAATTGTTCATGGTAACGGTTCCGAGATGGGAAAATATCAGGACGCAAATCAGCAATCAGAGCGCGGTACAGTCAAGGTCATATGGATAATGAAGGTTATGGAGGATTTTCCAATTTTGAAGAACGAACCTGTCCCCTTTTTGAGAAAAAAACTCTCTGGTCTTATTTGACCTATTCCGGAATGATTAACTCTTGAAAGACCAACAGTCTGGAGTTATCCACCCGAGAGTCGAACATTCTCCTATATACCTTTACCATTGAGAAAAAATACTTTCTCATCTTTTGCGTTTTTTTTGACATTTTAAGAGCCCACTAAGTCATTTTTTGGGCTGAGGCTGATTGTCAGAGTGAAGGAGGGTGGGGCCTCTCTTTTTCACTGTTCTGTCTGAAATAGATGTTCAAGACAGAGGCCCAAAAATACAAGTATGTTAAAAAACTAGTAGTTGTGAGGTCAAAAGTTCCTAGCCTGCAAGTATTGATCATGAGAAAGTGACAATGGTTGTGTGCGATACATCACCGAGCGACCACTCGACTATACTAATATAAATTCTTTGCTGTGTTGTCATTGAGTTTATGGCCATTTGAGTCATGCAGTAAACCATGTTGTAGGAGTCATGTTGGACGCTGACTCTGTTTGGTGTCGTTAGAGCAAAAGACAGATGACAACAGCCGACTGTCGAAAGGGCATGAGACAATGTCTGATGCCACAGCAGGTGGAGCACATCTGTTCCTTCACGGCGTGGCCCTATATTTTTGAGCCAGCAGCACTTACTTCTGACTCGGCCCAAATATTTGACGGAAAATATCTCTGTCAAGTGGATTATTGGTTTGACTCAATACATTTCCAGCTCTTTACCTTTCCACTGCACCATAACTAGCAGCAGAACCTGACAAACCTTTAAATCGCAAAAGGTACGGTTGTAGCCTATTTTATGCTACATATATAAAAATTGGATCCCCAAGAAATATGTCCAAATACTTGCGTGGAGCGCCCACCAAAGTCATACTTTTATATTTTATATAGAGAATAAGGGATAGTTACTTTTGGTCCGAACAGCTGTTTTAGATTCTTTTTGTATTAGGGAAATAAACCTTTTTGAATTTAACTTTCTGAATCATGGTCATCTTTATAAGGGATTTTGAACACGTCATTTTTTAATATAATAGTAACAAGTGCAATTGTTTTTTGTTAGTACTCAAAGTATGCTGCTATTTATGTTTGTTATATCAGCTTTGTTTTGCACTTTGATGTCTGTGTTTGTGAAAAAGTTAGCAGCTACATAATTTGTGTTTGGCTTTGCAATCCCATCGAGGTGTATTTAATTTGTTTATATTATTTTATTGTCTATTTACTACTGAAAGTGCCTGTTTCCGTTAAAGTAAGAATCCAGCCATGTTCAAACACACAAACACTTTCTGAGGAATATATGAAATGTCTTTTATTAACAAGACAAACAAAACCACGTCGCACTTGTCAAATTATATCTAATCATCCAACTACATACAGTGTTGGAAAAAGGATATATTGATATTCTTACTTAGATAAAAGTATGCATCATATAATGTAGTTAATGAAATTAAATTATAAGTACCTATGAATTGTACTTACTTTCCAACACTGACCAAATATAATCATGTTCAGAGAGATGTGCTTGTAATGTTAGTGGAGCAGAAACTTGAGCTGAGAGCCTGTCTCAGCCACTTGCTTCTTGTCCTTCATCTCCTGGGGGCAGTGGCGGTGGAAGATCGTCATCCTCATCTGGTTCCAAGACATCACCGTGGGTCAGGCAGACATTGTGTAAGAATGCACAGGCAGTTACCATTTGGGTGCAAAATGTAACCTTGACCTCCATTGACTGGTATTCTGCATTCACATAGACGGGGCTGTTTTTGAGAACACGCGTGTCATGACCTGAGCCAGGAAAACCAACAAAAATGTTCAGGAACCGTCCGCTGCAGTCACAGATGACTTGCATGTGGACGGAGTAGAACTGCTTATAACAAAAGTAGTCCTCTTTGGTCTGATTAGTTGGCTTAATTTGAATGTGACAGCCATCCACTGCACCTACAGCTTTGTCAAAGGCTTTGTGGCCAGCTAAACGTCCAAATCCCTTCCCAATGTCCTCCAAGTCCTCCTGGTTTGGATAACTGATGACTTTGTGGGCCTTTTCCATTATGGCTTGTGCGATTCTGTGCACAACCCGCCAGACTGTTTACTTATGCTCTTGCTGCAACTCTGTATGAGATGCCATGTGCAAGCCAATAGACAAATATCCAAATCTCCAGTGGATAGCCCCAACCGTGATCTTGCTCTCTCTTCAAAATTCCCATCAAGTTTTTCATTGAACCCCTTGTCAAACGGTAGTCAGGTTGTAGGTCTTCATCTGGATCCAAATACACCTGGAGAACTGGCACGATGGAGTTCTGTCTGGTGTACGTGAGCTGTCCTCTAACCTGAAACGCATGTAATGAGAATGAGGTGCCAAGATCACGGTTGGAAGTATGCATCTATTGGCTTGCACATATCTCATACAGAGTTGGAGCCGGAGCGTTCTCTGTGCGCAAGTCAACAGTCTGCCGGGTTGTGCACATTATTGTTCAGGCTATTAAGGATAATTCACTAACCACAACGCAATGTGGAACAATGGGAAGGGATTCTCAGCTTAAAACTACTTACACATTTGAAAAAGAAATCACATTATGATACAATGCTGAATACAAAGAGGCTTATTCTTGCCTAGACCTACCATATTAATGACTTCAGTGCCACGGACTGTAAGGATCCGCCAAAGCAATTTTTATATTTTATTTTTTACTCTAAAATGCCGCCAGTCACCTCTTCTGCAGATTTAGTTTTAAGAGGAAAGGCCTCCACCCACTTAATGTAGTAGTCGATCATGACACAAATGTACTGTGTCCTTGGAGTCGGGGTCAGCTTCCACCAGGTCCATTCACACCAATTCAAATGGCTCAGTGTGTCATTGTTTAGATTTATTTCCTGTTTTATTTTGTGATTTGTTAACCCCTGTGTCTTCTTTAGTTGTACTTCCTGTTTGATGCTCTGCCCTATGTGTCTCGTTAGTCTTGTATTAAAATTAATTAAATGTGTTCCTTCACTCCATGCTTTCATTGTCATTCCGCGTCTGTTTTAGTTTTTGTCCTCGATCCCTGTTTGGTTCCTTTTTGTGGTTTTTCTCTTGGACTTTGGTTTATTTTTTACTAAATTTTCATTTCTTGCATTTTGGGTCCTTGCCTTAAGGACCCAAAGGCACAAGTTTATCATGTTAAAGTCACTGTGTAGTGTGGATTGAGCCAGTGACTCAATCCACACGACACAGTGACTTTAACATGATAAACATGATCTGAAAAATGCAATAACTGCAAAAGAAATTGGATTCATTTCCTCAATTGGTTGATATTGGACTTTAGCCTTCAAGTTTGCCCTCCACTTTTGGCACTCAGGGCACTGTTTCACCTTTTAATAATATTACTATAAAAATCAGTATCAATATTGTACATTATTGATGACAATGCCACAAGTGCATTATATTGACAGTGTATCAAATGGCCCACAGTGACCCACAACTGAATGTCTCTCTATTTTAGGCCAGTAAAATCGTTCAATTATTGCACGGTGGGTTCTCTCCCAGCCACAGTGGCCTCCAATAGAGCTGACATGAAACTCTATAAATATGTCATTTGCCTCTTTGGACGAGCGCACGTTGCTTTTTTTTAACTATGCTACATCCCACATTTAACAGATTTTTGTCACTCATCTTTTATTTGTGGTTCTTTGCCCGTCGTCTTATTGTGGGCATGAAGATGTCAGACGCAAAAGGGGGCAGGCATCCATGAATCAAATACTCGACAAGTTGATCAAACTTTGTACGTTATAGACTAAAATCCTACTATACAGGCTACAAACAAAAACTAGCTCTCTGGCTCAATCTAAATTTGCAATCGCTAAACTGTTTACTCTAAAGGAAATACCGTGATCACAAGTGGATGTGAGAATGATCAATATCTGGTGGTCTTTTATAACATACAACCACACTTGGATCCAAGTTAGAGCTGCTGCAAAATATTCATGGTCTGTGCACACAGCATCCAAAATGGAGGAGACCTACCTCTAAATATTAAATAAAATGTTGCTCTACCTAATAGAAGTTTAAATAATTACATTTAAAACAATCACCTTTAAAATCAAAATGCCGCAACTACAGATGTCCAATTGTGGCTGGTGCGCGGGAGGCGGGTGTTGTAGGTCGGTGCCGGTGACGTCAAGAGTTTGCGCCGAACGAGCAGGTTGTAGTTTGGGAATGGCGGAGAATGCAATAGTAAAGTAATCCAGTCTGGTTCTATCAAGAAATTGAAGCAGGAGCAAGAGGAATGTTTAGCAAATGTAATCGCTGGTAAAAATTGTAGCGCTACTCCCCACAGGCTCCGTTAGCGGCAAAGGAGATGGCTAGGCAAATGCTAAATGCTAACAACTCATTTGGGCGCATTACATACGTGACGGTAAACTCAGATCCAATCGTTTCAATCTGCAAAAGGAGTTAACTCCTCCCACCTGTTCACGGAGCTCAATGGAGCACCTCCAGACCTTAGTATTAAATGTCATTTGTACTATGGTGTGGTACAACCAGGCTATTACTTCCCCACTCCTTGTAGGCAAAGTGGGGGAAAGTGTCTTGCACAAGGAGACAACGACAGCAGACATCAGTGAGTTAGTGGAGAAAGTCTCGCAATGGACTCGAACCCAAAACCTTCAGGCTCAAAGGCCAATGCTCTAACACTCCAGCAAGAGAGAAGCTGGAAAATGAGGGTCCAAAATCACAGTTGTCATTATAACAGCCAGGTTCACTGCGCTCCCAGATTAAGTCAGGCTTTCACACCTGTTGAAGAGTCATCAGGCATCAGTCAATGTAGGAATCTGAAACAAAAATCCAATCCTTGGTGTATTTGGGATGTTCAAATTTCCAACTCTAAAACAGAAACCGTGAATACGAGATTTGTTCCAGTGGTTCTTACCCGCAGGTCAATGACCCGCCACAGATTATTGAAAGTAGAACAAAAATATAAATTGGGGTCTAAAAGGGTCTAAATGACCCAGGGTTGGTCCATAGACTGTAAATATTATCAGACATAGTCACGCCTATCTCTGCCATTGACTCTAATGTTTTATTAGTTTCGCCGTCTGTGGGCAGTTTCAGAATGGCCGCGGGGGCTGGAGAATGTTAAAGGCATCTGCGCATGCGTCAGGTGCATGAGCCACATTAATTTGACAAGAGCCTTAAAAATTACACAGCGACTAAACTAGACTAGTCCAAAAAATATACTCCCATCAGCATCGACAGCATCTGGAACGTAGCTTTGGGCCAAGAGCCGACTTTTGGACCATCCTGGCCGTTTTTGAGAGCAAAGAAGGAGCAAGAAGATGCTATACAATAGCATTGGCTATTTCTTATTCAAGGTCCACCCCCATTGGCCCGGGGACATTTTTGAGCCGTGACCTACGCCCACCGGCTTGGTCAAGTTAGGAATAATCATCAAAATTTAGCTCAACAGAAAGATGGAGGAGACTGGAGCACACCTGATGGCAGGTCACTAATGAGCGCCAGGGACACGTCCCCGGGACACGCCGCCGGGACACGCCGCCGGCTCGTTTACAAACACCTGCTGTAGACGCAAACTCAGAGTTGTAGTCAAATTGTTTTTAATGAAATTCAAGGAAATCTTGGGGATAAACTCAATTGAAGTCATCTTTCCAAAGTGTCTGTGGACCCAGAGTGACCAAGGATCAAACCATGGCTCCCTGATGACGCTGCGTCTTCCTCTGTGGTTTTAAAGGCAGTTTGAAAACAAAGTCACTCCCAGAGAAGTCAATTTGACGGCTTTTAGTTTTGTGTAGCGTAATTCCTCAGCTTATGTACATTTGTGGTCATCATAACTTTGCATTTATCTGGCTTTATATGTAGTTCATTTATATTCCACTGTTTTATTTTATTATCTTATTTTTGAAACGTGAGCAGTTCTTCCTTTCTAACAAACATTTACATGTAGCCATTTCTGGTTGTTAAACGTCTCTTCCATGATGCTGGTCCTGGACTGGTACTGGTCTTGATCTGGACTGAAGGGGGTCAGCTTGGACTTCCACCGGAGAAAAAATTGCAGTTACCATAGCAACACACTGAGTAATTTGCCGCCCAAACATTTTTACGTTTTAGCCCTTAGTTAAAGGGAGTAAAGGTTAAAAATATACTTCAAAGAAATATACAATCAGGTGAAAACTTTACTTTATAGGAATTTCTCTGAATTCCATTGGTTTGATCAACGCTTTGGGAATTCTAGTTTCAGAATTACCAACACTTTCTGGAATGGAATCATGTCCTGTTAGTTTGTTACAGTTGTTTCAGTTTAACCTGAGACACTGAATATAGTTTTATCCATAGTTCCACTTGAATTACAAATAATTCCCATTCTCTATTATTTAAGTTCATTGTTCATTCTGTGCAACTTAAACTCAAAACGGACTTTATATTCTCTTCCCTTGATTCAGAAGACCCCATTCTTTCATCTGTAATCCTGTTTCCATCTGTAGTGCACACAAAAAGCTTGTGATAGTCTGGAACTCTAAGGCTATATCCACACAAAGACAAAACGCTTATAATTTCAGAAACTTTTTCTGTAAACACGGAGTTAGCTCAGTAAATGTGTGCGTCCATATGAATGTAGTCAATACGCCTGAAAACGCTGTGAAACTATGCCAGACCTGTTGGTGGCGCTGTGACGCAATGACTGGATCAAGCCCAAACTTCCGTGACGGGAACTGGGCATGCGCAGAATTTTGTAAACAGACAACATGGCGAGTGGGCGAGCTGGTACTACATTAGTATGGACGGACGATGAGGTTGAACTGTTGCTTCGGGTCGCACTGGATTACAAAACCAACAAGCTACATTGTTGTTGTCATTATTTTCTGAGTGCGGCGCATGCGTGCTTTAACAAGAGGCGGGGCGATGACGCAAGCGTCTCAGATACATTGCGGAGAGGCAGTAACCACGGAGCGGCATATACGGAGTTTTGAAATCTTTCCACTCTGGGACCTACTTTCAAAAATGTTCGTTTACACCCCCCCAAAACGCCGGCCTCGTATGGACGATACACTGGATTGATAAAGTATTTTTGCGTTTAGGCCTGAGCTTGACTTCGTGTGGACAGGGTCTAAATTAATTACAAATTTAAGGAATTGTATTAAATTGACCTCCTGGCCTTAAATGTCCTGCCTTCCCTTCTCTCAGCTAAAGCTCAAAATCCTCGATGCCGTCCACTTTAACCAATCAAGTGATGCCAAGGGCTGTCAATCATCACACTCGTGCTAGTATATGATTTGAATATTAAATATATATATACATATATTCTAACAAATATTAGGCCCTGTCCACACGAAGTCAAGCTCAGGCCTAAACGCAAAAATACTTTATCAATCCAGTGTATCGTCCATACGAGGCCGGCGTTTTGGGGGGGTGTAAACGAACATTTTTGAAACTAGGTCCCAGAGTGGAAAGATTTCAAAACTCCGTATATGCCGCTCCGTGGTTACTGCCTCTCCGTAATGTATCTGAGACGCTTGCGTCATCGCCCCGCCTCTTGTTAAAGCACGCATGCGCCGCACTCAGAAAATAATGACGACAACAATGTAGCTTGTTGGTTTTGTAATCCAGTGCGACCCGAAGCAACAGTTCAACCTCATCGTCCGTCCATACTAATGTAGTACCAGCTCGCCCCAGTGGCGGCCGGCCAATAGAGGGCGCTAGGGCGCCGCCCCACCACTCACAACTTGCCATGTTACCTTGAATAAAACGTTAAAAAAAATAATAACATTAAAATATTTCGAAATGTATGTGTGTTTTATTTCAGATGTGGAAGAAATACTTTATAGTTTATGCTGAGTTGGATTGATTAAGCTCATCAGCGTTGTCTGTGTCGGACTGAGGACGTATTTCCGCCTCAGGGCGCAAAAGATTGCGCCCTGAGCCGTCTATGGACTCTCGTTAAAAGTTGTACATGCGCAGTAGCTCCTCTTCAATGCAAGAGATAAGACGATTTGGGGGCGCAGGAGAAGTGCGCCCTGAGGGGGCGGGATCGCCCGCGACCTGTACTGTCACTGTCTGTGACGTCCGTTTACAGTGATTGACAGGTCAAGCTGTGGGAGTTTGAGACGAACGTAAAGAGACGCAAAATGGAGAACGAGAAAAAGAATAATTCAGTTAGATCACTCAAAACAATACCGTTTGAGAGAAGATCATACCAGGAGAAAGTTGAGGTTAAAGAGCTTGGACCTGATCAGCCAAATATTACCATTAGTCAGCAGTCCAGCGACAGAGGGAGACGGTACACTCGTACTTTTTCCAGGACCTGGTTCAGCGCCAAATCTTGGCTAGCAGCATGTAGCGAGGCTAATGCTTTATTTTGCTTTCCATGCCTCTTGTTTCAAACATCAGGATCTGACCCAGCATGGATCAAGACAGGTATGACTGATCTGAAGCACTTTTTAGAAAAGGCAAAGAAGCATGAGCAGACTGGTATCCACATGCAAAATGCCCTCAAATTAGCTATGTTTGGGAAGATAAATATTTCATCCCAGCTGGATGAAAGCTACAGGGTAGGGATCAGAAAGCACAATGAGGAGGTTGACAAGAATAGGCACATCCTATCAAAAATAATAGACTGTGTCAAATTCTGTCGTGCATTTATATCTAGTCATCATATTCATAGCCCCCCCAGTAGAAAATTCCACCAGCCGCCACTGGCTCGCCCACTCGCCATGTTGTCTGTTTACAAAATTCTGCGCATGCCCAGTTCCCGTCACGGAAGTTTGGGCTTGATCCCGTCATTGCGTCACAGCGCCACCAACAGGTCTGGCATAGTTTCACAGCGTTTTCAGGCGTATTGACTACATTCATATGGACGCACACATTTACTGAGCTAACTCCGTGTTTACAGAAAAAGTTTCTGAAATTATAAGCGTTTTGTCTTCGTGTGGATATAGTCTTAGACAGCCCTGAAAATTCAAAGCTGTAATGGGTATTTTATTTTTTAAATGGTATCAAATAGTTATTTCTCAAAGGTTTTGGTGACGTGGCCAGATGGGTAACAGCTAGGCTAGCTAGCTAACTAGAACTCTCTGGAAAGAAAAGTGAACAAAGAATTCTGAACATCAGCGGTGAGTGACACAAAAAAAACTCAACCTAAATCCATAATCAGATCCTCTGCAAATGTGTCCTAAAATGTTATCACTGACGTTAATAGTTACTTCCGAGTTTACCGCCATCTTTTTAACGCATTAGAACAGTATTTATGTCAAGAAAACGTGAACAGATCATTCTGAAAACCTCCGTGCACGTGTGTAAAGAATGTATATGTATAATGTGTTCTCTGACTAACAATTAAATGTGAAGATTGATTGGTATTCATGTTTATTGAACATGGCTAGCTTCGATAGCTTCTCTCGCTCAGACAGAAGTAATACGTGACAGGACCTGAAAGCCTGTTGTGACGAAGTGTACGAACTACTGTCAGAGTAATCTTTGTATTTTACACATCTGCGATCATTATTGGTTTGAGTCTGTTATCAAAAAATAATGACCGGTGGAACGTTTTGAAATTACATTAAAATCAATGGAGCGTTCTACTGCTGCTGTGAGGAGCTGTATTTCAAATTATGATATATTGGAATATTTGAAGTATTCAGACCTGAAAAGTCCTTTGCTCCGCTTGCTTGATCCGAATCAAAAGCGGACCAAACTTTTTTCTTTTGCTCCGGTTCGTATTCAGACTGTCCTTTTTGCAAGTGAACTTTTTTATATAAACATAGTGACACGTGTGACGATCGGCGCTCCTATTGGACAGCCAGAGCTCACGGAGGATAGACGCGGAACCGGCAGAAAACATTGAGGGCTTGTATGTGCAGCATGTCTGCTCTGCCTATGTTTGCTCTTTTTAGAGCAAAAACCACCTTCAACATCAACAGCAGCAGCTCATATGACGCAGGCGAAACGCGCTGTTTTAAATATTGGAACAGCGTCGGAGAATGCGTGAGGAGAAAGCAGAAGGAGACTCTGTCTGTGCGCTCCGTGTCCTGTCCCACACATGGATCTATGATAATAACGGCCCTGTTCAGCATTGTGGATAAACCATGGATCTATAATAACCACGGGACCAACAGACGCTGAAGATCAGGTAGGAACCAAAGAACACAATTCACTACATGATGCGGAATATTGCTCTTTGAGACGTGAGTCAAACACGTCAGGCTTTTAATAATGCAAATGGTTTGAAGATGCTGCATTAACATCAATGTATACTCTGAACAGTTGTAACTCCATAAGCCTGTTGCACAGCGTCTCCTCACTGCTCCAGGTCTGCACACGGCTCATTGTTGTTGTGTAGCGTTCGCATCATAGTTAGCATCATAGTTAGCCGCTGCGTGGCTAATTCCTCAGTTTCTGTCTGCGGCTTGTTAAGCCCAAAAAATGCGCACGTATCTTGGAGTTGTGTCGGATTGACACCGGATGTATTCAGACCTGATTCGACTTGGACCAGAATTCGTTTGGAAGCGGACCGAGACCACCTCAAAAAGTGGGTCTCGGTTCGGTTCTTTGGTCCGGACCAGGATTCGTGTGTGTGTATTCAGACCTGCATAAAAGCTTCGGATCAGAGTTCCAAACGAATCCTGGTCCGTTTAAAGTGGAGCAAATGTGCAGGTCTGAATACACCTCTCCACCGCACGTCTACTGTAGAACCATTGACCTGGCGCATGCACGGAAAAAGTAGGCGCGGCTTCAAGACCAATCTGAAAGGAGGGGGAGGGCTGGTTAAAAATTTCAAATGGAAAAATTCAAACTAATTTAAAATTTTAAAAATGACCCAAAAAATCTTCCTTCAAGCCCTCATCTTTCCTGCCACTGTTCATTGTTCACAGTGTTATCCAGCCAACTTAGCCCCATTAAAGCTGTACTAACTTACTTTATTTTTGTATTAATTACGAAAATGCCATCCATGTCCATGTAGTGCATTGGATATACGTCCTTTTGAAGAAAAAGTAGCGCAGGTTTGTGCTGGCGTGACATTATGTTTTAGATCGAGTTTTGATGAAACAAGGAAGAGAATGTGTTTTGGGTCGCAGATTGTGACCAATCACAGCGGACCACTGGCCCCCACTTTCGTGAGAAATCTACAGGTCCGTTAGCGTAGACGGCTGAGTTAGCACAACAAGCGGCGGAGCTAACCTGAAGCTTCATTGTCTTCGTCACCGGTTACTGCTTACACAGCGAGACAGCCATCCAAAAGAAAGTCCTGTTCCTCTGCGCTTCCCGGTTCTATCGTTCTATGGTCACGCCATCCACGTGCAAATCCATATCCATGTATTATCCATATTGGGAGACGCTAGCTTCCGTAAACAACAGTGGGTGTGCGGTAGCGTGGGGCGATAGCTTCGTGGGTGCGGGGAGGGGAGGAGAAAGAGCAAGGCCAGCGAGTCCGCTGCTTCAAAATCCCAAAGTCAGTTAGTGCAGCTTTAAGCCTGATATACCTCATTTTAAAGATTGTTCAAAGTGTAGATGGAGAGAAAAGTAATCATTTGTCATTCAGCCAACTCCAGTTCAGTCTTTTACAATCCGCGTTGTTGATCCAGGCGACATTTCTGGTGAACTAAAGTGGCCCTCCTAAACATTTGGGCATCATTACTCCCATTTATCAGATTCCAACTTGCGTATCCCAGCTTTAAATGCGTTAAAATTATTGCACTATTCCTGAAAATGAAACACAGAAAAACATTTTTAAAACTTTATTCACTCAGAGCACATCAGTGAAGAGCCAATCAGAGCACAGGCGTGGTCTCGTTGTGATGCAGCAGAGGCTCATGGGAAACGTGCTTCATTTGTTTGTGCTGTGGACTGAAGGGGGCACCACTGAGACCGCCTGAGAGAGGAGCAGAGGAAACACAATGACCAGAAACACGAACTACAGTCGTCTGTTTTAATATGGACATTTTGACTGCTGCTATTTAAGCACCTCCTCTCTCGCCTCCTTCTCCTTCAGGAGACCCTGGTTTTCCACTTTTCTCTCACCACCTTATCCTCCAGCAAACCCTGGTATACCTCCTTCTCCTGCGGCAGAGCCTGGTACTCCTCCTCTCTCACCTCCTTTTTCCTACAGCAGATACTGGTACACCTCCTTTTCCTCCAGTGGACCCTAGCACACCTCCTTTCTCACCTCCTTGTCCTCCAGCAGACCCTAGTACACCTCCTTCTCTCACCTTTTTTTTCTTCAGTACATCTCGGTTTACCTCCTCTCTCACCTCCTTGTCCTCCAGCAGACTCTGATACAGAAGCACCTCCTCCTCCAGTCTCTCCTTGTTGCTGAGGAGCAGGTCCAGGTCTCTGCGTTGAGCCTCTGCATCTCCTCGCACCTCCTTTAGCTCTGCCTCTAGACGAGACACGAGGGAAGAGATGTTCTGCACCTCCACCTCATGGAAACTGCGAGTGTCGGAGAGGGAGTTCTCCAGAGCACGTTTCTGTGAGGAGGAGAGACATGAAAGAGGAGGAGACGTATCAAAGAGAGACTCTACTCCTTTTTGACGGTCTTTTATCTAAAGTGGGAGGAGTCTCACCAGTGCTCGCAGAGACTCTGTCTGGGCCTGAAGACTCTGGACTTTAGAGACCGAGTCCTGGACCTCGGACTTCAAATGCTCCATCTGCTCCTGCTGTGGGCTGAGACCTGAGACCTTGGACTCTGGACACTGGGACTGGACTCGGTTCTGCTCACACACTCTCTCCCACTGGGTTCGTATGTGGTCCAGGATCTGGTCCAGGTCAGTCTGATCCAAGTCGGGTTGCTCCAGGTGCTGCGGGTAGAGAGCACGGACATTCTGCGGGGGAGACACAGAGACTTCTTGTAATTGAAACTTGTCACAGAGAACACTTTGGTTTGAGAATTATTTTACAGATGAGAGATGGTGAGAAGAAGAAGTTTTAGCCCCGCCCTCACCTGTAATCCCTCCCTCTTTAGCCTTCACCTGTAATCCCGTTCTCTTTAGCCCTCACCTGTAATCCCACCCTCTTTAGCCCCGCCCTCACCTGTAATCCCACCCTCTTTAGCCTCGGCCTCACCTGTAATCCCGCCCTCTTTAGCCCCGCCCTCACCTGTAACTCCGCCCTCACCTCTTTATGATTCAGCTGTAGTGCCTGTAGCTCCGCCCACAGCTCGTCATTCCGCTGCTGAAGCTCGAGTCTCGCCTGTGCCGCATCCTCCGTTACTTTGAGCAATGCACTGATGTCGTCCTGCAGCTGCTGTCGCCATGGAAACTCACAATCGAACCTGCACATGACAAGTGACTGTCACTCAAGTGAGTCTGGTCCTCTGGTTATGTTCTTCTGGTCCTAGTCCTCTGGTCCTGGTCTTGTCTCACCTGTCTTTGAAGTCCTCTGCGTTGTTCTGGACGTTCTCCGTCTCCAACATGAGCCTCGCGTTTGACAAGATCCACTCACTGACCTGAACCATGTGACACACCATGTGACACACCATGTGACATGTGTGAATTTAAACAATCTGAGTTTTAACCTAATCTGAGAATAAACCTCAGCCTTGATATTCATCGAACCTGAATTTCTCCATTGTGAGATCAAGTATATCTCATCTCAACTGCAAAGTGTCACATTCCTCCAGGAGGAGGCTCATCCCACATCTGGACACTGACTCACATACTCCCCCTACTGGACAGTGATGTAAATGCCTCAGATTGGACTCAGTTAAAGCTCAGACTGTTTGTGGACCTACAAGAGTGAATCATGTGACAGACCTGGCGGTAAACATTGTCCCACTCCGCCTTCAGTGGTCCCCACGAGGTGGCACTGTGAACTCTCTGTTGGAGCTCTGCACGGAGCCGCTGCTCCAGCTCTAGGTTCAGCTGCTCCAGAGCCTGAACTTTGTCCCTGTAGTCAACGAGAGACCAGCTGAGACCCGAGGCCAGACCTGAGGGAGAACAGTCAGACTGGGGTCACATTACACTCTGGGGTCACGTGACTGAGGTCACACGACAATCACTATACAGTCACATTATTGACATTTCACACGTTCTGCTCTGATTTCTTAGCCTGACTCTCGCCAGACCCTTGTAGTTCGCTGAGCTTCACACAAGGGTCTGGGTCTGCTTCATAGCAGATGAATTTCAGAAGGCTTTATGTCCGCCATCTTGGTTTTGCTTCGGCGATGCAAACCCGACATTACACCGACGATCCTGATTGGCAGATTATATTTTGATCTCCTGAGGGAGTTTGCATTGGCGTGGATCCCAGACCCTTGTGTTCAGCCAAACGCCTCTGGTGGAGCATGGCCGAACTACAGGGGATGATTTCTGACGCACAGGGACTAAACACAGAATAATAAAAACACATGAACAAGTGGTAGCGGAAGGATTTTGAATGTAGTGAACTCCAAATTTGCATATCTCTCATCTTCAGAGTGTATTCAGGATGTCAAGCGCTACACCAGCTTTAACCAACGTTAGGCCAAGATTCACCGACCGGAAGGTTGGACATTTGGACGAGTAGGAGGGCGTTGGACATTGGTTTGGTGACAGTTTCCGCACAGTCGGGGAAGCCGTCAGGTCCTCTGAACTGCTAAACCTGTACTTGTCATCTCGTCTGTGAATAAACAGTAAGAGTAACAGAAGAGTAACAGAATGTCCACTGAATGTCATTTTATCTACTTTCAACTCTATTTTTCTGATTCAGATCAGATTCTGATTACAGTTTATTTATATTTCAGACCAATGGACTGTTTTACAGCAGCAAAAGTCAGATGTGTTCGTCCTCGTGGTCTCTGTGGCTGGTTTGGTCAATCACGAGACTTTAAAGAATAAAAACAATGTCCAGAATCACTGTCAAACCTGCGCCTCCTTCTGATGTTTAAATACAAGTGCTGTGAGCACTTGTCAAAGACCAGCAGCAGATTTCACTTTGACTGAGAGCTGTGTCACTACGCAGCAAAAGTAAAAGGCTTGTATTTTGGTAGAACATTGAAGGTAGAACATTTGTTCCACTCGTCATAAAAGAGTATTGTTTATCAGACAAGTCATTTATACTATCTTAAATAGTTCTATACACTGTAAATATCAATACATGAGTAACCTTTACTACACACACAACAAACACTTTTTTGTCCCTTGTCATCCAAATCAAGGGACAAAACATGGAAAATTTGATTGGTCTGTGAAAGGCGGTATATAAATAAAGACAGAGTCACAAAGCGGTTTGCAATTGATATTTTTAGGCATTTGTTTCTCACTCCACACAGAGATGGGAGCGGGGTCACCAGAACATGTTTTTAGTGGTAGGGGAAACCGGAGAACCCGGAGGAAACCTACGCAGACACAGGGAGAACATGCAAACTCCACTCAGAAAGACCCTGTTCCAACTGGGATTCGAACCCAAGACCTTCTTTCTGAGAAGCGAGAGTGCTATCCACTCAGCCACCATGCCGCCCAACTAAAGCAGGATTTTCTTCTTCCGGGTGGATCATCAAGACTATTAACTAATTGTCAATCATTCTGGTGAAAAGGGACAAAAAGTTTCTCTAATCTTGGTTTATTTATTTTATTTTTATGTCTTTTTTTTCTGGGAGGATAAGCCCAAGATCAGATGACGAGACATGATACAGTAAGGCAGAGAGTAAATCAGACAGTTGATAATAACACAGTTCATACAAAAGTAAAAAAAGAAAAACAAGACAAATACATAAGACAAAATACACATACACACCCATACACATACACACACATACACACACATACATACACACACATACACACACACACACACACACACACACATACACACACACACACACGCATACATACACACACATACATACACACACACACATACACACACACACATACACACACACACACATGCACACACACACATTGACTCGCATCGATTTGCACTTGTTTTGAAACTGTTTTAGTCGATCGATTTCACAGTGACATTTGTTTACTGTTTTATTTGTTTTATTTCTGTCTTTTAATGTTGTTTTATGTCTGTATTTGTCTGTGCACACTGGAGACTTTTTGCTAATGTATTCCTATGTGGTTTTTTTACTGCAAATGGCAAATAAACTGAATCTGAATCTGAATCTGACTGTTGATGATGAAGTTAAACCTCAACAATGAGGGATCAAGATCTATTGAAGGAAGTTTGTCTAAAAGCAGTGATTGATTAAATCAAAGGCTTTTGTTAGATTCATAAATACTGTCGGTGACATGTGTGGCCCACAGCAGGAGAGTGTACGCTCCGAGGAGCTGCTGCTGATCTGGTCGTCAAACACCGGAGCAGATCCTTCTGTGTGTTTTGACTGAAACTGCTCGTCCCGCCCCTGGAGCACATGGCGGTCTGCTCGTGTGTCACCGCCTTTACGTGCTCTTATGAATAGAATGGATTCATTTTTCCATCACCGCTGTCATGACCAATGTTCCCCTAAAACCCACAAAAAACAACCTGAGGATTCCTACAGTGTGAGTGCAGCGCATTTAGTGATCGGGCATCGGGTGCTAGGGATGTAAAAAACTATGAATTTTCATGACCGACTACCAAGCCTCATTAACCGGTTGAAACCGGTTAACCGCGTAGTTTAAAATAGTCCACGTTCTTTGAAATAACAGCCATTTCGAGCCGCGTACTTATCATAAGAGCAGCTTTGCGTTCTACAGGATCAGAGCCGAGACAGCGGCACCTTTGCGCACAGAGAACTGCTGTTTTAATCTTCCCATTCTGCTGAGCTGCGGGTTAATACCAAAACTTTCTAGCAGCAAACACGGCTCGTCCACATGGTCAGAGCAGCGAGTGCCGAGCCGCGTCTCACAGGTCTCCGCTAAAGTTTAAAGTTTAGTGACATGTGTGGAGCTGATCTAATGCCGAGGACCAGCAGCACAAACATGTTTTCATGTGGTTTTGACTGATGCGTGCGGATGTTACGTATCTATGGAGGTGGGAAAGTGTGTGTGTGTGTGTGTGTCTGTGCGCGCGTGTGTGCGCGTGCATATGTGGCGCGTGCGGCGTGAGAGTCACATCGTGCAAATAGGGCTTAAAACAGCGTTATTAAGAGACCTCCCCTCTCCCCTTTTTCTCTTTTTTAATCGACAGCTTTGACCGGTTAACGCTGTGACGTCAACCACCGGTTAAACGGTCACCGATTTACATCCCTAGAAGCTAGCACCCCTAGCTTCCTGTGGAGTACAGAATAAAATTTTAAATTCTTCTTCTGGCTGGCCTGGTCGTACCACACCATAGTACAAAGTCTGGAGGTGCTCCATTGAGCTCCGTTTACAGGTGGGAGTGGTTAACTCCTTTTGCAGATTGAAACGATTGAAACGAACACTACATACGTATGTAGTGTGCCCGAGTCTGTTGTTAGCATTTAGCCTAGCCATCTCCTTTGCCGCTAACGGAGCCCGATGGGAGTAGCGCCAAAATTTTTTCCAGCGATTACATTTGCTAAACATTCCTCTTGCTTCGGCTTCAATTTCTTGATATATCCAGACCGGATTGCTTTACTATCGCTTTTTTCGCCATTGCCAAACTACGACCTTCCCGTTTGACGCAAACTCTGGACATCACACACAACTAACTACAACACCAAACGCTAGACGTCTGGTGGTTCATAAGGTTTCAAAAAGCACTGTTGGTGGCAGAGCATTTACAGTGCCTTGCGAAAGTATTCGGCCCCCTTGAACCTTTCAACATTTCGCCACATTTCAGGCTTCAAACATAAAGATATAAAAATTGGATTTTTTGTCAAGAATCAACAACAAGTGGGACACAATCGTGAAGTGGAACGAAATTTATTGGATAATTTAAACTTTTTTAACAAATAAAAAACTGAAAAGTGGGGCGTGCAATATTATTCGGCCCCCTTGCGCTAATACTTTGTAGCGCCACCTTTTGCTGCAATTACAGCTGCAAGTTGCTTGGGGTATGTCTCTATCAGTTTTGCACATCGAGAGACTGGAATTCTTTCCCATTCTTCCTTGCAAAACAGCTCGAGCTCGGTGAATTTGGATGGAGAGCGTTTGTGAACAGCAGTCTTCAGCTCTTTCCACAGATTCTCGATTGGATTCAGGTCTGGACTTTGACTTGGCCATTCTAACACCTGGATACGTCTATTTGTGAACCATTCCATTGTAGATTTGGCTTTATGTTTTGGATCATTGTCCTGTTGGAAGATAAATCTCCGTCCCAGTCTCAGGTCTTTTGCAGACTCCAACAGGTTTTCTTCCAGAATGGTCCTGTATTTGGCTCCATCCATCTTCCCATCAATTTTAGCCATCTTCCCTGTCCCTGCTGAAGAAAAGCAGGCCCAAACCATGATGCTGCCACCACCATGTTTGACAGTGGGGGATGGTGTGTTCAGGGTGATGAGCTGTGTTGCTTTTACGCCAAACATATCGTTTTGCATTGTGGCCAAAAAGTTCCATTTTGGTTTCATCTGACCAGAGCACCTTCTTCCACATGTTTGGTGTGTCTCCCAGGTGCTTGTGGCAAACTTTAAACAAGACTTTTTATGGATATTTTTGAGAAATGGCTTTCTTCTTACCACTCTTCCATAAAGGCCAGATTTGTGCAGTGCACGACTGATTGTTGTCCTATGGACAAACTCTCCCACCTCAGCTGTAGTTATCTGCAGTTCATCCAGAGTGATCATGGGCCTCTTGGCTGCATCTCTGATCAGTCTTCTCCTTGTTTGAGATGAAAGTTTGGAGGGACGACCGGGTCTTGGTAGATTTGCAGTGGTCTGATACTCCTTCCATTTCAATATAATTGCTTGCACAGTGCTCCTTGAGATGTTTAAAGCTTGGGAAATCTTTTTGTATCCAAATCCGGCTTTAAACTTCTCCACAACAGTATCTCGGACCTGCCTGGTGTGTTCCTTTGTCTTCATGGTTCTCTCTGCGCTTTAAACAGAACCCTGAGACTATCAAAGAGCAGGTGCATTTATACGGAGACTTGATTGCACCTGTGTGTATTCTATTTATCATCATCAGTCATTTAGGACAACATTGGATCATTCAAAGATCCTCACTGAACTTCTGGACTGAGTTTGCTGCACTGAAAGTAAAGGCCGAATAATATTGCACGCCCCACTTTTCAGTTTTTTATTTGTTAAAAAAGTTTAAATTATCCAATAAATTTTGTTCCACTTCACGATTGTGTCCCACTTGTTGTTGATTCATGACAAAAAATTAAAACTTTATATCTTTATGTTTGAAGCCTGAAATGTGGCGAAATATTGAAAGGTTCAAGGGGGCCGAATACTTTCGCAAGGCACTGTAGCTACCAAGCTCCTCTACTGTGGAATCAGCTTCATTCATGTTAAAGAAGCAGACACTGTTTCTACATTCAAGGCCAGGCTTAAAACACTCTTCTTCAATTTGGCATTTGGTTAGGTTGTTTGTCCGGTCAGGTCTCGTCCGGTCTTAGAGTCTGCGTGTATGGGACCTGGTCCGCTGCATCTTCAACCCTACGTTCTAGGCTAGGCTAAAACAGTCCTCCTCAGTTCAGCATATGGCTAGGAAGGTAAGACTCGGGGAAGGCTAAACTCCTCAGACTGTCAGTCAGAGGGAGAAGTATGGAAACTGGAGCACTATCCTCTTTTCCTACTTTATCTGTTTGCATTAATATATTGCTATGCAACCATTGTCCCATTGTCTGTTTCATGGTATGATGACGGGACCTCTGGATCTGGCCTCCTCCATCTACACCTGCGGACTGCCCTGCCCGACCCACCTGGGAGGGCTTCAGTCCTGCACCGGACCTGTCCACGTCCTGCAGCCGCTGCGTGCCCCTGGTCCACGTCCTGTAGCTTAGGTCCTGGATCTGTGGCCCGTCCGTCCGTGTGGAGCGGATCCCTCTTTCAATATGTGGGTCTCCCCGAGGTTTCTCACTTTTCCCACTGGGTTTTTGTGAGTTTTTCCTTGCTGATGCAGGAGGGTCTTTTGGGCAGTTAGTGTCCAACTAGAAGGACGGTGGTGATGATCCAGGACACTTTAACATTCTACAACATGTATGGACATTTATCAACATGTGTTCTATATTCTTTTTGTGTCTTAACTGTTGATTCTCTGATCTGTGTTGGTGATTTCAATTGTTTTGTTAACTCCTCTGAGATGACTTCTGTTGTGATTTAGGGCTGTACAAGAATAAATTGTATTGTATTGTATTGTATTGTATTGGTGTCAGGTATCAAGTCGATACCATAGGCATTTACTCGTGCTCGTACTCATACCATAGGAACCAATTCCAGGAACAGATACCCACATTTCTAAATCACATTAATGTCACAATAGCAGACAGCTGTGTGGCACCTGTTGCCATGGTGATCTCCCAAAGTCGGCAACAAGAAAGCAAGCTAGCGGCAAGCAGGCTAACGGCCAGCAGGCTAGCAGCGAGGTAACTGCAAGCAGACAAGATGTCAGCCGTATTGCACTTTTTTTAAAGGCGCTATACCCGTTTCTGCAATGTTTGAATGTTTAGCACCGCCCCCCACCTCGCTCACAGGCTTCTCATTTCCCCTACGCTCTCATAACACGGAGCCACCTAGTTTTATTTGCGATCTGATACGTATGCTAACATTAGCACAACTTGTAAGCTGTACAAAAATCACTGATTAAATGGCACTAAAGCAATGCACTGCTAACACAATATATAAGTAAAAGAATACCATTAGTTTCTCGTCCGAATGTATTAATTTAAACATTAGAATATATTCTAATATTTAATTATAATTTATTATACAGCTCCTCACAGCAGCAGCACTCCATTGACTTGAATGTAATTCTTCAGAACTCTCAAACCAATAAACTTTGACAATGCAATCTCTGTTTGTAATTCAGGTGTGTAAAATACTGCGTGTTGTACTTTGCAAGTAGAACAAGCTATCAGCGCCTGTCACTACACTGTGCACCTTGTCTGTGTAGAGAAGCTAGCGGAGCTAGCCACGCTCAATAAACAAATACATATCAATCAATCAACACCATTAAACGTTAATCGGACAATACAGTACACATATACATCCTTAACACACATGCACGGACGATTTCAGAATTTGCTGTCAACGTTTTCATGACAAAAATACTGTTTTAAAGTGACAAAAAGCAAAAATTAAAATACGGAAGTTACAATGAAACAGCTAGCTAGCTTAGCTGTTACCTGTCTAGCACGTCCCGGTGAAACCTTTGGGAGCTAACTATTTTATTTGCAGTCATTAAATACATTTTGAATTGTAAGGGCTGTCTAATATTTGTTTGAATATATATATATTTTTTATTTATTTTAGAATTATATTTGAATTTTGAAGTCGAAGCCCTGGTGTTTAGCAGCGCTGTAGAGGCTAGAGGCTGTTCGCTGCTGTTCTGTGAGTGGAGGAGAACAAACGGCCGCTCAGACTCTACTCAGCACTTTTCACGGCCTGAATTTCATACACAGTGGAATCAATGACCTCAAGTTTTCAAATAAATTATGTATTATGATACAACTTGTATGTAGTAAAAAGCATTTTTATGAACTACTGAGAAAAAAATCGGGTATAGCTTCTAACTCATTCACTGCCAGCCATTTAACTCATTGTGTCCCATTGACGCACAAATACGTCAAAGCAAATAGTAACGTCGTGTGCCATTGACGCATTAATCCGTCAAATGCCTTTCGCTATTTTCACGTTCCCAGATGTCTATTGTATCTAATATGTATGGGGATGACTTGAGACCATATTTTATCGAGCCAGCAGGTGGCAGCATTGCTCTCTGAATGGTTTGAAAACATGTAGGTGCACATGTTGTGCCTCTTTTTTCTCAACTTTCTGGTGATTTCAGTAAAACTTCCCTCTACTCAACGGAGGATTACAGGGGAACGAAAAAAGCTATAAACAAAATTCTTTTTGCTGAGGAAAGTAGACAGTGCAGTCGGATTTCAGATAGTCATAGTTCACAATATTCTGTGGGTCTTGAAAAATCAGTAAAAATCATCATAAATGGCTGGCACTGTGGGAGTACCTGTTCTGAAATAGGCTGGCAGGCAATGAGTTAAAAAGCAGCATCCCTCTTACTGCCAGAGATTTTGGACATTTTTAGTGTTTTTCCGAAACGCATAGAAATGTGAGCCCTTGGTTGACACAAGTATGAAACATACCAAATGAAAGCTCTATCCCTTGGCTTTCATTTAAAAAAAAAGTAAGTTTCTAACCCTTTTAGTTTTTTAGCAATTGAGAGTGCAACATAGGTAACTTTCACACAAAATGCTGTTTCCTGACCAAGATTTGGAGAAAACAGCCTTTTTGTGAAACGCGCATTTTCAAGCAGAAAAGTGGGGTTTTTTTGTCTTTACTGATATTTTACAATGTATGACAGTTTCTTACTATGACACAAAACAGAAACAATACTTTGAATTGTATTTTTAATGTATAATTATTGTTAAACAAATTAAACGTGTACACACAATACACTCAAAGGATTGTCTTATGTACACATAAAATATTCAACTTGTATACAATAAAAACACTTTGTATACAAATATACAGTAAAAAATAACACTTTCTGAACACTTTGTGAAACAATTTTACTTTAGTTTATAAAGAATAGTAATTAGGTGACCCCACACTCTGCTGAAGTGTGGGATGGAAGCTACTTCATCTGCACTCCCAATACATTTCCAGATTAGTTTTTTTTTTACAAACCCAGTGAGAAATGTCAAACCAAAAAAGGTTTTTAGCTACAGACTGTCACTGGCTTCATGCATTTTCTCTGCTGAATGGGAGACGCTGTGTGTGTGCACTGAAATATTGTGCTGCATACAGCTTTGTCTGTTTGACAATAAGATCCAGGATCCAGCAGTTCATCAGTTATGAAGAGCTGCAGAAGTCAGCTGCTGATCCAAGCTCTGCTGCAGCATTTTGGGGTCCTGGGGTCAACAATCTACAACACACAGAAAAATATAAAATCACCATACATTTTCACATTATAACAAGTGTTTTGGCTTCAGCAGCTATGACATTGAGATAAAAAAAAAAAAAAACTCTTCAATATTCGCTAAAAACGTTACTTTATGTTTATTTTTACTATAGTATAAGCCAGTGATTGCTATAGTCACTCCCTCCAGAATCTCTCAATGTTTGAACGCAAAATCACGCAGACTCCGGGATCAGAGCAACAGAGTCAGTCTCTCTCTCCCTGTTCCAGAGCAGCAGCGGGCGCGCTCCTGACGCACCCTCCACAGTGAGACGCACCACAGCAGAATGCACATGGTGCGGTAAATCTAACACTTGTTGCTCACCATGGGTCCTGCTCACCGGTCTGCCATGGATCACCTTCCCCTGTCCCTTCTATAAACCACACGGTAACATCATCCATAGCTCCCTGGCAGCTAATGCTGCATGCCAGATTCACACGCCTCCAAACTCAAGAGAAACTTTTGGAAAAATGTCCCGCGTAATCAAGCATTTTACCCCGCAATAATCATTCATCAATCAACAATTGCGCGCAAATCCTGGAGGGGCTGATAGTACATTAGACAAAGGGGAGAAATAAACTCGTAAATGCAACATGTTGAAGTGAAAAGCAACTTACCACATTACGACGGGGGGAGGAGCCACTGCTGCTGCTGGGACGAGGAGGGAGGGGGAAGGCTCCGAGGATCCTGGAGTCTCATGTTAACTAAAACCTGAAGAACTAGCATCGTGGCATCTAGCTGCTTCATATTTATCCGTTTGATGACTGAACAGGCTCTCAAACAGCGTTAGCTGCGTGAGCTTTTCAGATCCGCGATCCTCTGTGTAAGCATGGCTGCTCCTCTGGCTGTTTGCTGGCCACAGTGTCACCTCTGCCCCCTACAGGATCGGTTCCAAAGTGTTTACAGGTCTGAAATGTTGACACAGGATGCACAAGAGCCTTGACGAGCAATAGAAAGAAAAAAACGAAAAAAAAAGACGTCTGTCTATAGACGTCAATGGCGGTGAATGAGTTAAGTCAACAAGAGTAAAGCGGACTGAACGTTGCTTGAGGCAAAACTGTCACAAGGTGAATCCAAAACAAACACCAGCAACTTGATCAAACATCTGAAAACATCTGAGTTAAGGTACTCGTATTAGACCGGTTTTGAAAAAAGTGGTATTGGTGCATCCCTAGAATCATTCATGTCATATTTGAACGTTGTGTTGCAGTGTTTGCGAAACTGTTACACATCATCACAGCCTGCTCAGATCATGAAACACTCTGTGTTTGTGTGTGTGTGTTCAAACCTTTAAAAAAGAAGTGCTAAAGAAGAACGAGGAATATTTAAGTGTAGAGGTGTTGGGTCAGAGAGTATTATAGACTGTGTGTGTGTCTTGTACCATATGATATTGCACAGCGTTACTTTTGTACTGTCGTTTGGTGCATCATTTTATCTAAATTGTCTGTGTTGAATGTACGTGTAAAATGAGCAGTAAATAATGTGCACGTACAGTACCTGTCTTTGGCACCACGGGCACGCCACTGCTGCGCGTGCCGTGCAGAAAGACGCTGCTGATGCCGAGGGCACGCCTGCTTACGCGCGTGCCTGTGACGGGTACAGGGAGAACGCGTGGGACGCTCACGTACGAGGACACGGTCACGCGCCCCCCGCACGTGCCCGTGCACACGGGCGCATCCACGGAGCCGTGAGCACGAAGAGACCTGCGGCGGGAGACTGGCATCGGGAGTCTTTGTACTAATCAATACGTATGAATGTAGAAGTCTACGGTAGAATCTACATCTATGGGATATATGTTTGTAGGATGAGTCCTCAGGCCGATGGCAGTCACTGGTCCCAGGTCCAAACCCCCCCCCCCTTCTCCATCCTCCTCTTTTAAAGCCACGGGCGCCTCTTCTGGAAGCTCAGGCTTTGTTCCCGCAGTTCACAGAAACAGAGCATCAGCAGGAATGCTCCGGATGCCCTCCCCTGTGAGCTTTGTTCAACCACAAACACATGACGTCACCAGGGACTCAGTAAACACAAACTCAGATCATTTATAAGAAATTAGTTTTATTTCATACAATAAATTTAAGAAACAAAACACATTCAAAAAGACGACCCAAGATACAGATAAGTCTTTTAAAGCTGGGGTATGTAACATTAAAGCTGTGGCAAGTGACTATATATTGTGGGTACATAACTATAGAACTCTGTAATAAGATATATGTCACTAGTTCAGTTGCTTGCAGATGTTTGGCCTCCGTCACATCTTTAGAGCAGCAGTTCCTATGTTTTTATTAGGATGAAGACAGCATGTCATGGTCCGACGGGTTTGCAACATTTTAGTTACATACAGTACCTCAGCTTTAAAGGGGAAATGACCCGGTTCTGTTCTCTATAATACGATAATCTATAGTTCATTTATAATATTTATATTGATCTAAACGATGCTGATAAAAACGACTCGCTGAGAGAAGTTCAATTTGCAGGTTATGACCCTTTGACCTAGATTTGAACATAACATGAGTCGAAGTCTCCCTCACATTTTCAGGAAGAAATGAATCTGAAACGCTGTCTCCTCATGTTTAGTCATTACTCTGGGCACCAGCAAGAAACCAGTCCCTGTGCTCCTCAGAGTCCCAGCAGGAGGCCAGTCCCTGTGCTCCTTGAGTTATGTTGCTAACAGACAAACAAACAGGTTAAAATAATACACCATCAAAGGGACAGTCCCTGTGACGTGTCGCAGTCAGACAGAGTCCGGGGGCGGGGCTTAGACAGGAAGACCTTCTTTCGGAAGCCAGAGCGCTGCAGCAGCATTGACACTTCCTGTCTGAAGCGGCGTCCAATCAGAGCGTAGAGGAAAGGATTGAGGGCGGGATGAGAATACGCCAGCGCTCGAAGAACTAATCCAGCTTTATCCAAAACTTTACGAGTTTCACAGTCGGTGAGGGCAGCAGAGTGGGCATCCCAGATCTGCAACACAGCACAAAACAACTGTAACACAACTAAAACAACGCAACTATATATTTATGACTGTATAATAAACTATATGCTGAATGTATAAGGAGCCACTGTTACCTCTGCGATGAGGACACAGCTGTGGGGGAGCTGAGTGACAATGAAGACCAAGACAATCGCCATGACAACCACAAGGGGGCGGTGCTTGTGGAACGTGCGAGTCAGCAACAACCGGCGGCCAATCACAGCGTAGCAAACGGCCATGACAACCAATGGGAGGAAGAAGCCCACAGCGACCTGAGACAGACAAGACGCCGATGATAAGTGAGAGTTAGTGTTTGGGAAGGAATAATTGTAATGAAACATATGAACATTAAATATAATCTTTATTTATTGTAATATACCGATTATGCAGAGAAGGTAATATAATATAAGGGGCAGTGTCAGGTCAGGATCAGTGGTGATAGAGGCGGGACTTACTCACCTGGAGACTCAGGACGGTTGCCTTGACGATGCGGCCCCAGTAGGCGGGGAACAGCGTGCGGCAGGTCATCAGACCATCTTGTTCGATTACTGTGGTGAAGGCTAGCTCTGGAGCGGCTAATATGACAGCTAACAGCCACATGCTAACACTAACAATTCGAGCCCAGCGCTGCCGCCGCATCTGAGAGTTCAGCGCCACCGTGGGGTGAACGATGACAACGTAACGGTCAACTGAGATACAGGCAAGAAAGAGGCTGACCGAAAAGAGGTTCACCTGGAAAACAAATATGGTTATTATTTAAAAAAAATATTATTATTGTGTTTATAATGTTTATAATGACACAGGCGAGGGACAGGCTGTTGAAGAGTTTATCCTTCAATAAATAATAACCTAACATGACGATTATAAAAGAATACTAATTGTATGTAATGTGTATAATCTAATGACCAGCCATCCATTTCCTTCCGCTTCGTCCCCTGCCGGGTCGCCCCGCGTTCCCAGGCCAGCTGAGAGACCCTCCAGCGTGACTCTCCAGAGTCCCTCCAGCGTGTCCTGGGTCTTCCCCGGGGTCTCCTCCTAGTGGGACGTGCCCGGAACAGATGCCTGAGCCACCTCAACTGGTTACTCTCAACGTGGAGACGCAGCGGCTCTACTCCGAGCTCCTCCCGTGTGACTGAGCTCCTCACCCCATCTCTAAGGGAGCGCCCAGCCACTCTGCGGAGGAAGCTCATTTTGACCGCTTGTATCCGCAATCTCGTTCTTTCGGTCATTATCCAAACCAATTGACCGGTAAATCAAGAGCTTTGCCTTTCGGCTCAGCTCCCTCTTCACCACGACGGTCCGATACAGCGACCGCATCACTGCGCACGCTGCAATCTCAAGCTCCATCCTTCCCTCACTCGTGAACAAGAGCGAGTTCACTTGGAACTCCTCAAGTGGAGGAGTTCAAGTGTCCTTAGACACTTGAACTCCTCCACTTGAGGAAGGACCTCTCCACCCACCGGGAGAGGGCAAGGCACCTTTTGCCGGTCGAGCACCATGGCCTCGGATTTGGAGCTGCTGATTCTCATCCCAGCCGCTTCACACTCGGCAGCAAACCGTCCCAGTGCATGTTGCAGGTCCTGGTTCTTTGGACCAACAGGACAACATTGTCTGCAAACAGCAGAAATGAAATCCTGAGGTCCCCGAAACCGGACCCCCTCCGGCCCCTGGCTGCACCTAGAAATTCTGTCCATAAACACAGTGAACAGAACCGGTGACAAAGGACAGCCCTGGCGGAGGCCAACATGCACCGGGAACAGGTCTGACTTACTGCCGGCAATGCAATCACAGCTCTGGCTCCAGTCATACAGGGACTAGACGGCCCTCAGCAGAGGACCCCGGACCCCGTACTCCGGAGAACACCCCAAACGACACCCGGGGAAACACGGTCGAACGCCTTCTCCAAATCCACAAAGCACATGTGGACAGGTTGGGCGAACTCCCATGAACCCTCCAGTATCCAATAGAGAGTATGGAGCTGGTCCAGTGTTCCGCGGCCGGGACGAAAACCACATTGCTCCTCCTGAATCCGAGATTTGACCATCGGTCCTTGGAGTAAACCTTACCAGGGAGGCTGAGGAACACACCCTCCAGTCCCTCTTCTTATGAGGAGGGACTACCACCCGGGTCTGCCACTCCTATGGCACCGCCCCCAATCACCACACAATGTTGCAGAGACGTGTCAGCCAAGACAGTCCTACAACATCCAGAGACTTTAGATAGTCAGGGCGGATCTCATCCCCTCCCGGAGTCTTGCTACCAAGGAGGCTGCCAACCACCTTTGTGACTTCAGCCAGGGAGATGGAAGTATCCGCTTCAACAGCCTCTGCCTCTGCCTCCGGGACGGAGGACATGATGGAGGGGGATTGAGGAGAACTTTGAAGCATTCCTTCCACCGCCCGACAATATCCCCAGCCCTATAATCTAATGTTTACATGTCAATTAGAAGCAGATTACCCGTAAATGTGATTCGATGTTGTATGTAATGATCACCTTTTTCTAGGTTTTATCTATAATGTGGATATTTTAAATAGTGTTAGCATACAGTGGGGCAAAAAAGTATTTAGTCAGCCACCGATTGTGCAAGTTCTCCCACTTAAAATAATGACAGAGGTCTGTAATTTTCATCTTAAACCCTATTCGAACGGGATTAGTATTACCTGTGGACCTCTGATAATTTGTGATAATCGCGGAGGACGTCTGAGATTGTGCAGTGCATTCACATGGGATAACCAATGTCTGTAATTTTCCCTGACATCTGACATAACGGCTGCACGTGCATGCGTCTTTCTGCTTCACATAGTTCTTAAAGTCTGACGTTTGACCACAGCAGCCACAGAGACCACACATGTGGATTATACTGCTCTACAGTTCTCTGACCTGTACTTTCTGTAATGTTAAAACAATACTTTTTGTACGGACTACCCGTAAACATACGAACGCAACCCATCAGTCTGATCATTTAGTGTCAGTGAACACATTACACTGTCCTCTACACTTCTCCATAAACCTCACAGAGACAGCAGTATCCGCAACTCTGCGGATGTTCACGGCCAACTCCTATGCTCATTGATAAAGTCAAGCAAAAGTGGCAAAAGCGAACACAATCACAGACATGCAGATTCGCACGGGATAAGTATTATCAGAGGATGTCTGTGTTTGGTCAAATACAGGAGGTAATTTGCAGCGGAATTATTACTTTACAAATTACAGACATGGCGCATTCGCACGGGACTGAGATCTCGGACGTCCTCTGTGATTATCACAAATTACCAGAGGTCCACCGGTAATACTAATCCCGTCCGAATAGGGCTATAGGTACACTTCAACTGTGAGAGACAGGAAAATCCAGGAATTCACATTGTAGGATTTTTAAAGAATTTATTTGTAAATTATGGTGGAAAATAAGTATTTGGTCACTTCAAACAAGGAAGATCTCTGGCTCTCACAGACCTGTAACTTCTTTAAGAAGCTGTTCTGTCCTCCACTCGTTACCTGTATTAATGGCACCTGTTTGAACTGGTTATCTGTATAAAAGACACCTGTCCACAGCCTCAAACAGTCAGACTCCAAACTCCACTATGGCCAAGACCAAAGAGCTGTCGAAGGACACCAAGAAAAGAATTGTAGACCTGCACCAGACTGGGAAGAGTGAATCTACAATAGTCAAGCAGCTTGGTGTGAACAAATCAACTGTGGGAGCAATTAATCAGAAAATGGAAGACATACAAGACCACTGATAATCTCCCTCTATCTGGGGCTCCACGCAAGATCTCATCCCGCTGGGTCAAAATGATGATGAGAACGGTGACAAAAAAATCCCAGAACCACACGGGGGGACCTGGTGAATGACCTGCAGAGAGCTGGGAGCAAAGTAACAAAGGTTACCATCAGTAACACACTACGACAACAGGGAATCAAATCCTCCAGTGCCAGACGTGTCCCCCTGCTGAAGCCAGTGCATGTCCAGGCCCGTCTGAAGTTTGCCAGAGAGCACATGGATGATACAGCAGAGGATTGGGAGAATGTTATGTGGTCAGATGAAACCAAAGTAGAACTGTTTGGTATAAACTCAACTTGTCTTGTTTGGAGGAAGAAGAATATTGAGTTGCATCCCAAGAACACCATACCTACTGTGAAGCATGGGGGTGGAAACGTCATGCTTTGGGGCTGTTTATCTGCTAAGGGGACAGGACGACTGATCCGTGTTAAGGAAAGAATGAATGGGGCCATGTATCGTGAGATTGAGCCAAAACCTCCTTCCATCAGTGAGAGCTTTGAAGATGAAACGTGGCTGGGCCCCGAAACATCACTGCTCTCGAGAAGATCTGCATGGAGGAATGGGCCAAAATACCAGCTACTATGTGTGCAAACCTGGTAAAGACCTATAGTAATCGTTTCACCTCTGTAATATAACCTTTGTTGGCAATAACAAAGTATTGAGTTGAATTTTTGTTATTGACCAAATACTTATTTTCCACCACAATTTACAAATAAATTCTTTAAAAATCCTACAATGTGAATTCCTGGATTTTTTTTTCACATTCTGTCTCTCACAGTTGAAGTGTACCTATGATGAAAATTACAGACCTCTCATTATTCTAAGTGGGAGAACTTGCACAATTGGTGGCTGACTAAATACTATTTTGCCCCACTGTATACAGTGCCTTGCAAAAGTATTCGGCCCCCTTGAACCTTTCAACATTTCGCCACATTTCAGTCTTCAAACATAAAGATATAAAATTTTAATTTTTTGTCATGAATCAACAACTAGTGGGACACAATCGTGAAGTGGAACAAAATATATTGGATAATTTAAACTTTTTTAACAAATAAACTGAAAAGTGGGGCGTGCAATATTATTCGGCCCCTTTACTTTCAGTGCAGCAAACTCAGTCCAGAAGTTCAGTGAGGATCTTTGAATGATCCAATGTTGTCCTAAATGACTGATGATGATAAATAGAATGCACCTGTGTGTAATCAAGTCTCCGTTTAAATGCACCTGCTCTTTGATAGTCTCAGGGTTCTGTTTAAAGCGCAGAGAAAACCATGAAGACAAAGGAACACACCAGGCAGGTCCGAGATACTGTTGTGGAGAAGTTTAAAGCCGGATTTGGATACAAAAAGATTTCCCAAGCTTTAAACATCTCAAGGAGCACTGTGCAAGCAATTATATTGAAATGGAAGGAGTATCAGACCACTGCAAATCCACCAAGACCCGGCCGTCCCTCCAAACTTACATCTCAAACAAGGAGAAGACTGATCAGAGATGCAGCCAAGACGCCCATGATCACTCTGGATGAACTGCAGATAACTACAGCTGAGGTGGGGATGGTGTGTTCAGGGTGATGAGCTGTGTTGCTTTTACGCCAAACATATCGTTTTGCATTGTGGCCAAAAAGTTTGATTTTGGTTTCATCTGACCAGAGCACCTTCTTTCACATGTTTGGTGTGTCTCCCAGGTGGCTTGTGGCAAACTTTAAGAGACTTTTATTGGATATCTTAGAGAAATGGCCACTCTTCCATAAAGGCCAGATTTGTGCAGTGCACGACTGATTGTTGTCCTATGGACAGACTCTCCCACCTCAGCTGTAGTTATCTGCAGTTCATCCAGAGCGATCATGGGCCTCTTGGCTGCATCTCTGATCAGTCTTCTCCTTGTTTGAGATGAAAGTTTGGAGGGACGGCCGGGTCTTGGTAGATTTACAGTGGTCTGATACTCCTTCCATTTC